GTCAGATTGATAAAAGACTGAAGAGCATTCTGTTTTAGAAGAAATTGCTTTTGATCCTGAAGAAATAATTTGGGTTTTGCATTTTCATGCCATCTAAAGTATGCTGAATTATTTCTTTGATACACAGATTACTTGTGGGTGAAATATCCTCTAGAAATATTACAATTACATGAGTTGTTTGCTAGTAGAAATTGTAGCCGTTTTCTGATTAATGCCTTCATTTCTTTGATTATATTTATAAGTATACTTTGTTTCCAATTATGGCCTTGATTCATCTGCAGGTTTTCTTGTGCCCAAGTCCCCTCTGATGATTCTGATAGTACATTTGTTTTTCCCCTTAGTGGTAAAAAAAAAAAAAAAAAAAAAAGAATTCCATACAACATTTCCTGAGTGCTGTTCTCACTCAGTAGTTTTCTCTAAGTAAATCCAATAAATAAAATTGTAATATTTACAGAAAACATTAAATAAGGATTATTTGCTTTTCACAAACTTAGTGATATAGTTTCTCTTTTTTAAACAGCTTTATTGAAGTATAAGTCTCATACGTACTATTCACCCATTTAAACTATACGATTTAATGATTTTTTGGTACATCCACAGATATGTATAATCATCATTTCAGTCAATTTTAGGATATTTTTATCACTTGAGGGAAGAATCTGTACTTTTTAGCTAACCACACTTCCATCTCCCCACTCCATCTCTATCCAAAATACTTCAGACTAGAAGTCTTTCAGATTTTGGATTTTTTGGATTTTAGAATGCTTGCATATACTACACATAGTGAGACATCCTGAGCATAGGACCCCAGTCTAATCACATATCTTTCATATACACTTCATACACATAGGCTGAAGGCAATTTTATTCAACAGTTTTATTAATTGTGTGCATGAAATAAAGTTTGTGTTAAATACTTATGTGTGGAATTTTTCACTTGGTAGTGTCATGTCAGCATTTAAAAGTTTTGAATTTTGGAGTATTTTGGATTTGGAGTTTTCAGATTAGGGATGCCCAACTTATACTACTCTACTTTCTGTCTCTGTAGATTTCCCGGTTTTAGACATTTCCTATGACTGGAGTCCTTTGATGTGTGGTCTTTTGTGACTGGCTTCTTTCACTTTCCTGGTAGAATGAAGTCCATCAAAGTGTTTTATAATGATAAAAAAGTCAATGTATCAGGAAGATATAATAATTATAAGCATGTATGCACCTGATAACGGAACACCAAAATACATGAAGCAAAAACTGACCAGAAATGGAAGGAGAAATAGACAATTCAGCAACAATAATTGGAAACTTCAGCACCCCACTTTCAATAATGGATAGAGCAGCCAGGCAGAAGATTGACAGGGAAGTAGAAAAGTTGCCCAACACTATAAACCAACTACTAACAGATATTTGTAGGACACGTTACCCCACAAACAGCAGAGTATTCTGAAGTGAACATGAAACATTCTCCAGCACACACCGGATACAAGAACATAAAACAGATTTCAATACATTTAAAAGGATAAAAGTAATACAAAACATCTTTGCTGATCACAATGTAACAAAATTAGAAATCAATTACAGACAAAAAATGAGAAGCGCAAATGTGTAAATTAAACAGCACCCTTCTAAATAAACAATGATTCAAAGGAGAAATCAGAAAATTTTTTGAGATGAATGAAAATGAAGACTCAATATACCAAAACATGGGATGCTGCTAAAGCAGGGCTTAGAAGAAAATTTATAGTTGTAAATACTTCTGTGAAGAAAGAAGGTCTCAAATCAATAACCTAACCTTCTACTTTAAGACAACAGAAAGAAAAGAGCAAGTTAAAACTAAAGCAAGCAGAAGAAAAGAAATCGAGATTAGAGCAGAAATCAACAAATGAGAAATAGAAAACCAATAGAGACTTTAAATCTTCTAAAATGTCTAACACTTTACTTACTATAATAAATCAAATTATAATAATTACAGAAGACATTAAGCAAGGATTATTTTTCCCAGTGTAAGTGACATACTTTCTTAATGTATTAAAAAATTTAATTTTCAACATAGCTTCCATACACCTGTTGTAAAAAACAAAAATCTTCGTGAAAATATCCACCAGGCACTGTCTTTCTCAACTCATATTTATTTTGGGAGCTGTTCACCATATCATGAGCTCATTTCAAACCGTAGCTGTTGAGAAAGCTCACCTCATAGAGCACGGTTTAGGGAATTGAGCAAATCTACGACTGATTCCTTGTACCTCCACTTCCTGCAGTGTGACTTTGAATACGTTGCTAATTTCTTTGAGACTTATTTTCCTCATTAGAAAAATAGAGGTAATTTTCTCACTTTGAAGGGAGTAAGATAGCATACATAAAAGAGCCTAATTCAATGCCTGGTACATAATAGGTGTGTAATTAATATCTCGTCTGTATTCATTTGATGATTTAACAATTGATTTGGCCTTGGTATGCATATACTGAAAACTCATATATGTACACCAATGCCAGTTGGTAGACATGCAATAGCCATTGGCATTGGTATACATATATGAGTGTTCTTGAAAGAAAAACTAGAAGAAGAAGAATGTAATGTTACATCTTATGTACCAGGTTTTAGGCTAGTGATGTTATCTATAACTGGACTGCATATAACTTGTTTGACAGTTTGGACAGATTTTACTATAGTAGTCCTCCCTTATCCTTGGGGGATATGTTCCAAGACCACCAGTGGATGCCTAAAACCACAGATAGTACCAAACGTGATTGCCATTGGCCAGAAAGTTTCTGTTCCTGTCTTCCAACCACAAATTTAATGCCTCTCCATCTTAAATAAACTGATTGTGCACTGTATCCGTAACTTTTGCAGTTTGAGGTGTGACAGCAAAACTAGCACCAGTTTCTTTTCATTCTTCATAATTTTACAGAGGGAAGATCTGTTCTTACCATAGACTTTAACAACCTCAGCATGCAGAGTTTTTTTTTTTTTTTCCTTTCCTTATTAAGTTGAGAGTTTTCACCTTTTCACTTAAAGTTAGCACTTTACAGCTTCTCTTTGTCTTAATCCAAATTACCAGCATCACTACTCTTGCACTGTGAGGCCATCATTAAGTAAAATAAGGATTCCTTAAACACAGCACTGCAATACCTCGACAGTCAATCTGATCACCGGAATGGCTACTAGGTGACTAGGTGGGGCGTGTATACAGGGTAGATAGCTAGCCTAAAGGATGATTTCCAACCCCAGGCAGGATGGGGCAGGATGGTGCCAGAGTCCATCACACTGCTCAGAATGGTGTGCAATTTAAAGGTTATGAATTGTTTATTTCTGGAATTTTCCATTTAATATTTTAGGACTGAGGTGACTGCAGGTAACTGAAACCAAGGGAACCGAAACCATGAAAAAGGGGGGGACCACTGTATTTTAAGAATGACTAAAACACTCAACTTGGGTAAAATGCACATCCTGGCCTAAACTGATTTTCTTAGCAGTTGGTTATAATGGTCAAATATTTAGTCCTTTCAAATATGAAATCACTTACAATCTAACTGTTTTTAATTTTTATTTTTACCTTTGGTATTGATGTGACAAATTCTATCCCTTGTGGTTAGGTAAGCATACTTCTTCATTGTAGAATTCTGTTGCCTATTTTAGACCACAAGCTGGTGGCATTAAAGCATTAAAGCACATTTATGATCTGATTGTCAAGTTAACTGATTAAATTCTGTTTTTACTCAAAGTGTATTTTGGCAGGCATTTTAATGCTTATTCTGTTTATTGCATAGTTGATGATGAAAAATTTCAGTATTTTCATCAGCAATATAAACTTCAAGCCAAGTTGGAAACTAGTGATTCTCAAAATGTCAGTGTTAATATCAGTCACCTGGGGATCTAGTTAAGCGTAGATTCAAGCCTGGGGTGGGGCCAAAGAATCTGCTTTTTAACAAGCTTCTAGTTGTTGTCAATTTTGCTGGTCCACGGACCCTGCTTTGAGTAGCAAGACTGTGGAGAACCCAAGAAGAGGCCTAGGCATGAGTTGGAAATCAGTAGAGCTAATCTGACATTATAAATCATGGTCCCAGCTGCCTGCCCAGACTCTCAGAGTTTATTTCCTTAACTGAGCCCTGGAGTAAGTTAATTAAAAATTCAGAGACATTGAATTGCTGTGATTCTATTCTTATATTTTAAGTACTGAAATGATCTAATAAGGTAATAAAATACCTGGTTGTGCATTTTCTACAGTTCCTTTGTATCGTCTGTTAGCCTGTCCACCTCTCAGACCTCTTTGTATTAGAACTAATTGAATAGCTTCAGTGGTATATATGAAACTTTTTTTTTTTTTTTTGAGACAGAGTCTCCCTTTGTCTCACCCAGGCTGGAGTGCAGTAACATGATCTAAGCTCACTGCAGGCTCTGCCTCCCAGGTTCAAGCACTTCTCGTGCCTCAGCCTCCTAAGTAGCTGGGATTATAGACGTGCACCACTATGCCTGGCTAATTTTTGTATTTTTGTTAGAGACAGGGTTTTACCACGTTGACCAGTCTAGTCTCAAACTCCTGGCCTCATGAGATTCAACTGCCTTGACCCCCCAAAGTACTGGGATTACAGGCATGAGCCACTGCGCCCAGCCTCCATTTAAGTTTTTTAGAGCTCTGTAGCTACATATTGGCCCTTACTATACCTTTGGCAAGAGTGGGATTCCTTGAATCAATCTCAGCAAGGCTTTTGTTACCAAATGAAAAGAATAAGAATCACATGCCTTGTTTCCCTCAAGCTCAGGCCTGATTTTCTAATACCATAAGTGAGCAAGTGTGAAAGCTTCCCAGGGAAGCAAACCTCAAATCCTTAGTCACTTAGGTGGGAGTACAGATTGAGGTGCATCTATAGAGTCCACGGTATGCAGGACTTGTTTTTGTATGTAATCTGACCACAGAGGCATCAATTTACAATGTGTCAAATTAAATTCTTAATATAAAATAGCTGTGGCTTGAAATGTAATGCGTACCATCTGATTTGTTACAGAACACAAAAATAGGCACAGTAAAGACAAGAAGAAAACCAGAGCAAGAAAATGGGGAGAAAGGATTAACCTGGCTGATGACGTGGCAGCATTAAACAGCGGCTTAGCAACAGAGGCATTTTCTGCCTATGGTAATAAGACGGACAACACAAGAGAAAAGAGGACCCACAGAAGGACAAAACGTTTTTTATCCTATCCACGGTTTGTAGAAGTCTTGGTGGTGGCAGACAACAGAATGGTTTCATACCACGGAGAAAACCTTCAACACTATATTTTAACTTTAATGTCAATTGTAAGTACATGCAAACAAAGGTGATTTATGAGGTCTCTAAATGTGCCTTTGGGGAATGGGTTTCCACTCAGTGCTTTGGAGAACCATTCAGAACTGACATTTCAGCCATTCAGGCAAGTGACTGAACAGAACATAAGATTATTTGTTGGTTGCCTTTTTAAACTAACAACAGTGGTTATCAATATGGAGTATTTATTCTGCGTTAGACAATGTGCTTCTTACTTAAAAGGTATAATTTTGAATCCTGGCAACCCTGCCGGGTGAGATTATCAATCATGCCCATTTTATAGATAAGAAAACTGAGTCTCAGAGGAGTTAGGTCACTTGCCCATGGTCAGGTAAAGTTAATAAATCACTTGGACACTGCCTGTGACCTTTAGCTTGTCCAGTTCCCAAAACCAGTGCTTTTTGCCTCACTTTGGAACTTTGCACAGCCAGTTGTGGATATTCAGTAATTCTTAGGGAGGCTGGTTGTGAACCATAGTCACCTGTGCAACTTCTAAAAATAGCCTCTTCCCCGGGATTCTAATTAAGTAGCCTGGGGAGTGACACCTAGGAGGCTTTCATTCTATTTTTCTACTCCCATTTTGAATTAAAACCACAATACATTTGCATGGTTTTTAAAAAATCAGACAGAACAAAGACTATTGTTAAAAAATAAGTACCATTCTCTATGCAGACTGCCAGGCCTCTTCCCAGAGGCAGCCACTGTTGAAAGTTTTCTTACATGTTTCTAACAAGCACTGCCCAATAGAAATATAATGCAAACCACATATTTAATTTCAAATGTATTTAAATTTTTTAAAAAGTTGTTTTTCCTAATTTTAAATTTTCAAGTAGCCACATTAAAAAAAAAGTTTTTAAGAAAATGGCCAGGTACAGTCACTCATGCCTGTAATCCCAACATTTTAGGAGGCTGAGGTGGAACAATCTCTTGGGGCCCGGAGTTTAAGACCAGCTTGGGCATTATAGCAAGACCTGGTCTCTATAAAAAAAAAAAAAAAAAAAAAAAAATTAGCCAGGTGTGGTGGCATATACCTGGCTCATATATAGTAGGCTGAGGTCCTTGGGAGCTGACGTGAGAGAATCTCTTGAGCCCAGGAGGCTGCAGTGAGCCTTGATTGTGCCACTGCGCATCAGCCTTGGCAACAGAGTGAGACCCTGTCTCAAAAAAAAAAGTAAAATATAAACAGGTAAAATTAATTTTAGCAATATATTTTATATCAAATATTATTTTAAAAATTATTGAGGTATTTTACTTTTTTTAATACTAAGCCTTCAAAATCCAGTGTTTTACCTTCTCAGTATAACCCGATTTGAGCTAGCCACATACCAGTACTCACTAGCCACATGTGATGAGTGGCCACTGTTGGGCAGTGCAACTCTAGGTATTTCTTATGCAAACACGTTTGCATATACAACTTCTTTTCAAACAGGAGGCATTTTCGCATACTGTATTACACATTGCTATTTTATTGAACGATTCGAGATGGTTCCAGAAAAGCCCATATAGACCGCCTCTTACTCCTTTTCAGCTGTAGCATAACTTTTCTTTCAATGGATGAGCCCTAATTTACCTGAACTAAAACTTATTTTTAATAAATCCCCCAGATGGATATGAAAAGCAATCCTGTTTGGGCATAGCTTTAGGGTTTCTTCTTCCCCCCATGTGGGCTGTGGTACTCCTTGCCTTTTTGTTCACTGCTGTGACCCATTCCCCTCTGCCCTCCGTCAACCCCGCCTGGCCTTCATGACCCTCTCGCCCCCACATGCTGCTCAGTCCCAGATACCCCAGCCCTCTCATGCCCAGGAGGGAAGGGAACATCTATTCTGGCCCTGCACATATGCATAACCTCATTTTCACTTCTTAATTTCAGATCTCTCATAAGAATTTTTGTTATGAACATGGACTTTGGGTCAAACTGCCCTAGGTTGAGAGTTCTGGCTCTGCTACTCACCAGTGTGTTGCCTCAGACAAGTGACTTAATTTCTCTGAGTGACTTAGTTTCCTCATTTGTTGAACAGAGATTTTAATAGTACCCAGACCAGAGTTTTGCTGTATAGAGACTAAATGCATGTGTGTATGTAGTTTTCAGCCAGTTCTCAAGCATTTAGTAAATGTTAGCTCCTATAATTAATTATAATACTACAAAAATAAAAACCCCACCAGGTTAACAAGGTTGTCAAGGACACAAATTGGTGGTAAACATTAAAGAACAGCAGTGTTGGCTAACATGCACCCAATGTGAGATTCTATAAGGTGGCAATCTAGGACTTCAGAAGAGAAGAAAGAGCTTAATGGAAAATTAATATCCAGTGTTCTGGTACAGAGAACTGTTAAGTCACGTGGCAATGCAATTTCAGAGGAATTTAAACTTGTTTGAATTCACTGTTACCTAAAACTGTGATCTATGAATTTTACAAAGAGACTTTACAAAAAGGATTGTTGAGTGAATGAAAAATTCACAACCACAAAATGCATATGTTGCAAGAAACGTAAAAAAGAGGTGGAGCCCAACGTAAGACGTGACTTGCTTATTGCTTACACGGAGTTCACAATTAACTTTGAAAAATTTATCTCGGTTGCAGGTAGCCTCTATCTATAAAGACCCAAGTATTGGAAATTTAATTAATATTGTTATTGTGAACTTAATTGTGATTCATAATGAACAGGTAATAAAGTTTTTTTTCTTTTTTCTTCTATCTGTATCCGAAATGGCATATCTAATTGGTACTGGTACAACAGATTAACCATAATTCTTCTCTGTATTTAGGATGGGCCTTCCATATCTTTTAATGCTCAGACAACATTAAAAAACTTTTGCCAGTGGCAGCATTCGAAGAACAGTCCAGGTGGAATCCATCATGATACTGCTGTTCTCTTAACAAGGTATATGGATTTCTTATTCCTCAGATCTTTCAGTCTCAGGTCAAGTTGATGGGATGTAGTCACGCATTCCTGATAGTCAGCTGCTGGTGGAGGGTTTCTCAGCTTAGGCACTGTTGACATTTTGGGCTGGATAATTCTTTCTGTGCATTGCAAGATGTTTAGCAGCATCCCTGGCCTCTGCTCACTAAGTATCAGGAGCACTCCCTCCCCTCAGTTGTGACAACCAGCAATGTCTCCAGACATTGCCACAGCCCTCCGTGGGAAGGGCAGAATCACCTTGGTTGAGAACCACTAACTTATAGATGCCAAGTGAGGAATAAATGTGTTAGGCAGACCTGAAAATGAATGCCTTATATAACAGGCAAGGGCAGCTGCTATTCAGATGGACCTGGCATTGCCATGTAGTATATGAGTTCAGTGTTGCCAGCTTTTGTGATTTTGCAAAAGCCAGAAAAATGAATTTTTTTAAACTGTGAAACCTCCCAATTTTTCTATGGTAGCTACTATCTCAAAATGTTAAAACACTCTAGCAACACAGAGGCATGCTGGCTTAATTGTGCCTCCCACCTCCTGCCATTTCTATTGTGGTCATGAGCATGTCCTCTTTTTTTTTTTTTTATTATACTTTAGATTCTAGGGTACATGTGCACAATGTGCAGGTTTGTTACATATGTATACGTGTGCCATGTTGGTGTGCTGCACCCATCAACTCGTCAGCACCCATCAACTCGTCATTTACATCAGGTATAACTCCGAGCATGTCCTCTTAAATGAAAGTAAAAGGTATCTTGCACCTTCTCAGGAATGTTCTCAAAGAGTCTTTACAAAACTAGAAACCAGGGTATTGGGAAAATCCTGGTTGGAGAGATTTTTTACTGCTCTGTGACCACCCTGACCACAGAAAAAGACTTCTTAATGTAGTAGTTTATAATTCTTAAATCAACAATTCCAAAATTTTTTTCAGTTTTGAAACTCTGGTCTTATGAATTTACTTTTTGTAACCCCCACCCCAAAGTGTGTGCTGTTGTGAATGCCTAGACAACCCTAAAGTATTACTTATATTGACACTTACTCTTTGATGTCATCAAGGCCTAAGTCTGCTTTGCTTTCAGACAGGATATCTGCAGAGCTCACGACAAATGTGATACCTTAGGTGAGTTCTCTGTGCGTATCTTCTATGGCTAAAACAGTTTACTGCATGTTTTTATTTCAAGCCACAGTTGCTTTTTAGAGTAAACCTTGTTGTTTTTCCTTCTAATAGGCCTGGCTGAACTGGGAACCATTTGTGATCCCTACAGAAGCTGTTCTATTAGTGAAGATAGTGGATTGAGTACAGCTTTTACGATTGCCCATGAGCTGGGTCATGTGTGAGTTTCCTTTCAGTAATTTCATTTAATTCAGAGTGACCTAAACCTTTTATTCCTTCGCGTCAGTGAGCATTTACTTGACTTTCAAGTGTGTAAGACACTTCCCGAGTCATAGTAGAGTTTGCAGGGTGGAAGAGCTTTGAACCTAATTGGGTGAAATGACTTTGACTTCCGATAGTTGAGTAAATGCAGTGTACTCTCTTCAGCCATAGCTTGTGTGTATCTTTGGTTTAACTGCTCAAGTTCAACACATAAGGTCTAATAGTCTCCTTTCCTACTGGGAACTGGAGAAATGGGGTCTTTCCATTCCTTCTACTAAAGCAGAGGTTATATTAGCCTAGAGAACTTTCCTGATTTAACACCTTTGTCCAGGAGGGTCCCCCACCATTACTGTGGCCCCCAAGATTTTTATAAAGCCAGACCATTCCTGATTCTAGTTATACACAGTTCTAATTCTGATATTTAGCATCTGGGAATGGTAATATCCCTTTTTTCAGGAAAGAGAATGAACAAAGATAGAAAGAAGGAATCATTTCCTAATTATGATCACTAAGTGGCTATTATGAAATGGCTTTTCCCTTTTGCTTTTTAGAAATAGAGCATGGTTAGAACATGGGGCAAAACACTGCAAATTTACTAGAAATTATTCTGAGTTTTGATCTGCATTATTTTCTTTCTAGGATGATTAAATTACTTATACTATCTATTTTGAAATAATTTTCTGAAAAGATATTATTAATATAGCTGCAGATCAATTTGTGTGGCAGATGATAACTTTACTTAGAGCTAACATCATTTATAAAACAAGCTTTTCATTCATACATTTAAGGTCCTCTATGTGCAGTGTAGTGTATGAGGCACAGAACAAGATGCATATATACACAGGTGTCTCCAATTTAGCTCAATCGATAACAGGTATATTTTTAAACTAGTACCTTTCAAATGTATTTTAAGAGCACACTCCTTTTCTTTTCTCCAGAGGAAATATAGTCAAGTGCCCCCTATTTAGAACATAAAAGAGGTATGGCTTTCCATTAAGGATTTGTGGCAGGCCCAACCTGCTTAGTCAACATCTTCTCTATCCTTGTGTTTTCTGAAGCACCTTTGTGAAACTCAGGGAAGCCTTGAAGAGAATTCCCATTCCAGCTTCCCGAGCTTAGTGGCTGTGGGATTTGATCAAGTAATTAAAGCTCTCTATGGCTCAGTTTTCTCATCTGCAAAATGCAGATAATAACAGTACAGATGTAGAATTCCTTATCCAAAATGCTTGGGACCAGAAATGTTTTGGATTTTGGATTGTCTCAGATTTTTGCAATATTTTCATATACATAATGAGATATCTTGGGGATGGGACTCAAGTTTAAGCAAGAAATTTATGTTTTGTATATACCTTATGCACATAGCCTAGGGATAATTGTATATGATATTTTAAATAATTTTATGCATTAAACAAAGTTTGTGTTACACATTTATGTGTGGAATATTCCACTGGTGTCATGTTGGCACTCAAAAAGTTTTGGATTTTGGAGGATTTTGGATTTGGGGTTTTGAGATTAGAAATGCTCAATCTGTACTATTCATTGGGTAAAATAAGTGATTAAATGAAATAAAGCATCTCAAGCATTTAGCACATTTTCTGGTGTGTTGTGAATACTGAAAAGTCATGGTTATTGTTGTTCGTACGTGTCCAATAAGTATTTATTACTATTTAACTCCTTCAGTGAGCAAATGTGAGTAACATTTGAATGAAAATAAATTTTCAGCTTATTTACATGCTGAAATAAACTTGACTGTATCAAGTAATTGTGAGAGTGGGGAATAAACATCATCTGGGGATGGGAAATAAACACCACTATAGAGAAACTGCTAAGATTTGAATGCCTTGCTTGTTTTAAGTTTGTTGATGCAGGTATTACATTGATTATGCATCAGGGAACTGGAAACCAAGGCATTTATTCTTTTAAGAAAATAGATTCTTAAGCATAAGAGTCTCAGGTTTTAAGAACTATTTCTAAATTCAACTAAGATCGAGTTTTTCTGTCTCTATTGGTGAGTATTAAGAGGCATAAACTTAAAAAGGGAAAATGTGATAAATTAATGGAATAGACTCCATAGGCTTTTATTCCAACTTTTATATGATGCAAATCTACATGCTTCTGTCTGACTCACTTATTTCTGTAATCAAGATGAACTAGTGAAGGGAATTTCTCCCTCAATGCTACATTAATTACATGCATCAATTTTGTGATTGGGGATAGTCATCCAGACAGAGGGAAGGTGACCCTTCTGAGGTTGTCACCCAGTGGATAATTGCCTGAGCTGAGAGTGGCATGTGGGTCACAGAATTGGTGTTTCTGGATTTAGGAAATACTTCCTACTTTTTTCCACTCCTTCTGGCTAAGCCAAGAATGGCAAGTATGTGTTCATGCTGCTGCATTCCCTTCCAGGCCCATAAGGATGTTGGCAGTCCTTCACAGCCTTCTCACAGGCGGAACCTGGATTAATTTAAGAATCCTTTTGTGCCTGGCTTTTCAGGAAGCCAGTACCAATCAATTGGTGTTGGCATGAAGCATGAAACTATTTGCCATCTCTGAGTTATGCCAGTAGAATTGGCATGCCTCTGGTTTCCATGCATACCACTACCTTTCATGGGTTTTATTGTGCACAAACTTTGCATGCCTTTAGAATGATATACCTACACAGGTATATAATTTGTCACCCTGATCCAAAAAGGGGAAGATGCCAAGACCCATAGTGAGCCTCTTATTAGAAAGCTCTTGGCTTCAGTTTTTGACACTTCCCTGACTCTTTATATTCACATTATCATAAGTTGCCAAATTCTTGACTCTATAAATTGCCCTTTAACAGCTTATTAGGAATTCCAACTACTGTATTCTAGCACCAACTACAGCATATTCAGAGCCTCTGCAATTCCAAAAAGTACACTTAAACCAAATACATGGGCCAACCCACATCTTTTAAAATGCATTTTATGCATTTACACTTTGTATTAAGTTGGGTGAGAATTATATTTTAATCTACAGTCTATCTCGAATTGTCTTACATTTTGTTCTACTTACCAGAGTTCAGGTTCTTATCCAAAATGCAGTTAAATTTTTTTCTCTTAGATAGATGCATTCCTGAAGCAATTAGAACAGCATGATCCCTTGGTATTTATTGACATTCTCATCATTGTCTCATTGGCTTTAGGTTTAACATGCCTCATGATGACAACAACAAATGTAAAGAAGAAGGAGTTAAGAGTCCCCAGCATGTCATGGCTCCAACACTGAACTTCTACACCAACCCCTGGATGTGGTCAAAGTGTAGTCGAAAATATATCACTGAGTTTTTAGAGTAAGACTTGAACATTCTTTTAGCACAAACTTCTAGTGCCTGGTCTACATGTAGTGAACGAATTGTGGGAAAGACAATACAAAGTCAAACATTCCTTTTCTGTTATTTTTGTTGACATTCCTTGGAGAAGGCAAAACAAACAAACAAACAAACAAAATACTCTCTGACATCTGTGTAGTTCATATCCTTGCCAGAGTTTAGAAGATTACAGACTGAGCTAAAGAAAAGGTTGGAATCTTAAAGAGGATGTGGAAATGTTGCTTCATTTTGGGTAAAGTTTTGAGATTTGTTCAGACATGGGGAGAGGGACTATGAATCTGATTTCTTGATGAAGGCCGCAAGTATTTATGCACTTCTAATTTAGTAATTTTGGCCTGAAAAGGGGTGGGGTAGTGAGATGATCCCAAAGCAGAGTCTGTGGATGAGTAGAAATTATAGTAGCTCCCACACTGTTGAATTGAGGACCTTCTCTCTCTGCCTCACTCTTCCTCTCCCCCCTTCCCTCCCCCTTTTCTCTTTTTTCCCATTTTCTTTCTTTTCTTGTTTTGTTTTTTAAGCTTCCTGCTAGGCTGCTCAAAGATCCAATTATATTATACAATGCCCCTGTGTCACAGATTTATTGCTCTTCTCTCTCAGAAGTATGAAAGGTTAAGTGATTGTCCCAGAGTCACTGGGTGTATATTTCTGCAACCACAGGGAAGAGGAGGCTTTATTAATCAGAACTCAACGGGTGTGAATTTTCCAGGAGAGGTGTTTGCTGAAAACGGAAAGAACCGGAGGGTTGCTGTTTTTCTTTTTAACCAGATGGTGTAAAGTGTTTTCTTTCTATGAGTCATTGATTTGCTTATGCATCCCTTCAGCAAACATTTACTAAGCACCTGTTGTCATGGACAGGGCCCTGTGCTTGGATGAAAAAGACACTATCTTTGCCCTTAAGAAGCTTACAGTCTATTGGGAAAGATAGTCAAACACAAACAGATAATTACTGTGAAGTGTGATCAAACATTGTAGCAGATGTATATTTCCTACTGGCTATGTTGTATTCATTGTGTGTGGTTCTACAAAGTAAAGAGCAAAAATGTAACTTCAGCATCTGGATTTAATCTTGGCTGTAAAGAATAAAGCACATGTTAAAAAGTAACTGTCCTCTCTACCATTACAATGGTGGGGTGGCCTTTACCATTATCTGGAGCTCTTGACAGCCACCGTTCTCACCATCTGTGTGTTTCTGTGTATTTCCGTAGCACTGGTTATGGCGAGTGTTTGCTTAATGAACCTGAATCCAGACCCTACCCTTTGCCTGTCCAACTGCCAGGCATCCTTTACAACGTGAATAAACAATGTGAATTGATTTTTGGACCAGGTTCTCAGGTGTGCCCATATATGGTAAGTGTAGGAGGGCCACTTCTGCCCTCATCTACTGATTCTGCTCTTCTTTTTATTCATAGTTTTCCATTGGATTCTAACTCGAATATAAACTACCTAAGGAAAAGCTGAGAGTAAAATTGTATATTAGTGATCATAATAATTATGAAGATGACACAACAGTACTATTGCTCAGTGTTAAATAATGCTTTACCTGCACTTTCTCATGTCATCCTCATGGCAGCCCAAAAGGGAAATGCCATCATCACTTTCATTCTACAAGTGAAAGTGAGGCTCAGAGGCAGCAAGGTTACAGAGTTGGGAATTACAGAGCTCAGCCTTTTTCTCTCCTTGTCGCCTTTAATGCCCTTCGACTTGTCCAGGTGACCTAAATTATAGGGACTCTTCAAGATTCAGAAGAGGTAACTCATGAGACAAACGTGTCTCTGTGTTTTAGCTTGTGAAGGTAACATCCTGTGACCAACTGGGGCTTGAAATCATTTCTGCTGGGGCCTCAGCTGGGATGGCCGTGTGATATAGCCTGATGCATGTGTTGTGGAGGTTTGGGCCAGTGACATCATCTAGCAGTTATCAGGTTGCAGATGAGTAGAACTGTGCTTCTATGGGGTGGCCCATTCTGTCTCTTTGGGGTGGCATGTGTGTGTTTCTTTTGCTGGGAGTGTCTTCAGAGATTGCCTGGTGAATTGAGAAGTACAGTAGTATTCCATGGAAATAATAACAAAATTTTGAGTAAACTTGATTCATGGCAATATTTGTTTTTGTGTTATTTATGATAGGAAAAATTAGGAGTCATTGAACTGCCAAGCAAAAGAAAAGTTAAGCAAATTATAGTGTCTCCCTTTTGTAGCAATTGAAAACGATCTGCATCTGGGAACATGCTCCTGATATAATTTTAAGTTAAGATAACAAGATAAACATTTTTATAAAGTATGATCTCAACCCTAAAAGGGGAGAAAAAGCTACAGAAAAGATGGAGTAGTTTGAAACCTTTTCTATTTAAAAAAATAAACTTTTAATACTTGTGCAACTTTTCTACTGTAAGTGTGGTTTATTTTAATAATTAGGAAAAATTAAAAAATCTTTTAAAAGTGTGCCCTGAAATAGAGTTAAATATAGCAAATGGAATAAATCTAAAAAACAGAGCATTTAGAGGAGGAAGAAAGCAAGTTGTAGGATATGTCAGTATGGTGCAGTTGTAAAGCTTACATGGTGTCTATTACTGGAGATTTATTAACATTTGTAGTAAAAGTGTTGGGAATGATGAAGTGATGAACACTACTCAGGACTGTGGTCACTTCTGGTAAGAAAGGGAAGGGAAAGGGACCTAGGATGAGTACATAGGGCCTTCAGCTGTGCCTGTGAAGTTTTCTTTCCTTAGCTTGGTGGTGGGTACATGGGTATCCATTACCAGGCATAGAAATGTGTTTTATGGGCTGCTGTCTATATCTCTTTTAATATTTTAGCATTTATCATGCCAAGAAAAGAATTTCCTTTCCAACTTACCCTATATCATTAGCGAAACATTAGTTGAAAGCAAGCTTTGCCTTGTTTGATACTGTCAAATAAATCATTTGTCACTCAATTGCCATTTCATTGAATTGAGCAGATGCAGTGTAGACGGCTCTGGTGCAATAATGTCAATGGAGTACACAAAGGCTGCCGGACTCAGCACACACCCTGGGCCGATGGGACGGAGTGCGAGCCTGGAAAGGCAAGTAATGCCCTGTTCTGTCCTTCTGTCTTAGGGCAGAAATGTGCACAATTTTGGCTGTATAATCAGACACCAATGTTTAGAATATAAAACAATGCAGTCTGTTTTAGCATGCGTAATATTTTTTAGAAGACAGATGTTTAGCTTACTATTAAAAATTGTGAAACTTAGATTGTGTAATGCTGATACCAGAGAATATACCTATCATTATTGCTTCAATATTAAGATATTCTCTCAACTTAAGACTTTCTCTCATTTAAACATGTCTAAAATTCCAGTGTGCCTATGGGAACATTTAATGTGAGATTGTATTTCTTTTTCTTCTCTTTTGGGGTGACACTGGAAAGCTATTGGTAAGTTGATGGAACAGTTTAGAATCAAGGAAATAGAGAAATATAGTACATCTATTGCAGGTACTACTATGATACCAGGCTTTTGCCAACCGGCATTATTCCCTTTAAGGAGCTATAATGTCATCTAGGATATATCCAAATCCAGGTTCTCATGCGCTGGTTATAATTGTTTCTACTGATTTGTTAATAGCTAAACAGAATCTGCTACTTTTGTGGCCCAGTGGTAACAGTGTCTCATGCACCTAGGAGTATGATTAACTTAACCTTCTGTACCTAGTGTGCATTTAAAAAAAATGGTGGCATGTCAGTGATACCACCATCAGCCCAAAAATTTGGTTACAAAAAGTTTTAGATATAAATCCCAATTTAAAAAGAAATACACATGGAAAATGGCATTCTATCTGTAACTTACCAAGGATACAATTCCTGAATGATATTTCTGAGTGGTTTGCTATCCTTCTATATGTTTTTCCCTTTTTTCTCTCCTCTTTGCATTGTCCACTTTACTTACTTTTAATAATTCTCATCTCATTTCGCTTTCCTCCGCTTTACCTTATAGAATCAGTAGCACCCAGAATGTTTCTGTGGAAGAGGTCCTCCTAAGAGATGATGGAACTTCATTACCTGTTCCCTGATCTTGCAGAGAAGAAACTTCTCAGTTTCTTGTCTCACAATGAGTGATTTGTCCAAGGTCACTCAGATCATTTGGCACAGCCCCTCCTCTGAAGGGGCAGCAGGTCCTACTGGAGTGGCCCTAACTCAGGCTCACTGAGCTCCTCCAGTTTGTGATGGTCAAAGAGGAAGACTAGTGGATTTTTCAGTGTTAAATGATCCTGAGGATATGAAAGTTTAAAAATATAAAGGCCAATGCAAAAATAAAAAATTATAATGAAGATGCTTTTGTCTTTGACTTAAATTGGAAACAGAGTCAGCTCATGTGCTAATTTCTCTGTGGCTGGGACCTCATCAATTGAGAATATAGCTTTCCTCAATGACAGCCTAACAAAAAGTGTATACGGATACAAGCGTGTAATAGCTTCTAGAGCTTTCATTGGTGTAAGGGGAAATATATCTCTTTGACCAAAGAGTGAATCTTTGCAAGACGTAAAACTTAGTGGATTGGAGGCTACAAAATCATAGTTTTGTCTGAGAGTCCATGGCAGCCATTAAAAATTGAATATGGCACTCATTCTTACAAAATCAAGATGTAGCCTCAGAGTCCTTCTAAACACAAAGATCCAAACAACTGCTACCAGTTGGTAGGAGATAACAATAAACTTAACACCTATTTGACAACTTGGTTAGTTGGCTTGAGTTAGAACCAGCCCGTTATATTACTTAAATTGAATCTGTTTGATCTCAGCAAAATCACTGGTATTTAGTTGTGGTTCTTAACCTGATAGACCCACCCACTGTGTCTATTTCTGACACATGTTATTGCTGCAAAAGAAACACAACAAAGAAAAATTTTCAATTACGTGATGAAATGACTTGTATTTAGTAAAATTGTCATGAACGTGCTATCAAGCTCCATATAGCAGTATGGTTACCCAACCAGTTCTAGAATGCAGAATAACTTGGAGGATGTCAATTGTGTCTTTTCCCAATCTTCTGTTTTTGCAGAAGAGGAGGGATAGTAGGGTAATCTTCTATCTTCTGAGGGATGGGGAGCTTTGGGAGAGCTTTCAGCAGACCCTGCTCCTGCTAAACACAAGCAAGTGGGTGTGCTTGTAGCAAGAGCAGGAGCCTTCAAGGCATTCCCAAGGTAGGCTCAGGATGCTTTTGGAGAAGAACTGTGCAGAGAAAACGATAGGTCCAGTTTTAGTTGTTTTAGAAAAATGGCCATGTCTAGCAGCTTTTATTAAAGATGTGGATATATATAAATACCCTGAAGAGTATTTACACATTCTAGAAATGCCAAAGAAGGTGAATATGTTGGCATAGAAATTCTTTGAGTTTTTTGCTTTGTTTCTTTTTCATAGAATTGCCAGTATGTGTGTTTTCTCTATATGCTAGCACATTCTGCCTCCCTTGGCCGCTGGGTTAATGTTTTTTCTTTCTTTCCCTTCTTTCTGTTCTGCTCCTGCAGCAGTAATCTGTCTTGGGCTGCTGACACAATGTTATTTTGATGAATGACTCACTAATGTCTCTTTATTTTCTCCACTCTCTTAAGTCCCTTAGCATTTTCATTTTAACCTTATTTGTGAGTGTGAGGTTTGAAACCCCTTTGTTTCAAGTTTCCTCTGGACAAAATCAACCTCTAAGTCCCCATTCCAACCTCTTAAAAAGATACATTTGTATAAAATACTATTTAAATGGTTTTGGACATTTTAAATAAAGGCTGACTCTATTTCAGCTCTTATTTCACCAGCCACCTAATGCTTTGCTATGATGTAATAGTAATTTTGCTTTGTGATTATTATTTGTAGAATTTGCCAGGTAAAATAGATTATCTTGGCGCATGTTTCCCAAACAGCCCCCATTCCCAGCATCTGTCATGTCAGACACTTTTCATATTCCTCTGAAGTTCTTCCTCTCTTTTGGACACCTGTCAATGGTCATATCACTAAGAAATATTTAATTTCCATATCAGTTTTGAATTAGAAGTTTTCTTTTAAAAAGCAACTGTGAGGACATTTGAGTGCAGTGCTAAATGGTAGTGCTCTGATAAACCTACCTCCTTGTTTTGTTCTGAGGTTTATAGTAATGCTTAATGAGAAGAATGGTCATTTGGAATTTGCTCTCTTGTGGAAATAAAATCTGTAGAATAAAGAGATCCAGAAACTGAAGTCTAAAGTGCTAAGAGGGAAAAAATATATTTCCAGAAAACTCCTTAATTTTGTCCTCAAGGTACAAAATGGCTGTGTTAGCTCCAGCCAAGGAGTCTGACTTCCCCGCGGAATGAAGCCAAAGAGTTCAGAGGGCCTCTTGAGTAATCCTACCCAGTGAATTCTGCTAACTTCCCTTTGACCACCACTATCCATAGGGAAACTTTGGAAAATATAGGTTCTATTGCCAAGATAAAGGGGAGGATGGATATTGAGTGAATAATCTGGAGACTCAGCCTCACCTAGGCATCTCATTAATCTTACTTTTGGTGAAAACTTCAGTCCCTTATTTAGATGTCAGAAATTGTCCCCTTTGCTCACAGTTAAGAGGCAGTATGTGTCCCAGTTAAGAGTATGCACTGTTAAGTCTTGTCTATGTTTCAGTACCATTCCTGCCTCTTACTTATGTTTGGCATCAACCCCTCTGTCCCTTCATTTTCTTTTCTGTAAAAATGGAAGTTATAATAGTACCTACTTCGCAGTGTGTTGTGAGGACTGTTTGTATACATAATGCTTAGAACAGTGCCTGACAAATATTAAGTGCAGTGTACACATTTACCATTATCATTGCCACTGTTATTTAAGTGGGGTCCCGTATGTGCTGAGTTATATACTAAGTATGTTACATACTTTGTCCCATGTTAAACTCCAAATAATTTTGGCCAGTAGGTCCCCATTTTTTGGTTGTGGAAACAGACTTTAAGGACTCACCCAAGGCCACAGAATTATTTTGTAAAAGAGTTACCAGTCCTAGTGAGACCTGTTATATTCTGTTAAGTTTTGTCTATCTAGACCCGCTGTGTCCAGTATGGTGGCCACTAGCCACGTGTGGCTATGTTAAAAGGTCAACATGAACTGAGATGTGCTTAGGTATAAAATACACCCCAGGATTTGAAGACTTAGTATGAAAAAAAAGAGCATTAAAAAACTCATTAGTAGGCCAGGTGTGGTGGCTCAGTCCTGTAATCGCAGCACTTTGGGAAGCCAAGGAGGGCAGATTTCTTGAGCCTAGGAGTTTGAGATTAGCCTGGGCAACATGCTAAGATCCCCCACCCCCAACTGTCTCTATAAAAAATAAGAAAATTTAGCTGAGCATGGTGGTATACGCCTGTGGTCCCAGCTACTTGGGAGGCTGAGGTGGGAGGATCACTTGAGCCTGGGAGGTTGAGGCTGCAGTGAGCCATGATTGCACTACTGCACTCCAGCCTGGGTGACAGAGGAAGACCCTGTCTCAAAAAAATAAATAAATAAATAAAATAAAAAATATCTTGAGTAATGTTAAATAGATTACATGTAGAAATAACAATGTTTTAAATAGATTGGGCTAAATAAAATAAATTAAGTTTTTTATGTGACTTTAGAAATTCTTAAATTATATATGTAGTTCATGTTCTGTGTCTACGGGACAGAGGTACTCTAGACAAAGCTGTCTGTCTGTTCATTTATTTTTATATGTATATTTTCTAAGAAATGTTCACAGCCACTGTAAAGACAAATATGAAGTTATTTCCAGAGAATGACGTAGTCCCCACTGCCTTGGTGCGCATTTCATGTGTCCTGAGTCACCCGGGGTTCAGATGCAGAACGTCTTAAGCCTCAGCCAAACAGCCCAGGGAAAGGGACGTGTCCTCAGATACTGTAAGAGGATAATTACAAGGGAGGAGGCCAGGCAGACTGGAGAAAGCTTAATTGCACTGTTTAAATAATTGTTTACCAAGTATTGTGTGGGAGTGGGGCCTGCTATTCCCACTGAGACCTTCACCTACCTCTTATTTTTCCACTTTCCCTGCATACTGCCCCACCCCCTGGTCTTCAAACTTCTCTGCCTCTCCCCTCTTGGCGGCTGTGTCCTCCCTGGGGATAAATCATGACAGCCGCCACCAGCTCTGCTTCAGAGATCTGAGCGAGCCGCGGGGCGTCACCCTCCTGTGGCCACTGCCGCCACTGTTCCTTTGTCCATTGCTCAGTGACCTCGGCTTTGTGTCAGGGCTTCACACCCCAACAATGGCAGAGGGTTGGAATGGCTTCTCTCCTCCCTTGTCCTGCTGAGGAGTTTTATTTTGTTTTATTATTATTTTTTAAACATCATGGCCTTCTTCCTGCTCCAGGCTGGAGAATCTGAAACCATTAGTAACAAACAAGTAATAAAGTTTAGGGCTCTCTGTAGTGTGTCCATTTTGCTTTCGTCTCATCCTGACAGGTTTCCTGGAGTGTGTTTATAGGAATCATGTAACTCGCTTTTTTTTCCCCTCTCCAATATAATTAAAATTGGGAGCAATAAAGCATTATAGTTTACCAGACTTGTAACTTCTCTAGGCCTTATTGATGGAAATTCACTATGCAAATCTTAGAACTCATTTTGGCCCTGTCTATAACCACCCTTCCCATTTCCACTCCTGGTTTTTCCAAGTAAACTAATTGAGCCGTTTGAAGCTTGCCATCGGAGTTACCATGTCAGCCTGGAGCCAGTCACTGGCCAGTTTTATTCAAGCAAGCTATAAAGGAAGACCCAGCCTAAAATCACTAAGTGTGAGATTAAAATCCCTATAGTTTCTAGTATTCATATAGATGATGAATCTGCAGCATTTCAAACCCACATATGGAAAATAATTAAAGTATGGTGTGTTTAAAAGGATAGCCAGTCCTGTAACAACTCATAGCGCCAAGTCTCCCTCACTATTCCCCTTATTAAATACAGCACTGCAAGTATGGATTTTGTGTTCCCAAAGAAATGGATGTCCCTGTGACAGATGGATCCTGGGGAAGTTGGAGTCCCTTTGGAACCTGCTCCAGAACATGTGGAGGGGGCATCAAAACAGCCATTCGAGAGTGCAACAGACCAGAGTAAGTCCTAGAATGTATAACTGTTATTATTGGTATGTCAGGAACAAGAGATTCCTAAAGGGAATAATTTTGGTGGATGAAGAGCACGTTCCAAATTAGAGAGCTAGAAAGAACATAAACTTCAAGGGCTGCTTAGACCCACGGTACCCAAAGTCTATTCCCAGGCACTTCTCCCTGTATTATTGTTTTTCTCTCAAGATCCTTTGTTATTCACAGTTTTATCTACCAAACAGATGATGGTTTTGGGGTTGGTCTGTTTCCCAGTGTTGACAATCAGGCAGGTCTCACTCTCCCCGCTACACTCAGAGCTTAAGATAGCACACTAATGGAGTGACTAGATAGATTTTCACATGGAAACAAAAACATTGGGCATTTTCATCCAGTTTGTAGACTAATATACTCCCTCTAGTTAGACCTCAAGGGACCTGGGACCCCAAATCAAGAATTACTTTTTATTTTATTTTTTTCTTTTCTTTTTCCACCAATAATGTGTTCTGTGATAAGAAATTACTTTTTTAATCAATCTAGTTGTATTACAGGTGAGACAGCTGAAGTCCCCATCCTACAACCTGACATTTTACAGATTGAGAGTCTCTTGCCTTTCAGAATAATTCTCATTGTGTGACTATGGCAACTTCTACCAACCTAACCTTGTCAGGACTGACATGTTTAAATAAAGTCCGTGGACTTTTTCCCCCAGCATTTGTCATAGCAGACATGGGTAGGGTGGGGTGGGTTGGAGGGTTGGGGAAGCCTGTTTATGCATAATAAATTGCTATCTTCATTTTGAAAAATGGCATCCAATTTTACATAGATCTAAGACATATATAGTTGAAAAGGAATAGAAAATAATAGGTAAGTAAAAGTAAGTAATAGTTTGTATGGCACTTTCTCAGACTTGCCATGGAACCTATTTAGGCTGGGGAACCAAGAAATCTATAGGGATAGTTTTTCAATGTAAAAACCCACAACCACTTTGAAGACCCTAGCTGCTTTGGGATTTTGTAAAATGATTTCCTCTAGCAGTCTCATTTATTTTTAATAGCTTAGATCATGGATAGCAAACTCTATTGTACTGAGAAGCAAATAGGTGAAGTAAAGGAACTAAGTAGGCTAGGGTAATACAATAGTTGTATTGTAGAGATCAAATGCAGGGCACTACTCAGGTCTGGCTGATTGTTCAGAGGTAAGAAAAGAGTCTAATATTGGCACAGCTTCCAAATCTTTTCTATGAAAAATCTGAATTGTGTGAATCAAAAAGAACATAGCTGTAGGCAACTGGTTTGCAGGCCCTGGTCTAAATACTCTGTACTACAAATCTCAGATGATGATTATTTACTTTAACTCATTTTTGTTCGTAACCCAACCTTATTTCATGTCCATGTAGTGGTCAACAAGGAAGATAACTAAAGGGCTATGAGATATAGACTCTGTTCCATAAAACTAATACTGTAGCTATGAATAAAAATGAATAAGCCTTAGATTTTTGATATAGCCTATATTTTGAATGAGTTTTTAAAATATTAGTATAAATATAGATCATGCTTAAAAAGATTCAGACACAAACATATAGAATATTTTAGAAGTTGTCACACTATTCCTACTTCCTGCTTATTCCCCATGAGAAATAATCACTAAAAAAAATTGGGTGTGTCATTTCAGACTTTTAGAAAAGATTGTGGATGTAAATATGTATTATATGAAATAAGTACCATATAATATAAAATAAGTATATATAATATAAAAGAAGCTTCATACTGCTTTTTAAACTCAGCTATACATCCTTGTTGCTGGTGTTGTTGAAGCTTTAAAAGAAAATCTTGTAACAACTAATATGATGAATTTTTACATATTAAAAACTATTTGTTGGCTACGTTGAGCAAAGTTATTAGTTTATAGTAAATGCTATCATGAGGGTATGAACTTGCAAACAGTGACCACTTTATAAGCACTTAAAACATTTTTGGCTCAAGAATATTCCATTCAAAATAAGTATTTGGCCTTTTTTTAAATACTACTTTTTTAAGTCTTGAGCAATTCTAGAAGTAATGTGAAAAGTGGAGAGAGATAAATCACTCCATAATTGGAATGGGCTAGACAAAGAAAATCACCCAGTGTAAAGATCTCAGCAGAAAAGGATCTTGAGCTTCAAAGTGCAACAAAGATCCTCACATTCAGAAGTTAAGAACCAATCATTAAAGACCTCAATTAGAGGTCCTTGTCCCTGCTGTTTGCTATGGGAGTTTTTTTTTTAAAAAAAAAAAAAAACCACCTAGTTGAGTGTCAGCACTGACATCATTTCATTAAAACTCCTCCAAGTTATTTGCACTTTAGGATGTCCCTGTTAATTGAGGAAGGAGACTGCCTCTGAATACAGAGGTTACAATGGCTCTGGGGGAGTCAATTTGAAAAGAGAAAGGAACACAGAAAAGGGAAAATCAGATCCAAATCTCAGTTTAAAAGCTTGTTCAGAGAAATTCACAGAGCAGATGGTTCATTATGTAGAACGTAGAAGTGGTTGCTGTCACGCTTCTCAGGGAGTTTGAGGGGAACAGCTGCCCCCCTCACCGGGAATATGCCTTTTGTCAGTTTGACGAGCCCTTACAATATAATGGAGTACTCTGTTTTTAGAACCCAAGGTACAAGGTATGTCTCTATTAAGGACACTGGATTGTTTTGTCTTTTTTCACAGTATTTATCTGATTCAAGAGTGTATTTATTTAGCATCCAGAGACTTTATAGTATATTCTTAGGAGTTTTTTCCCCCCCGAAAGCATAAAAGCCAAAAAAGATGGGATTATGCTCTACTCCACGAACAAGCTGTAGAGACCATATGCTTTCTAATTTTGGTCACAAGATATTTTGGTCTCAAGTGGTATATATGGTGCTACAGGTGGGGCCCTTATATTTTGTCTTTAGGTGCTTTATTTTTTTAATCTCAATTTTGATCCATGCCCTACAGATAAGATGATCATAGTTCTGGTTTGCAACAACAGTCCCTCATTCTATCTGTTGCCCTGGAGGAGTTATTAATAGCTCCCGTTTTCACTCTCAGAACGTTCTTGATTGGGCAATTAATTATATGGTCTCCCGGCCTATAAGAAGTGTATAATAGAGTAAAATTTAAAATCAGAACCACCAAAATATAACTTACAGTACCAAAACCAGACTGAGCTTTGGAACTAGAAGATGTATTTTCAGACTTTTGGGCCCTATACTTGTTTTGTGCTCACAATTTGGCTCAGAGCTTCCTTGTGGCTGAAACAAAATGGTACGTAGAATTGTTACAGTCTATCAAAAACAAAAATCATACCAGTTCCTCAGGAAAGGCACAGCATTTTATTTTTCCAATGCTTCTATTTTGCTTTTAAATTAGGAGATAGGTTAAAATTTGAAAATAATAAACTCAAAAATTTGAGAAAAAAAAGATTGTGAACTAGATATTTCCCCCTTAGGCTCTCTCCATAGCAACTGCTTATGAAATCTTACTTTAAAAACATATTCAAGACATATGTCTATTTCATCCAGAAAATGAATTTCTCATTTGGCTGTAAGGAATTACAGCAAGGCTTTTTTTGAGGCACTCGGTTTGGATGAACTTGTTTCGAAATGTTGAGAATTGGTTACTGTGGAAGAGCGATTAACTAATGAACACATAAAAGAATCCAGTTTCATAGACTGCCCCATTTGGAAAGATCATTAAAGATGGGCTGGTACAGCTCCCGCCCCATCCCATCTAATTTTGAATAGCCTTTCAGCATTCTCCATAATTGGCCATCAGGCCCCTTCTTAAAAACCTCCAAGCACAGGAATCACACTACCTTCTGGGGCTGCCTGTTATATCTTTAGAAATGTCTTGTGCCAACCCTAAATCTGCCTACCCTAATTCATTGTACATAAACGTAGAAGTTGATATTTCTGTTCAAACCCTTTTGCAGACCAAAGTTTAGCTTTCCTTGAGAATAGACTGTATCTGTGATGACCTCTGCAAAAATTTCATTATAGTTTTGGTCATGATCATCTTGAATTTCCTTTCTATGTGTCAACAGGCATGGCTGTGTAATATGTGCTTGAAAGAAAGATCCAATTTGGCTGTGCATAATAGGAATTACTCTAGCAATTTCCTTAAACCCTTCCCATCCCTATTTGACATTCAATATTTTAAAAGGATCTTAATAGTTGGGAAATGTGGTTACTATTTTTTAAAGCTATATTTCCTATTATTTTCAATATTTGCCTACCTAGAAAAATACTCTTATTCCACTAAATAATTAAATTATAAAATGATTTTTTTTTCCTTGCTGAAAGATGAGTTTGGTTGGCTAAAGTTTTCTCTATTATATAGTCCATGTAAATCAGGCAACAGTCACATTGCCTAGGAGAGAGGAAACATAATATAGTTTAGAAGGCCAATTTATATTTGTTAAAGTCATGTCCATAATTAAGGAAAAAATTATAACCTGTCTTTACATAAAAGCAAATCAACTTGCAGACCAAGTTTTGATATGGAAAGAGGCCTGTCTCAAGGGAGACAGCCTGAAACAGAGGCCAGGTCTTGAGCTTCTGGTCAGGGAGAGTTGGATTGGGCTCCCCTCTCAGTACAGGCAGTGACAGAATTTGGAACGTAGCGCAGTGACACAAGAATAGTCCAGGGATCAGGAAACCTTTTCCATCAGGGCCAAATAGTAAATATTTTAGACTTTGCACTTTATGTGGTCTCCATCACAATTACTCAACCTTACTGATACACGGAGAAACAAACATAGACAATGTGGATGTGGCTATGTTCCAATAAAACTTTATTTATGGACACTGAAATTTGAATTTCCCATGGTTCACATGTGTCCCAAAATCTTCTACTTTTAAGATTTTTTTTTCAATTACTTTAAAATGTAAAACTTATTCTTAGCTAACAAGCCATGCAAAAATAAGTGGCGGGCTGGATTTGGCCCACAGGATGGTAGTTTGCCAAATCTTGTAATAGCTAAACTTTTATTAATCACTTACTGTAAGCCACACTTTGTTCAAGTGCTTTGAATGTATTAATCTAGTTAACCCTCACCACAGCTTTATGAAGTAGATATTAGTACCATCTCCCTTTTACAGACAAGCAAACAGAGGCTTGGCAAGATTAAGCAACTCACCTAAGATTGCATCATTATTAAGAGGTATGGCTGGGATTCAAACCCTTTGTTTCCAGAGTCCATGTTTCTAACCATCAGGAGTATTGCCTCTCACATATAGTATTTTTTGTGTGTTTATAAAAAATGTTTTTTATAAAAATAAATCCCAAAATACTACTTGCCATGTTATAGTGGTCAAAGCAAGCAAAGGTGGAAACTGTTACCATCTGAAGGGAAGCCACCTGTAAGTCATAACTATTTGCAGTCCGAAGAACTACTGCATTTGATAAAGTTCAAGAATCAGCTAAGACTTGTTATATAAGAGAACAAAAAAATCAATTTTAAAAACTTTATGTTCAAAGTGAAAGAAATATGAGTTACTTTCAGGCAATAAATAAATGATTGATCCACCATAGTCAGCTGGGACATCTAAAAAGATTCCATAATGATAATTGCAACTCAAGGAAAAATTGAAGGGGGTCTTCCTTGTAGTACATTTAAAACAAGTTTCACCTGAGCAGGTATACAGTCCTGCTCTATTATTCATGGATAATCTGTGATATTTTATGCATGAGACTGGGGTGCCTTGTTACTGAGAAACGGGCTTGGATCTAGGAAACCCATTCTGCATCTCTAAATGGCACCGAAAAAGAAAACAAACAAAAGACTCTGAACCACAGCACACAGATAATGTAGCAGACGTGCACAGAGAAGATTCTGGGAGACTTGGATTCCAGTCCTGACTCTCCTCGTTTGTTAGCTGTGTGACCTTTGGGCAAAGTACTTCTCTAAACATCCTGTTACTTGGTATGAAAGCACCTCATCTTCCCTAGTCTTGGACAAGATATGAAGGAGCTTTTCCAGGTTGAATGAATAGTGCAGATATACAGTATATGAGCTTAATTGTGCTTAATGCAGAAACAGACAGACATAGACACGACTGTCTTATATGCCATTTTGCATCCCAAGATGCAGTCTTCCATATGATAAATAATGGTGAATGTTGATCAGACTTCTTGCTAAGTTTTTCAGAGTCACAACAAGCCTTTTAGGTAAACAGCATCATCTCTGTTTTACATGTGAAGATAGAGCCCAGGGAGGTGAGACAGCTTATACAAAGTCATCCCTCCAACTTGTAACCGCAAAGCTGGTGCTCTTACTTTATGTTGCAAATCTTTGATCGAATGAGTACATTTATAACAATATTAGGACAAGCTTCCCTAGGAGGGCCTTTTTGGGACCTGGGCACGCTGCAGGAGCACTGAGTCCTGCCTCAGTGCTCAGAGTGGGTGCTGAAGCCAACTGCAGAATCAGATCAGATTAGATTGGGCAGTGCTGACATGTACTATCATAGTAGCTAACATTTTCTGGCATCTACTATGTACACTCATTTTAGAGAAGGGGAAAATTGAAGCTCAGGAAGACTGAGAACTTTGTCTAGGGCCACACAGATAGGGCCAGATTGGAACCGAGATCCGGATAGGATAGAGATAGAGGATAGGGCCAGATTGGAACCGAGATCCAACTCCAGAGCTCCTTCTACCTCTCATTCTATATTTCGTGAGCAGGGATATATTTCTCATTCCCCAAAACTCCTGTTTGAAACAAACCAGCCAAAACCCCATTTTTTATAGTCCGATTACTCTGAAAGATTCATTCTAAAGGAAAAAAGGTGAAAAATGTCCTTTCAGTTTCAGAGTGTTCTAGGGCAGTTGTGAAACCCGAGCTGTTTGAGCCCTGGGTGGGTGAGCCCCAGCTTCCTATGATTCTGTGATCTTCCCATTTCCATGATGAATTTGGCATGCTGGTGACTGCTGGTAGATGTGTTGTATAATTTACTCTCTGGATCACATCTGGAATATACATGCACAGGGTTGCATGCCGAGATTAAATTTGCACTGTGATGCTTTGCAAGGCGTACGCCATACACTCGTCACACAAAAACTAATGAAACCAGTCTGCTCTTTCCTGCTTCTCCTCTTAAGTTAGTCAAAATGTGAACACATTCCCATTATTCCATTTTATTTGTGAAACAAACAAAAGCAATGGTTGTCTGGAGAGAGGGTGTAGAGGAACAGAATGAATGGAGGTGTGAGGGAACAAGTTTTTGATGGTCTCCTGTGAATATGTCGAGGTACAAAAGGAAGATAGGGAGCATTCCAAACCACTGTTGGGTACCTTTCACCTTCTACAGTTTTAACACTGAAGCACCGTGAATGTCGGGAAGAAAAGGAACAAAAAGTGGCCTAATAGATTCAGATTCAAGCTTTGTATGTCATACTTTAAGCTATACATTCTAACATTTATCCTCACAACTGCCTACAAGGTAGCTACATTCAATTTTGCAAATATAAGGGAGGCTTGCGGAGGTCAAGTGACTTACCCAAGGTTATACGCATCATGGTATTGACAGCAGGAATGCAAAACCAGGATTCAGGGCTCTTGCCCATTCCTCTGTCATTTGCCACCCTAGATTTACTTCTCTAGAAGACAGGAAGTCACGAATGAGGGAATGATGTTCAGAGGAATACATGATAATACAGTGTGTGTGCTCTTCACTTTTTTTTTTTTTTTTTTTCAGGCCAAAAAATGGTGGAAAATACTGTGTAGGACGTAGAATGAAATTTAAGTCCTGCAACACGGAGCCATGTCTCAAGCAGAAGCGAGACTTCCGAGATGAACAGTGTGCTCACTTTGACGGGAAGCATTTTAATATCAACGGTCTGCTTCCCAATGTGCGCTGGGTCCCTAAGTATAGTGGAAGTAAGTGTGTCTGGTGTATGTATCCGTCATTGGCCGGCCGGCACCGAGGCCAAGCACGAAAGTCAAGTTGTATCCTTTCTCTTCTCCAGTTCTGATGAAGGACCGGTGCAAGTTGTTCTGCAGAGTGGCAGGGAACACGGCCTACTATCAGCTTCGAGACAGAGTGATAGACGGAACTCCTTGTGGCCAGGACACAAACGATATCTGTGTCCAGGGTCTTTGCCGGGTAAGTCCCAGGTGGTGTTTTCTTCACTGTGTTTTCCCGCTGCCAAGCTGTGGTTTGTGGCTTCCTAGGTAGAATAGCAACTGCTAATATCTGTGCACTATTGCCAGGGCAGTGGTTCTCAAAGTGTGGCCCCAGGATAATTAACATCATCGGTATCCTTTTTTTTTTTTTTTTTTTTTTTGAAACGGAGTCTCGCTCTGTCGCCCAGACTGGAGTGCAGTGGCGCGATCTCGGCTCACTGCAAGCTCCGCCTCCTGGGCTCACACCATTCTCCTGCCTCAGCCTCCCGAGTAGCTGGGACTACAGGCGCCTGCCACCACGCCCGGCTAATTTTTTGTATTTTTAGTGGAGATGGTGTTTCACCATGGTCTCGATCTCCTGACCTTGTGGTCTGCCCGCCTCGGCCTCCCAAAGTGATGGGATTACAGGCGTGAGCCACCGCGCCCGGCCTAGTATCATTTTTTCTAATGCACGTTGTGCCAAAGTTTGGAAATCATTGCCCTTGATTTTTCTTGACATTTTCAGTCTCTGTGAGGGTCTTCCACAAAACCTCTCCTTAAAAATTTATTATAACAGTTTGCACACACACTCCTTTGCTATAACCTCAATGCTTAAGCAAATGCTTCCTGACAGCAAATTTTTTAGATTGAATAGCTGAGGTCGAGAAATATGTCAGGAAGAATAGCTGGCCTCACTCTAGTTTCTCTTTGCATTTTTAACCATGATCATTTCTACCTGAGACATGCCTGTTAATTAATTATTCTTGAAAGGGAAATTGGGAAACTTCTGGGAAACAGCAAAGCATCAGAGTAGTGATTTCTCAGGGGCTAGATACCATTTCACTGTTCTCGTTAGTCAAAAATTATTTCTGATCTGGTTGAGCTCTGAGATGATGCCTCTGGGTTTTTTTGTTTGTTTGTTTGTTTGTTTTTGTTTTTGTTTTGCCTGTGGTCCAAAAGCACATTGGAGTTCCTGGTTGGAAGGATTTGATTGAAAGAACCCCTAAGGGTATCACCCACTGACTAATAGCTTATACTGCAGATTTCCTTATCTATCCATTTCACAGCAACACATTGAGTTTTTCCTCAAAGATTAGTTCACACAGATGAGCAAAATGGACAAGAATGTGGACTGTGTTCTCCTGGTCTTCTGGTCATTGTCAGTGTATGTTTCAGAGTTCAGTGTACATGGCTGCATTGTGTTAATATGGGGAGAAATTCAGGAGGCCACTTGATGGAGCCTCAGGCTTGAAACTGGCGGCCCATGGTCATACTTTGGCTGGCATTCATAGCCAATATTTAAACGGATGGGATTTTACATAAAATCAATTTTTCCAGCTTCTTTGAAAAATTGGGAAAAAAATGTCAACACAGGGCTCCCATCCCTCATGGCAGCAATAGTCTGGAGTGGACAGCGGCAACTCCCTTATGATGGGGCATGAGCTCTTTAATTAGATACAGTCCTCACCTATGGCCTTTTTTTTCATTCCTAAGCAATTTTTTAAAAAATTACTGTGCTTACTTACAGACTAGTGCTTTTCAAACTTTTATCTGTAGATGAAGCACCTGAGGAATCCTATTAAAATGCCAACTCTGATCCAATAGATCTGGGTGGGTCCTGAAATTCTGCATTCCTGACCACATCAAAGGTGCCCATGGCTGCTGGTCCAAGGACCACATTTTAAATAGCAAGGCAGTATATAATTTCAGTTTTCAACCTTTGCAAGTTTAAAGGGACTTGACTTTCTTGTCATTTTGAGTGCACAAAAAAGAAACACATTATTTGGCATTTTATAATCTCTATAATACTTACATTTATTTCAAATCTTTTCTTTTTAAAAGCAAGCTGGATGCGATCATGTTTTAAACTCAAAAGCCCGGAGAGATAAATGTGGGGTTTGTGGTGGCGATAATTCTTCATGCAAAACAGTGGCAGGAACATTTAATACAGTACATTATGGTAAGAATCTGCTCCTAAGAACCGTGAGAAGGAATATGGTCAAAGTTTGAAAATTGTTAACCACATGTAATACTGAAAAGTATTAATGTTGAGCATAAAAATCAGTCTTGTTATGGTGGATTATCCATCAACAAGAAGGCACCTAATAGAATTATATGAGAATACATTCTATTCTTTTGTTGTCTACTTTTTATTCCATACTTAGAGAAAGTGAACCATTTTGTGGAGTACTGAATTTCTGCTAAATTCTTTTCAGGTTACAACACTGTGGTCCGAATTCCAGCAGGTGCTACCAATATTGATGTGCGGCAGCACAGTTTCTCAGGGGAAACAGACGACGACAACTACTTAGGTGAGACGGGATGCCCTGCCACGTGTGAGTTCTGGTTCTATGGAGCAGTGGCCAGATACTACTTCCTTCCTGCTCTGGCATGCAGAGGGAGAGCTTTCAGATGTCATGGATTTGCATAAAATAAGTGCATCTCAAAATTCATCATTGTTTCTCCCTCATACGTACGCCCTCGGAGTATTGATTGAAAAGTTATGTAGCTGCATTATTTGATATCAAGGGATTTACTCTGGATCTTAAAAAATACAAAGGCCCCAAGTCAAATTTTGAAAGTACTTATCTTCTAATTTTAGCATAAAATCCTTGCTCTCATTGGGTCTTTTCAAAAAGCTGTCCTGTGGGGAACTGACTTGCAAATGTTTTATTAGAAGCATTACTTGACTTCATTTTTATATTATCAGCTCTAACCAGTAGCGGACCACTGGTAGACTTATTCAGTATTTCATTATGCCTGTTCATTGCAAAAGGTTCTATGGTGACATGTATTTTTCTTAAGTCATTACTAGAATAACAGTACTATACAGATTTTTTATCCTTTTCTCACTGAACCTAGGTGCATGATTAATTAATATCTATTCCTTATATTTAAACCACACATACCAAAATGACACTGTGTTGATTTTCAACAGTTTGCTCAGCCCAGTCCCATCTTATTTTATTATTTATTTATTTCTTAATTTAAAGTTCTGGGGTACATGTGCAAGACTGTAGGTTTGTTACATAAGTAAACGTGTGCCATGGTGATTTGCTGTACCTGTCAACCCATCATCTAGGTATTAAGCCCAGCATGCATTAGCTATATTTCCTGATGCTCTCCCTTGCCCACACATCCTGCATCCCGCAAGCCCCTATGTGTGTTATTCCCTTCCCTGTATTTTTGAGATAGGATCTCACTCTGTCACCCAGGCTGGAGTGCAGTGGTGTGATCACAGCTCACTGCAGCTTCAACCTCCCAGGCTCAAGTGATCCTCCCACCTCAGCCTGAGTAACTGGGACTATAGGCACTCACCACTATGCACAGCTAGTAGTTTTTTATTTATTTTTATTTCTTATTTATAGAGATGATGTCTCACTATGTTGCCCAGGCTGTGCTTGAACTCCTGGCCTCAAGCAATCTTCCTGCCTTGCCTCCCAAAGTGCTGAGATTACAGGCATGAGCCACCATGCCTAGCCCAGTCTCACTTTAATTTATTTTTATGTAAATTTCTGTAAGTGATTGTGAAATTTGCCTAACTGCCATTTGAAAGAAAGGGGACATGGAGAGTAGAGTCATGACCGAAAGGGATTTAACTGGTCACCTTACACAAAACTCTTCCCAGCCATGAAGAGCAGCATGGCTTACACTCAGATCTAGAATAAATTAGAGCAGTCTTGCTGGGCAGTAAATCTTTAAAAGAAATGAATGTACTTTCTTTCTTATAATATCCAGGCAGGAACTCTATTTATTCATCTGAATTCAACCAGTATAGAGGCCCTTAATATAAGCATTTAGACATATTGAGCCAGAAAGTGAGTATTTGTTGAATTGAATTAAAGCCTATATCTCTATTTTGGAATGTCTACACGAAGCTGCATAGATAGACAGTGAGCCTTTAGCTAAGCATGCTAATCAAGTATGATATTTATACATGACTCCATTATGGCATTTGCTATCACCATTCATTCACTCACTCACTTATTTAATATGTGCCAGGCACGCACTGTTCTAGGCACAATGAACAAAACAGATAAAAAAATTTGTGTCTTCTTGGACATTACTTTTTAGTGGGACAATAAACAATAGGCAATAAACAGTAACCTGACAGATAAGAAAACTCCATACTGTTACAGGTGATAAGTGCTGCTAGAAATCAGAGCAGGCTGAGGGAAATTGGGATACCAAGTGTGAGATGTGGACAGTAGAGTTGAAATGTTTGAATCACAGAGCAAGATAGCAAGCTATTTAGAGGAAGAGCATTCCAGGTAGAGGGAATAGCCATTGCAAAGTCCTTGAAATAGGGAAGAACAGAGGGAGGCAGTGTGGCTGTTGCTGAGTGAACACAGAGGACACTCCTAGATAAGGTTAAACAGGACTAGGTCATAGACAACCATATAACCATTATAAGAACTTTGGCTTGGACTCAGAGACATCAGGAGCCACTGGAGATTTTGAGCTGAGGAATGAGATCTTACTGCATTTATGTTTTTAAAGGAGCACTCTGGCTGGCACATTGAGAAGACATGGTGGGGGAAGTGTACAGGACAGAAGCAGTGACATTGATTAGGAAATCATTGCAGTAATTCAGGAGAGAGATGCTGGTGGCTTGGCCCCAATGGGAGCAGTATGTGGTTAGATTCTGGATATCTTTTGAAGTTGGAACCAATATGATTTGCTGATGGATTGAACGTGGTGTGTGAGAGAAATAAAGGAGTTAAAGGTACAAAGGAATCTCAAAACTCCAAGGTCAAAACCTGAGCAGTGGGAAGGATGGAGTTGTCATCAACTGAGATGACAAGACGACTAGTTACATATTTATTATACTACCACTAGTGTTTTAAAGTTCGGGCAGGGTCTTTATGTCTTCAGCTACTGATATGAAGCCTACATATGATAGGTACGAAGCAAATGATTGCTGAATTGTTGAACAGCCATTGTCCATGCTGTCTTTAATGAATACCTACTGTGCGCTTAATGGAGAATGAGGTTACCTTGGAAATGTACATTGACCTCTTCTTTCAAGGACCGTAAAGCCTTGCTTGGAATTAATTACTCTATGACGACGTCAGCTTTTCACTACCCCAAATATCCAAATGAGTGGCAACTTTATAAGACAATTGACAAAGTTCTCGGGGAACTGTTTTCAAATTATTTTGCGGGGGGAATCCTTCATTTCTCCTTGAACAGCTGCAGAATGAGGCAAGTATCTTTCTTTGTACACTTGGTTATAAATTTGAGCATGTGATTGCTGTGTCCTTACTACTTCCTAATTAAATCAAACAGCATTGCATACAGCCTGCTTTATAAATTAATTTCCTGAGAACTGAAGGCCATGTTGAGTTGCTCCTTTCTTCTCTTCAAAAGAGAGAAGGATTCTCTGCTATTCTTCTCTTTCTTGGAAAAATAATCTCCCTCCAAGTGGTGGCCTCAATTCAGTTCAACTTAATGAGTGCACATCAAGCACCTGAATTCAGGAGGGCCTCCTGATAACCTTTTATTATTCACTGGAGGTTTCTTACTCTCCTTGTAAAGAATGAAAACAAAATTAAAGATTTGTCATCTGGGACAGGCAGTCTGAACCAGTTATGGCTCTTTAATGGAATAGAATAGGAAAGTCACCTGTTGGCATAAGGAAGTCTCTCTAGAAGCAAATGAAAAGTGTGCAAGCCTACATTGCAAGTCACAGTCCACTGAGTGTGAAAGTCGAGACCTCAGAGCCTTTGAACCTCACAGTGGTTACTCAACAAGTTAGGAAGAATTTGATGTTGTCATCAAGTCTGGCATGTGTAAATATTTACTCTTGGCTTGAGGGAAGATGCAGCAAATGCACTGAGAAGGTTTTACAACCCACACTGGGTCTCGCATTGAGTCCAGTCACAGATGTTCCATTGCTAAGCAAAGCAATCTTCATCCTTATCCCTTATGTGTGTGTGTGTGTGTTTTTTTTCATGTGAGCCAAGCCATACTTTTCTGTGTATTCTGGGAGGGAGAGATTTCCAGGAGAGAGGGCCTTTTGTAGCAACCCAGCTCTGATGGGTGCAATGGGAGGGAAACCAACCCAGGAAATTAGCTCCCTTAATCGCATTAGTGGGAGGTTGGGCATTAGGCTCTTGTTTTCAGGAAACTATTTGTTTCACAAAGTACCAAAGCAGAAAGCCTCCCTGTCAAAGGTCATCCTTTCACGTGGACCCCTTCCTCCTGTTCAGCTAAAGCCAAGTTGTACCCAGGGCCACCATGTTCATATCCCTTTAGAAGAAAAAGTAACCATTTCTGTGATACTTATTTGTCTCCAGTGCACTTAGCTCTTGATTAATTGTGGCAATGGGAAGATGGGAATCCGTGAGGTGCAAGATAAAATAGGAATTTTTTTTTCATCTGATGATTTTAAGGATGTCTGGGGCCAAACCGTTTATCAGGGCAGATCGTAAGAGGAATCCTTTATCATTTGTGCTCCTCTCTTTCACCCCACTCACATCTACTGGAATAAAGAATATGCAGTGAAGGGTGAAATACCCTGAGTCAGCAAAGCATGAAAGGAAGCCTGGAGACATTGGAAAAGCCCCCCAAATTAACCCAGAACAGACTATCACTCTTTACATATGACCACACTGGATTATCACCTGATTTACAGAACCAGCATGGGACATTTTACTTTCCCCTTTTTAGCAAGACATCAGCTGGGTAACTAGCATGCAACTTCATTTGAAAGAATTGGGTGATTTTGTTGACAGCTCATCATACTGTCACCATTTGAATGACCCACATTAGGGAGCAGCCTCAGGATACCCGAGGTGCCACGGAAACAACCTAAACAACCTCAGCTTCAGTGACCCATTGAAACTCCTGCCTCTTTCATGGCTGGTGGATCTCACGCTGCAGGAGCTACAGGCAAGACAAGGTTGTCAGAGGTTTACACTGACTGAAAAAGAGTCATTTGGCTGGAAGCACTCTATCCTCCTTGTCATGAGTGTCAGACTCCATCAGTCACTTATTCTTTCAGCATCATCGATTGAGCACCTACTATGGGTTGGGATCTCTCTTGGGCTTATAAAAGTAAATTTTTATTTTTATTTTATCATTTTATTTATTTAAGGGGTAGGACCACAGGTTTCTTACATGCATATATTGGGTAGTGCTGAAGTCTGAGCTTTTAGTGTACCCATTACCCAAATAATGGACACTGTACCCAATAGGTAATTTTTCAACCCCTATCCTCCTTTTACCCTCCCACCTTTGGTAGTTTCCAATGTCTATTAGTCAAAAAAGTGGATTTTTAAATGGCTGCTTTGCTCAAGGGCTCATGCAGTCTAACAAAATGAACAATTTACATTTAAGAAAATCTACAACACAAACATACTTAGTTTCTATTTGTATACAAGAGAACGAATGCATGAACTCTTTTATTCATTTAACAAACATTTGTTGACCCCCTTCTTGGAAAATTTTAGTAGTTTATAGACTCTGGAGATGGATTTCCATGATTAGGAGCCACCTGGCCTTGGGAAATTAACTATTTTAAGTTATGCTTTTCTCACCCATAAATTAGGCTTCTATAATAGACCCTACCTTAGAGAGGTGTGATAAGGGGACAGAACATACAAAGGCATTTTGATCTGCCAGGAACTAAAGCTCATATGGGTTCTTATTTAATCCATATAACAATCCTATAAGAAACTCATTATACAGAGGAAGAAACTGAGGCTTAGAGAGGTTAAGTAATTTATCCAAGTTGTTACAAATAGAAAATGGGAAAGATTGGTATCCTTATTGGTCTGACTTCAGATGCTACACACTTAACCACTTCACTTTACTGCCACTATGTAGAATGATATATGGCTGACCTGGAAATATACAGGACTTGAAATTTAGGTTTATTGGTGGGAGTGAACGGTGAGACTAGGAAGATAGGTGAAGATAAGATTTGTAAAGTTACAGGGAGGTTATGCTAAGGAGGTTGAACTATCTTATAGGTAGCAGTGACTACCAAAGGATTTTGAGCCAAGAAGTTGGAGGGTATTTTATCCTTTTAAAAGCTAATCTTGACTTTTCCCTGTGTCACCACATTCTTTCCAATCATTTCAAATGAAGGCACCTTAGTCTTCCCTAGGGACCAAATATTGTTTACATGGGTGAGAATTCTGGTAAATGAAGTGCTGGATTAGGAACAGAATTCAATGCAGTTAATTCCTAATCCTGAAACGAGTAGCCCTGCATCAGTAGTGTCCAATTGCATGAACTCTGTGAGGTTCCCATGTCTACAAAAATAAGGATCCTACTGCTGCTGAACCACAAATATTCAGAGCTTCATCTCAGGCCTCTTTAATATCCACATAAGGGTATAATATTTACTTAACCTAAATCCGTGGAACCTCTTTTATGTACACATTGCTTCTCTCCTGAGTGGTGAAAGATAATGTGTCACCTACATTGGTGAGATAACCTATATCAATGAAAGATGAGTTGGGATCTGGCTAATACCTCAGTCATCTTAGCCACTCCTCATTCCACAACCAAGACAGATATCATCAATATGATGCTAAGACGTGATGCTATCGGTGACTCATGTTCAGCATGGTTTCTTGGGCAGCTGGTACCAAATGATTGACATTGGCACTGGGGATGAAAATTATTTGCCATCTGTGTGTTAAATGTCCTTGTTCCTTTTATTCACCTAAGTATATGGCCTGTACCTTTCAAGGGCATCTTTACTACTAAAATTTGCTACTCTTGCACAAATTACAGATGGTAAGGGGACCTTTCTCTAGTGTTTGTTCAGAGCCCACATTTTAAGTAGCTCTGATTTTATTAAATACCTGCTTCATGTCAAGCCCGATACTCAGGAGGATGTATTAAAGGAGCAGTGGTACCAGGAGAGAAAAAAGCAGTGCTATCAAAATTTTGTATTAAATACTAAAAGGAAAAGATATGATTGAGATTTTATCTTGAGAAATTAATCCAAAATTGTGAAAATAAATTTATTTGTATTTGACCTTCAACAAAATTACATCTTCTTTTCAATCATGTCAAGGTTTTGAAAAGAATAAAGCAATTGATAAATATTTTTGCATACATTGTTCATATCAAGTCACATAATAGCAAAGTAGTATATTCTTGACTGAAAGTCTGAATTTAACAGTAAAATCTGAAAGGGAGTCAATTTTTGAAAAGCTTTCTAGAGATTTATTTACTTTCCCAGTAAGCTCTCTTGACCTTTTAATAAATAAATAATTTCTTCTGAAGCAGCTGTTGTCTCATCCTCCTTGTCAATTTTCTTTCCTGTTTCTTTTTTCAGCTTCATCGAGGGATACTTGACAAATAAAAATTGCATATATTTAAGGTGTTCAACTTAAGTTTTTTTAATACTCCTATACACTGTGAAATAATCACCAAAACCAATCTAATTAACGTATCTGTCACCCACATAGTTACTATTTCCTTTTGTTTTCTTTTTTCTTTCCTTTCCTCCTTCCTTCCTCTTTCCTTTTCTTTCTTTCTGTCTCTCTTTTCCTTTCTTTCTTCTTTCTCTCTCCCACTCTCTTTGTTTCTTTCAACACTTATAATGTTGAAAGAAACATTATACCCTTTAAGCAAATTTCAAGTATGCAATACAGTAAGGTTAACTATAGTCACATTGCTGTATGCTAGATCTCCAGAATGTATTCATCTTGCATAACTGAATCTTTGTATCTTTGACCAGCATCTCCCCATCCCCTCCTCCTTCCTGCCCCTGTCATTTACCACTATAATCTCTGCTTCTATGGGTTTGACTATTTTAGATTCTATAACTGGTCTAACTCTGCCAGGTTCTCATTTGGCCAACATTTTGGCACTTGATTCAAGCAGTTCTCCAATATCACTTTTTCAGCATCACTGATTTTTTTCATCTTTTGCAAGATCCAGAGTAGATTTATTCGTTCTTCCCCAAAGATACATATTTACTAAGCACCTGCCATGTGCTCTTTCAGAAACTGGGATATAGTAGTGAATAAAACGATCCCAACGTTTCTTACTGTCATGGGTCTTACATTCTTGTTTGGGAAGAGAGAGTATAAACAAAGTGCCATGGAGAAAAATGCAGGTGAGAAAGGGGATAGAAAGTATGTAATCTGTGCTAACAATGGGAGGCAGTTGCAGGTTTAGAAATAATGGTCTGTGTAGGTGTATTAATCTTTTACGTGTAACAAATCATCTCAGGACATAGTGGCTTAGAACAACAAATATATCCTATCTCTCAGTTTCTCTTGTAAGGAATTTGGGAGCAGCATATATGGGTGTTTCTGGCTTGAAGTCTCTCATGAGGTTGCAGTCAAGATGGCAGTTAGGAATATGGTATTATCTGAAGGCTCAACTAGGGCTGGAGAACCACTTCCCAGATTACTCACTCAGAGGCTGTTGGCAGAAGGAATCAGTACTTCCCTGCTACTTGCAGGCCTCTCTATGGGTTCTTTAGTATCCTCAAAACATGGCAGCTGGCTTCTTCCAGAATCAGAGGTTCAAGGAAGAGCAAAGCAGAGCCACAGTGCCTTTGGCCTTGCCTCAGAAGTCAGGTTCTATTGTTCCTGCATTATCCTAGTGATTGCAGTCATTCCTATTGAATGTGGGAGGGGATGACACATAGTGTGAATACCATGCAGCAAGGCTCATTGGGGCCGTATTTGAGGCTGGCTACCACAGTGAGCTACACTGAAAAGGAGACCTTTGAGCATCATATTAACCATGGATTTTCAAATTTCAACATCTGTCCAACAAAGAAGACTTAACAAAGATTCATCAGGCTTGACTAATTCTAATATATATAGATTTGTGTAGGAATCAATTTTATAAGGGTTCAGTTCACTAATACATATTTTCAAATCATATCAACACTTTTGCTTCCATCTATAATTCTGTAACTGTCACTCTCATATAACAAGCTCAAGGTTTATTAGGACACTAGGTTACATTTTATTTTTCACAGATACCACGAGGGAGTAGGTGCTTTTATCTCCACTTTAGAGATAAAGAAATGGAGATGGATGGAAAATGATTCCCAAGGCCACACAGCTGGCAAGTGGCAAACTTAGGACTTGAAGCCATGCCTGTCTGGCTCAAAAGTCCCCACTCTGTGCACAGCGACTCTCTGCCTATCCAGATGTTACTTCATATTTCAAACAGCTAGTCATTGACAGCAGATCAATGTATTATTCTCTTTCCTCACCTACAGCTTTATCAAGCAGTAAAGGTGAATTCTTGCTAAATGGAAACTTTGTTGTCACAATGGCCAAAAGGGAAATCCGCATTGGGAATGCTGTGGTAGAGTACAGTGGATCCGAGACTGCCGTAGAAAGAATTAACTCAACAGATCGCATTGAGCAAGAACTTTTGCTTCAGGTGAAAACTTGTCCATGAGCCCACCACCCTTTTCTTCCGCTTGGCATCACCAAGCCCACCCACTTCCTTTCTGTTTTGTCCACACATTCTAGGTTTTGTCGGTGGGAAAGTTATACAACCCCGATGTACGCTATTCTTTCAATATTCCAATTGAAGATAAACCTCAGCAGTTTTACTGGAACAGTCATGGGCCGTGGCAAGCATGCAGTAAACCCTGCCAAGGTATCTGCTTTGAATTTGAGTTCTGGGGATTTGAGAAGTTTTTTATCTTTTTTTTTTTTTTTTAAATAACAGCCAAATACATGCAAACTGAAAACTCTTCTATTTGCATACATTCTCTAATCTCTTTTCTTTGAATGTGTCTGATTATTTTTGACTGGGAAGTTGAACTTTTTAAGGGATTTAGGAAATTTTAGTTTCTTAATCCTAAGAAATTTTTGTACACGTGTAAAACCAAGCAAAAATCACCTCTGCCATTGTAATTTTCCAGAGGCATGGTTTTAGTAGTCATAGCATATGTTATTTATTTTGTTTTCTATTGTCTAAATGAGGAGTCAGCAAACCACAGCCAGTAGGCCAAATCCAGCCCACCGCCTACTTTTTTTTTCTTTTTTTTCTTTTTTTTCTTTTTTTTTCTTTTTTTCTTTTTTTTTTTTGGAGAATGGAAGTCTTGCTGTGTCACCCAGGCTGGAGTTCAGTGGCATAATCTCAGCTCACTGCAACCTCCGCCTCCCGGGTTCAAGCAATTCTCATGCCTCTGTCTCCCAAGTAGCTGGGATTACAGGTACATGCCACCATGCCTGGCTAATTTTTGTATTTTTAGTAGATAATGGGTTTCACCATGTTAGCCAGGCTGTTCTTGAACACCTGACCTCAGATTATCCATCCACCTCAGCCTCCCAAAGTGCTGGGATTACAGGCGTGAGCCACTGCGCCCGGGCTACCTACTTTTACAAATAAAGTTTTATTGGAACACAGCCATGCCAGTTTTGTTTATGTATTGACTTTGAGTGGCTGCTTTTGCCCTGTAAGGTCAGGGTTGAATAGTGTAACGGAGATCATATGCTCTGAAGATATTTACTATCTAGCTCTTTAGAGAAAATGCTTGCCAATCCAGGGTCAAAATAGTTTATGGAATAGATTGTTTTCCCTGAATAATTTTTTTTCCCTCTCTGCTTAGGGGAACGGAAACGAAAACTTGTTTGCACCAGGGAATCTGATCAGCTTACTGTTTCTGATCAAAGATGCGATCGGCTGCCCCAGCCTGGACCCATTACTGAACCCTGCGGCACAGACTGTGACCTGAGGTGGGCCACTGTTTTCTCAAGACCTTTATTACTGAATTGTGAGAGTCTTGCAGGAGGTCCCAGCAGGAGAAGCAAAAGGAGGGGATGCTGGTCTTTAGTTCCCCTCTCTTGTGTTTCAGTGAAATAAGCCTTAACCAGTTCTCCATCCCTCTGGAACTGATTATCCAAGACATACATGTGCAGATTTCTTATTCATTTAAGAATTAAAAATAGCTAATAGGGTATGGCACTTGCCAAAAAAAACATTCTCAGTTGATCCTCACAACTTGTTGGGTAGGTATTAGCATTATGATTGAGTCACATTGTATGTGAAAACTTGTTTTGAAAGTCGAAAGAAAAGGAGGAGAACCTCGTCCCTCAAAGTACCCATAATGACCTATATCTACCTAGAGTGTATACCTCCTAGTAGAAGAACTCCTACACACATGACAGTTGCAGTGCACTAAGGTAGCATCATGGAAGAAACAAGAAGAAAATGTATATACAGATGTCTGAGATATTCAAACAATTCTGCGTTTAAGAAAAGTGTAAAATCCAAGGCAGGAAATATTGGGTGGGTAGAGCATTCTGAAGCTTTTCTATTTGCCTGCAAGGTTGACTGCGTCATATTGAAATATTAAGTAGTCGGTGCTTGCATTGTATAGTCTGCATGACAGTTAAATGCAGTTAAGGTGAGTTGCTGTTTTATCCTCCTTTTAAGAAGGGAAATTCAGTGGAGAGTAGTATGGGAATGTGTTAAGGTCTCGCCATTTGTAAGCCAAAAAGTAAATGCTTAAGCATTTTGAAGGTTCCACATTACAATGCCAAATCCAATCAAAGGGTATTGGCTGCCTGTAGTGCTTTAGTGCAGATTATAAGGCCTACTTGAGGCTCTGAGAAAACAGAGGAGTTCGATATTGACTACTAATGTCTGCCATGGGAGTGAGAGGAGCTATGGTATGAAAGTCATATTTTTGCCAGTTCTGACTGGAGGCTCTGACTTCAAAGCCCAGGATCTGTCTAGCCTCTACCCAGTGTCACTGACTTTCTAGCTCATTGCCCTACTGAAATTGACTTGCCAAAATATATTGACAAAAGTCATTGTGGAAAAAAAAACAAGAAGACATTAAAAGGCAGACATTTATACTAGGCAATATTCTATGGATGTTGTAGATAGCATCCATATAAACCCATTGTTTCAGCCAATTGAGTTAAGTTAAAGTCTATTCAGGAAAAAATAATTAGTTAATTAACTGCTAAACTGAATTAATCACTAAAGTTTGGGGGAAAAATGAATTGTTGGATAGATTCCTTGAAGCATAACCTTAATAAATTGAGAATGGTGACATTTTCTGAGTAGCCTTATATCAAATTATCACTATATTCCCCAGTACTCTGTAATGGTTATGGTAATAGAGTCAACCATTTACTAAGAACTATTTTTTAACAGTTATATATTATCCTATTAATATCCTTTTACTAACAGGATAGTTCTTATATTATCCCATTATCTATTATCCTGTTAATATAATTAATACGCTACCAATTCTTCAAACATTATGACGTTATATGTTATTATTATTACCATTTTACAAATAAGGAAAATAGAGGCTGAGAGTCATTAAGCAAATTGCCCAAGCTCACACAACTAGTTAGTGGAGTGATGGAAATCTAAATGTGGTTAGTCTGCACCTAGATCCTGTGCTTAAACTCTAGGAGAAAGTTGTTTTTATTCTTAATTCAGTTATAATGATGAGTGGTACTCATGGATTCTATTCTGGGTAGCTTCTCTTCCTTTGTGAAAAGAAATAATTCCCATGAGTTTTTTTGCCCCATCCCTGTTCCCTACCTTGCTTGGAACCCCTTACCTGTTTTTTCTCCACTGATTGAATCAGAACGGGACTGGTTGAGTCTCCGATGATAACTATAGATACAGCAGAACTCCTGCCTGCAGGGCTAAGTGTGCTCCTATGATCACAAAGATGGTGAATTTATACATAGCACTGTGAATAATTGAATGCGATCATAAAAATAAATAATTATTTAAGAACCCTCTTTTTAAGTTTACCCATGGAGTACCAATTTGAGGGTGGAGATAATGTTTGAGCTGTTATTTTGAAAAAATATTTTTCACTTTGAGCAGATTCCAAAGTGAGCCACTATTTAATTTGGGATGATGCTGGCTTATGTGATGTTCTCCAAAATTTCTCCCGCATTGGAAGCCTTTAGACATAAAATTTAAACAGTGCTTACAAAGCTAATACATTAAAAGATACCCTTGAAACCATGAGTTTTTGTGTAAAATGATGCAAAAGATCTCAAATAGATTTCTGCTCATTGATTTATGTGGAATTACCTGATACTTAAAAGTTGGTTGGAGAATGAAACACCAAGGATAATGATAATAATAATAATAAATTATAACAGGAATAGCTACTTTTCTTGAATGTCTGCCATATGTGTGAAATGCTACACATGCCTTGCTTCACTCAATCCCCCAAATATCCCAGTGAAATAGATTCTGTTTCCCTCTATTTCACAGATGAGGAAACTGAGGCTTAGTGAAGTTAAGTGACTCAACTAGAGTCACTTAATTGACACTCACATCCAGGTCTTTCTGATTCCATAGTTCATCCTCTGGATTTTTATTAAAAATAACATTACAATACCTAGGTGTAAGCAGGGCTTCAGTTCTTTTTATTTCATATAGTAGGTATGCTAGCATACTAAGCTATTCTAAATTCTAAATTTCCCATTTGGAGAAAGTCACTATTTTTTTAACACTTACCTTTTATATATACTCTACTCAGACTAAACAAGGACAGCAGGTCAGATCATAGGCTCCAATGGTAATAATAGCACCTCTAATTAAAGAAAAGGCAAAGGGATTATGTCCAGGTCTTTTGGTAGATGTAAAGATCATAGGGTTAGGAATTTTAAAATGCAAAGAAAACCCATGAGTTTAGGATTAGACAGGTGCTTGCTCATTCCTAAAATTACCCAAAAGCTCATGCCTATTTGTCAGCATTGAGACGCGTATCTTACTGGCCTGTATAGATTGTGGGGAAAATAAAATTGTTCACTGAAAAATACACAGACACAAACCAAGCCTATAAATAAGATGTTCTATCTTGCATCTATCAAAGTGACAGTCAATATAACCTTGATTTATAGTAATTATTGTCAAGTAGCTGTGTCCAAAACTGAAAGACTGAAGAGAGGATTGTTACTGATTGGTCAAACTCTGAAATAGCTTTTCAAAAAGCATGGTTGTAGATCACTCATTTTGAAAGACAATCCATGACACACCAGTATGTCTGAGAAGCCTTACCAAGAATCTCCTTCCCCATGTGGAGATTAATAATGCTGATCAACATTTTGAAGGCCTTGAGAAGTTCTATAATACATAAAACCTTTTGAATTCAGTAGTTCTCAAAATTATTTAATCCCACAACTGCCCCTGCAACAAAAACACACAGGGTTACTCTTTTTGTTCTCAGTTTCTACTTATTAACAACACTTTGGAATATGGTTTTCTGAAATATAGCAATAAAATATAATTGTATTTTATGTCCCTTGAAATGAACTAAATGAACACGAAACATTGAAGACCACCATCCAGGGAGAGACTAAGAAGCAGGGGGTAGCATTTTGAGAACTTTTCTAAGGCAGTGCTATGCCCTTTCCATAGACTCTTCAAGATTCTCTGCTCAGATTCTGGGGATGATGTTACTATCAGGGGCACTTGAGCCATTCTGCCATGCTAAGCTGCTGGCGTGTTGTCTTGTGGAGGCAGGACACCTTCCTTCTTCATCCAGGATGGAAAATAACCTTTCCACAAGGAAATGGTGACGAAGGCAAAGAGAAGGTAGCCAAGAATCAAAGAGCAGATGAAAGTTCCAGATGCTTCTGTTGAATTGGGCCACATTTTTGCCACACTTCCTGAAGGAAGTGAGAGTTTGCCCCACTAGACTGTGACAGGATGAGATAAAGCATTGTTTTACAATTCCTCATTGAACATGTTCCGGGTTAGAACAAAATCCCCCAAATACGGTGTCACTCTATCGGAAAATCTCCATAGCCCACTTTACTTGCCAGATGGTCAACTCTGACCTACTTTTGGACATTCATGAGAAATTCCAAGATAAGCATGAGGCCAGAACTCTTTTTATTTCCCCTGAGTTCTACCCTGGACAGGTACACATGGAAGTAGTCTCAGGACATTGGCAACCAACAAACCACCCAATTTCTGAGCAGTAAAGAGTGAACAGTCAAGAGTGAAATCCAATGAAGAGTACAAAGAAATCACCCTTTTTGGATTTCTAAATCTAATCAACAAAATACATTTTAAGGTATTTTAAATACATTTATTTAGAATATACTATTTAATTTAAGAATATTATTTATTTTCTTTTTAAATTTAAGCACTGCTGATCATGGTCCTAGGGTATTAAAGAACCAGATGAGTGGCCAGCACATATGGAATACCTGTGTCCCCCCATAATCTCATTATAGGTGGTACAGATACAAAGGTGACAGAGATTTATAGATTTAAATCTAATTTTAAAGTGTAAAATTGAATTGTATAAAATATAGTCCATGTCTTCAAGGAATTTAAGAGCCTTTATTTACAGATAATAATGTACACAGGTTTTAATACACTTGAATTTTTTTTTTTTTTCCTTTTGGTAGCTTGAATTTCAGATTGACCATATCGGGGTAAAATCATCACAAAGATAACACCTCTGGCTGTCATTCTGTGACTTGTATGTACATTGGCAACCATGAAAAATACGCGGATATGTTGGTTTAAAATTAGATTTTAGTAACTGACTGTGGCTTTGGGCTTCATGGTATTTGAGTTAAGAAAGAAAAAAGAACTCAACTCTTCTATGAATACCAGTTGACTATAGATAAGGCATATATTTTTAACAGAAATGTTGGTTTTGCCCCATTATTTTTGCATAGGTGGCATGTGGCCAGCAGGAGTGAATGTAGTGCCCAGTGTGGTTTGGGTTACCGCACATTAGACATCTACTGTGCCAAATATAGCAGGCTGGATGGGAAGACCGAGAAGGTTGATGATGGTTTCTGCAGTAGTCATCCCAAACCAAGCAACCGTGAAAAATGCTCAGGGGAATGTAACACAGGTGGCTGGCGCTATTCTGCCTGGACTGAAGTAAGTTGGCTCTCACTCAAAGAGTCTTCTTGGATGCTGTCTGATTAGTTGATGGTGGCTCCTTGCAGGTGTGTAAGCCCCATTTAGGCTGTGTGGAAGAGATGACCATGATTGATTTGTAATGCCTGACCCCATTCAAGCTTTCCAGAATAGAGTAGCATGATTGATTTGTAATATCTCACATGGGCATGACGTGTGGAAAATTGAAAGAAGTGGAACAGCTCAACTGATTTATTTTGCATACTCTACAAGCGATTTCCAATTTTACTTTTGTATGTCAATAAGCTAATATTGACTTTAATTATAAACCTGGTAAGCAAACTGATAACATGAAAAGATCTCCACCAAAATAACAACTAGTGTTGGCCAGCTTGTGTGTTTGTTTCTTAAGAGCTGGAAGAGACAACATAGCCAAGATCTTGAGCATACTTTATAAGAAACTTAGCAACAGTTTTATTTATTTATTTTTGTCTCTACAGTGTTCTAAAAGCTGTGATGGTGGGACCCAGAGGAGAAGGGCCATTTGTGTCAATACCCGAAATGATGTGCTGGATGACAGCAAATGCACACATCAAGAGAAAATTACCATTCAGAGGTGCAGTGAGTTCCCTTGTCCACAGTGGAAATCTGGAGACTGGTCAGAGGTAATATGGGAGGGCTGTTATTTCCCCTAGGTCATCTCTCATATTCTAGTTCTGGTGCTCTCTATCTGTTTAAGGTGAACCCTTGTGCACCTTTCTCCTACCTCTCCCTTTCTCCCTTGTCTCCCTTGAGAAAACAACTCCAGTTCTCTGCCTGCACCATGACTGTAGTACTGGATGTAACGAGTCTACCAGTGACCTCAGAGGCACTTTGGGCTTGGCTGGATCACTCACTGTGGTAGCTTCTGTTGTGATTTTGAAGTTCCAGTCCATCACCTTCCCTCCTCTTTGAGCCCTAGCTAAGTCACTGAAAGGAAATCATGGATTTATTAATCATAAAGCTATACTAGCTCACATCTGAAGTCAACATGAGGTTTCCTACTTCCTTGACTTTGAAATAAGAGAATTAGACCCCAGGGAGTGACCTCTCTGACTTACCCATCCAACTGCAAGGAAAAAAAAAAAAAAAAAAAAAAAAAAAAAACTTGGAAAAAAAAAAAAAAAAGAAATGGACCAGACTGAATATTCCAGATTTATGCCTCTTTCATCCTTTACTTTATGAAGCACAAGGCAAACCCTCCAGTGCTTAGCACAGATGGTCCCAGGACAACAACAGAAAGAAGATGCAGCCTCTTTCTTGCTTTTATGGTATAGTATTAGCACGCACTACTAACATAGCCCACTGTTAACACAGCCCAAGGAGATTCTTACCAAGCAGGGACTCACTCCGCCTTCCTTAAAGGGAAGAAGGGAAATGAGAAATACAAAACAGAAGTTTCCTTTTTTATGGGCCAAATCAGGAATATGGGGAAAGAAAAAGTTTCCCTGCTACAGCTCTTACATCCATGCTCTTATCCCATCCTTATAAGTGCAGTATTAACTGTTTATTTTCATCATCAAATAAATCTGAAAAGGATACTATTAATGCCCCTGAAATGGTAGTCAATTAACAGTGTATTTGATTAACAGTATCTGATTCCTGGACAAATGAACTGCAAACCTAGTGCTTTAGTTCTAGGTTAACAAATTACTTTTGCTTAAAAATCTCTACTACTTGGTTAAAAAAGAGAAAATAAGTAGTGGGTTTAAATTTTACTTAGATAGCTAACATCATAGTATAATTTCAAACTAAGTAACAAACCTTTGCAGCAATATGTGATAAAAACAGTTGGGAGATCAAACTGTAAATTCACTATAATCCAAAGTTGCTGAGAAAGACTGGAAAGAAAATAATAAAATACTGATAATGGTTATCCTTGGGTAGTGAGATTTGGGATCATTATAATTTTTTCTTTTATGTTTTTCTATAGTTTTCAAATTTTCTACGATAAGTATGGATAAAATGATGATTATGTTCAACATTTATTAAATGAACATTGTGCCAAGAGCTTTAGTTGGATTTGTTTCATTTAGTCTTCACAACCTTTTGCAGTAGACACTAATTCTCATTTTACAGATAAGAAAATTGAGGTTCAGAGAGATCTTGTGACCTGGTTATGTAAGTGATAAAACCTAGGTTGATCTGATTTATAATTACCCACTCTTAACTCCTATGCTAGAAAATTATGGATGTTGTTTTTCAAATTATATAGCATGGTGCTATGTTGAGTTTATTTTGTGCTTGAAACTGGCCCAGAGACTATAATTATAGAATGAATGAATAAATGAACGAAAACGAAAAAAATGAGGCTTAGTGTATTTACAAATTGCTATGGGAGAGGGATTGCTGTGGGAAAAGGACACACCTGTTCCTACTCATCAATAAATCACCCCAGAAACCACAACACATTGATCAGAAATGACCCTGACTGGCTCCGCTTTTCATTACAGTGCTTGGTCACCTGTGGAAAAGGGCATAAGCACCGCCAGGTCTGGTGTCAGTTTGGTGAAGATCGATTAAATGATAGAATGTGTGACCCTGAGACCAAGCCAACATCTATGCAGACTTGTCAGCAGCCGGAATGTGCATCCTGGCAGGCGGGTCCCTGGGGACAGGTATTTTGAACGATAAGATTCTTAACTACTACATTCTTTCCTTCTTATCTGAAGAGGGCTTGCAAAGGAGCATTCCAGTGGTGGAGATTTAACCGGTGTGCTGGGTGGCATGCAGGACACCACCATGGCACTGGATCAAGCACATGTAACTCTGCAACCATTTTGCCCCCGTTCCAAGCATTGCTGCCTGCCCTCTTGGAGCTGATTACCCCTTTTACAGACCTGCATGCCTATCTTTGCCCTTTAGCTTGAGCACACGAGCGTTTGAACAAATTCACAACAGATTTCATGTCTGGCTGATGTTATCTTCTAGCGTGCCTCTGTGGGTCTGTTACAGAAGGTGATCTAGCATCAGAGTCTCTGGCAGGAAGATCTGGAATGAGATTTGGAAAAGATATTTTGGCTCCCAACATCACAATTACAAAGCTCACCTCTCATAAATAAACCAGACTCTTCAAACATAATTAATTAGATCAAAAGTTACAAAACCCTCACGCTTGGAAATAATCTTCTCCGAGTCCTCTGGTCTGTAGGTTCCGCAGTCTTAACTTGAGCTATTCTTAAAGGAGAGAGTGAAAGTCTCCCTTACGCTTGCATCTGAAAAGCCACTACTCTCGGTATTAAGTCCTTCCTAATACAGAAGCAAAAGCATTCAGGGTACTATTTAAGTAGCACTCTGAGTTCCCATTAGAAGTAGAACAGCTGTCTGCTGTCACTTACGTAATCTCTTGAAGAATGACCCTCCCTTCACCCTGACCAGCCACAGCCACTTCAGTCTTTTAGCCTCTATCTTCATTTCCAAATATGCATGCAACAAGTGGAAGCAGCTTTATTATGGCACCCTTACAATTTCTCTCACTGATATGGACACTCTTCTGAATCTTCCCCATTTCATAGCATCCACAGTCCAAATAGCCAATCATATCTGAATTAATAGGGAGAGTTCACTTATTCTTCTAATCTCATCTTTTTCTCTATGTCTGTATAACTTTTAGGGAATAATAAGAGGAGGAGAACACAACTTAGGGTCACTGTCAAGATCTGAATATAACATCTATTAGAATTGACATGCCTGTTTTTTGTCTGTCTCCACACCAGGCCATTCCTAGCACAGCTTATAATCAGAGACCCTTTTTTTCCTTTAACTGAACATGCAGTTCAGGGGAACAGATTTTTGAAGATGTTATTTAAGAGTCATAAATATTCATAAGAGAAATTTTTCAAAATGTAGTTCAGCAAAAAGAAAACCAAACCCAGTTCTACCTCTACACTGAAGAAATTTGTTTTTGCTAACATGTTTATGATTTTCTTCTAATATTTTTTAAATTAATATTATGGCTGTATTCTGACAATTGTTTAATGGAAGTGAAACTCACATAATACAAAATGAACCATTTTAAAGTGAACAAATCAGTGGCATTTAGTATATTCTTAATGTTTCGCAACTATCACCTTTTTTATCTGGTTACAAAACTTCCTCACCCCAAAAGGAAACCCTGTATACGTTAAGCCAGGGGTCCCCAACTCCTGGGTCATGGGCCATGAGCCGTGGCCTGTAAGGAACCAGGCTGCATAGCAACAGGTGAGGGTGGATAAGCATTACTGCCTGAGCTCCACCTCCTGTCAGATCAGCGGCAGCATTGGATTCTCACAGGAGTGCAAACCCTATTGTGAACTGTACATGCGTGGATCTAGGTTGTGCACTCCTTATGGGAATCTAATGTCTGATGATCTGAGGTGGAACAGTTTCATCCTGAAACCACCCCCACCCACCCCATCTGTGGAAAGTGTCTTCCGTGGAACTGGTCCTGGGTGCCAAAAAGGTTGGGGACCACGGAATTAAGCAATCGTTTCCCACCCCACTCTTCCCTCAGTCCCTGGCAACCACCAATCTGCATTGTCTTTATGGATTTACCTTTTCTGGACATTTCATAGAAATGGAATCATGGAATTTGTGGCCTTTTGTGTCTAACTTCTTTCACATACCGTAATGTTTTCTAGATTCATCTATATTATAGCATGTATCAGTACTTGGCCGAATAATATTCCATTGTATGGATGTACCAACATTTGTTTATCCATTTATCCCTCAGTGGACATTTGGGTTGTTTCTACCTTTGGCTATTGTGACTAGTGCTGCTATGAATATTTATTTCAGGCATTTATTTCAGTACCTGATTTCACTTCTTTTGGATGTGTATCTAGGATTGGAGTTGCTGAATCATATAGTAATTCTGAGTTTAACTTTTTTTTTTCTTTTTTTTTTTTGAGACAGAATCTCACTCTGTTGCCCAGACTGGAGTGCAGTAGCGCAATCTTGGCTCACGGCAACCTCTGCCTCCTAGGTTCAAGCGATTCTTCTGCCTCAGCCTCCCGAGTAGCTGGGATTACAGGCGTGTGTCACCACGCCCAGCTAATTTTTTGTATTTTTAGTAGAGATGGGGTTTCACCATGTTAGCCAAGGTGGTCTCAGTCTGCTGACCTCATGATCTGCCCACTTTAGCCTCCCAAAGTGCTAGCATTACAGGCCTGAGCCACTGCGCCCAGCTCCGGGTTTAACTTTTTAACTACCAAATGATGTTCTATAGCAACTGCATAATTTTTCATTTTTATTATAATATACAAGGGTTCCATTTTCTCCACATCCTTGCCAAAATTGTTATTTTCCCTTTTTAAAATTCCAAGTAAGATAAATTTATCTTACCATGGTTTTGATTTGTATTTCCCTAATAACAAAAGGTATTGAGCATCTTTCCATGTGCTTGTTGGTCATTTGAATATATCTTTCTTGGAGAAGTGTCTATTAAGTTCTTTGCCAATTTTTTAAAAAATATGAATTGTGTTAATAGCAAAATAAACTCATCATATAATTTATCTTAACCATTTTAAATGTATAGTTCAGTAATATTCCTTTTCTCATTTTTTGATCTATTTGTTTTTCTTGTTATTGAGTTGTAGATTCTAGATGTCAATTCCTTATCAGAGATATGATTTGCAAATATTGCTCCTATCCCCTGTGTTGCCTTTTTACTTTGTTGATAGTGTCCTTTAATGCACAAGGTTTTAAATTATGATGTCGTCCAATTTGTCTATTTTCTGTTGCCCTTGTTTGTGATGTCAAACAAAGAAGTCATCGCCGAATCCAATGTCATGAAGCTTTTCTGCCATTTTTTAAAAAAGAGTTTTCTAGTTTTAGCTCTTATGTTTAGGCCACTGATCCATTTTGGGTTAATTATTGTATATAGAGTGGGGCAAGATTCCAACATCATGCTTTTGCTTGTAGGCATCCAGTTGTCTCAGCACCACTTGCTGAAGAGACTGTTTTCTCTCCATTGAGTGGGCTTGGCACTCTTGTTGAAAGTCACTTGGCCATACATATATGGGTTTATTTCTGGACTTTGAATTTTATGTCAGTAGTCTATACATCTATTCTTATACCAGTAGACTGTTTTGATCACTATAGTACATTTTGAAATTGTGAAGTATGATTCCCCCAGCTTTGTTCTTTTTCAATATCGTTTTGGCTGTTTGGGGTCTCTTGTCATTCTATATAAATTTGAGAATCCGCTTTTTCATTTCTGCAAAAACGTTATTAGGATTTTGTTTGGAATTTCACTGAATCTGTGGATTAATTTGGGGAATATTGTCACCTTAGCAATACTAAATCTTTTAATCCATAGACATGTAATATCTTTTTATTTATTTAGGTCTTTAATTTCTCAAGCAAAGTTTTATAGTTTTTAGCATAGAAAGCCTTTTACCTCCTTGTTTAAACTTGTTCCTAGGTATTTCATTCTTTTGGATGTTGCTGTAAGTGGAATTTTTTTTAATTTCCCTTTGGGATTGTTCAGTGCTGATGTATAGAAACACAATGGGCTTTTGTTTATCTTGTATCCTTCAATGTTGCTAAATTTGTTTATTAGCTCTAGTAATAGTTTTAATGGATTCTTGGGATTCCAATGTACAGTATGATGACATCTGCAAATAAAATTAGTTGTACTTCTTCCTTCCCACTTTCTTTGCCTGTCTTTTGTTAATATTTCTTTTTCTTTCCTAATTTATCTGGCTAGAACTTCCAGTACAATGATGAACAGCAGTGGTGAAAGTAGGCATCCTTGTCACGTTTCTGATCTTGTGAGGGAAAGTTTTTACTCTCTACTATTGAGTATGGTGTTAGCTGTGGGGTTTTTTTTTTCCTAAGTGCCCTTTATGATGTTGGATAAGTTCCCTTTTATTGCTAGCGTTCTGAATGTTTTCATCATGAAAAGATGTTGAATTTTTTCAAATGCTTTTCTTTAATTGAGATAATCATGGTTTTTTTTCCATTGCTCTATTAATGTAATGTATTGCATTGATTGACTTTCTTATGTTGGGCCAGCCTTATGTTCCTGGACTAAATCCCACTTGGCCACGATGTATTATCCTTTTAGTATGCTTTTGGATTCAATTTGTTAGTACTTTGTTGAGGATTTTTACATCTCTATAAGCAATATTAGTCTGGGGTGTGTGTGTGTGTGTGTGTGTGTGTGTGTGTGTGTTGTCTTTGGCTTTGGTGTTAGGGTAATACTGGTCTCATGGAATAAGTTAGGAAGTGTTCTCCTATTTTTTGATTTTTTTTTTCTGGAAGCATTTGAAAGGGATTGGTATTAATGTTTATTTAAATGGTTGGTAAAATTCATGAGTGAACTGGTGAAAACTATTCTTTTTGAGGAAGGCTTTGATTAATGATTCAGTCATTTTACTTCTTATACATCTGTTAATATTTTTTGTTTCTTCTTGAGTCAGTTTTTGTGATTTGTCTGTTTCTAGGCAATTTGTGTAAGTTTGCATGCTTTAGCTAGATTCTCTAATATATTTGCATGCAATTGTTCATAGTACTCTATTATAACCTTTTTTATTGCTGTAAGGTCAGTAGACATGTTCCCTCCTTCATTTCTAATATTTAGTAATTGGAGTCTTTTCTCATTTTTTCTTAGTCATTCTAGCTAAAGGTTTATCAATTTTGTTGATCTTTTCAAAAAATCAATTTCTGGTTCTGTTGATTTTTTTCTGTTGTTCTTCTACTCTCTATTTTATTTATCTCCATTCTAATCTTTATTATTTCTTTCCTTTTCTTGTTTTTGTTTGTTTGTTTGTTTGTTTGTTTTAGTTTGCTCTTATTTTTCTAGTTCCTTAGGAAGTAAAGTTAGGTTGTGGATTTGAGATCTTTCTTCATTTATTTTTTTTCTTTATTAGCTGTAGGTATTTGCAGCTGTAGATTTCCTGTGAACATTGCTTTCATTGCATCTCATAAATTTTCTTATATTCTGCTTTCATTTTAATTTATCTCAAAGTAGTTTCTAATATCCCTTATGATTTCTGTTTTGACCTATTGGTTAAGAGTATGTAGTTCAGTTTTCACATATTTGTGAAATTTCTAGTTTTTCTTCTGTTACTGATTTCTTGCCTCACTCCACTGTGGTTGTGCGATCTCATTCTTTTAAAGCATATTGAGACTTGTTTTGTAGTCTAACATATGGTCCCTCTTAAAGAAAAGATCCCTGTACGTTTGAGAGGAATATGTAGTGTGGTAGGTGGGTAATCAGAAATGCCATGACACTTTCTCACCAAAATTGAGTGGCTTCTTTTTTTTCTTAAGCGTTCACCTAGTTTCTGCAAGGTTTTGTTTAACTTCCAGAGTTCCAAAAAGTTGGTTCCAGTTTTTGCCAGCTTAACAGTTGCTTCAGTGGAGGGACCAATTCTTGGAGCTCCCTAGTCTGCCATTTCTGTGTTATCACTCCCTCTACTTATTGTTTTTAGACTGCTTTTTATAATCTAACAATTGGCCTTTTAGTGGCTACATTATTTTCCTAATTACTTGTATGCTGTGATATTCAACTTTTGGTTGTTGCATACTTTGGTGGTGTCCAGTTTTTTTGTCTCTTATAAATAATATTGCAAAGGCCATTCTGTATAAAAATATTGATGCAAACTCCAGTTATTTCTTCAGGATAATTTCCTAGGAGTCAAATACAGTCACAGAGCTCTATTAAGTACCTATTTTAGCCACAGCACTCTGCTATGTAGTGTGAAAGATGTAAGAATGATGGAGATACTATGAACTTCTTCTAGGAGTTCACAGTTAATGAGTTCAACCCCTATAAATATAATTTCAATGGGAGGCAGAAATAATTCCAAGGGTCATCATAATAATGAATCAGTATAATTTGTACAGAGTAGGATTGCCTACTTCGACCTAATTTATTTGAGTGCCCGCCCTCTGGCCTACCATGATGGAAATATTTCTCTCTTGCAGAATATTATGGGGAAAGTAAGGGAAAGAGAAGATTTACTGAATTGTATATACCTTTTGTCCTCCTTCTTCCAGTGCAGTGTCACTTGTGGACAGGGATACCAGCTAAGAGCAGTGAAATGCATCATTGGGACTTATATGTCAGTGGTAGATGACAATGACTGTAATGCAGCAACTAGACCAACTGATACCCAGGTAAATTTCCTTTGTCCAACTCAGTTATTGACTTTGGGGACCAAGATACCAAACTGCCCAGCTGTTCAGACAAAATTGAAGCCCTTTCATAGATACATATGTCGGTAGAGCAACCAGTAGATTAACTTGTCTAGATTTACCTATATGTTACATTTATAATCAAATATCTTGATGTGTCAGTTTTGTTCTTCTCTAGTTATTTGAAGTATATGTAGGTTTGCTTTTAATTCTTATTGGATGATGAATGTTGGGTTTGGGGCTCATTTTCTTAAACTCGTATTTCTAAAATGATTTCAGTGTAGTATTCAGTAACTAGTGTCATATGTTCAGGCAGTGATTTGCTGGAGCTAACTTGTACCAGCTCACAAGAGCCAATCGATAAATTTTGCAGGAGTTTTGCAAACTGATTTTTAAGTATAACCATTACTAAAAACTGAAAATATAAACCTATAATTAAATATGTGGTATTAAAAATAAAGTTTATAAACACTCAGAACTTATACGACATACGTATGTGTCTGTATGGTGGATGTACTATGTAAGGGTGGGCTACCACATATCTCTCCCCAGCTCTGTGTTCATTGACATCAAGTTCATAGCTTGAAATTGGCCATGATGAGAGTATTTACACCACAAGAATCAGCAAGTACTGCAATTCAGGGCTTAATTTATTATTTGGTTGATTGGTTAGACTTAAGAAAGTAATGGAGAAAATGTTAATGATGCAGATTAAATGTAAAAGAGTCTTGTGTCTGTAGCAATTACATTGTGAATAGAACAAAAGGATGTGGAGATATTCTTCTAATATCTGAAAAGTATCTGATTCAGCAAAGACATCTTCCACATCATTGGTCAGTGAGTCAAGTTCTGGCCATACATCTTCATCATTACACTTTCATCCTACCCTTAAACATAAAGAATATATCAACTAACATTCATGCCTGAACTATACTCATTTGGCAGTTACAAATATAGGTGGGCAACAGGTTCAAAAGTTCAGCAAAAATCAACAAATGTATTCTGTGAGAATCAGTTGATTGTATGGAATTTAAAATAAATAATTGTATATTTTATTATTTCAAAATTGCATAAATAAGCATATATATACATATGCATGTGTATGTACATCCATGTAATATGTGTGTGTTTGTGTACACACAATGTCTATAAACACACACACATACACATCTTTTTTTCTCAAGAAGCTGGTGGATAACCACTCACTAGCATACTATTCTATACAGACCTTGATTTTGGCATCATGTATGTAAAGAGAATGTATAAAGAGAACACTTGGGTTTGCATAGCATCTTTGCTAATTGCTGAAGATGGCATTTGAACCCAGACTATTCCCAGAACTCACATTCTGAGTGAAGCCCCATGTGGCTGATGTACTGTCTCCATCCTGAGCACCCTCAATCTGCTGCCTTTCAGAGTGGGTTGTTGATGGAAAAAGAGTGTTAAAAAAATAAATTAATATGGCAGTGCTGTTCATGTTGTCATCATCGATCAATTAACCACCCAACACATGTGACTTATAATAAAAAATATGTTATTGTATTGAAATGTTCCAAACCACAGTATGATGAATGCCTGGAAAATGTTAGCTATGGCATCTCAAGCAATCAAGAACTGAGCATCAGCAAGCATCAGCAGCTTGCTTTCAGATTCAAAATATATTTCCCTTTAAGTTATTCTATTATATCCATTTGACTATGGGATGGCTCCCACCATTGCAGTATGTGGATAATTTCTTCACTTTGCAAAAAGTTCCCTGTGCCTTTCTTTGGACCAAAAACGGAGGAATAGGCAAAGCCTGGAGCCAAATAACAAAATTTCACATTTCACACGTAGATTTTCTAAGGCAGAGATGTCTCAGTCATATTTGACACCAAGCCCCAGCACTTTTGCACTGTGCCTCAGTACTTTTTCACTGTGCACAGCACACTTAGGCATTTGAGGAATATGTATTAAATCGTAGGGTAGTTGCTAACCACTGAGGCTGAGAGTGAATCTGAGCAGGTGTGTACTTTTGTTCCTGTTTGCATATCTTGGAATATTGCCTGTACACAGATGACCTTAGTTCATAACAAGGACTTCGTCTGAATGATTGAGGGGTGTTATATAAATTCCAGGCATTGGCCAATTGAATACACCTTTTATATCTACATTTGACATTCTGGGATTCTAATGTTATCTTTAGGCAAACTGGGAAAGCAAGTTCATGATTAGTAAATTCTGATTAAGAAATTAATTGAAATGTGAGAACATCATTTGGACTTCAGAATTGTAAAACGTTAACAACTAATGATTTTAAAATGATAGCCAGGCCGGGTGCGGTGGCTTAAGCCTGTAATCCCAGCACTTTGGGAGACCGAGACGGGCGGATCACGAGGTCGGGAGATCCAGACCATCCTGGCTAACCCGGTGAAACCCTGTCTCTACTAAAAATTACAAAAAACTAGCCGGGCGAGGTGGTGGGCGCCTGTAGTGCCAGCTACTCGGGAGGCTGAGGCAGGAGAATGGCGTGAACCCGGGAGGCGGAGCTTGCAGTGAGCTGAGATCCGGCCACTGCACTCCAGCCTGGGAGACAGAGCGAGACTCCGTCTCAAAAAAAAAAAAAAATGATAGCCTTCTATGTCATGACTTACATGTCCTTTTACAATATTTTTTCTCTTTTTACACAAACGGATGAATAAATGTGGCTTTAAAAATCATCACGCTGACCCCTGCCCTTTATTAAGGCACCCACAAACGGACTAAGATTGTATCTCATTTTGCAATTGAAGACATTGGGACTGAGAGATATCATGTGACTTGCCCAGATTCACACAGAAATCTGAAGCTTTAGAATTCTTAGCCTTTACATTTTTATCCACCGTGACCATTAACTTGAAAGTGCATTGACTTGAAAGTGACTTTGGTTTTTTTTCCCCCATTACATCTAGGACTGTGATTTACCATCTTGCCATCCTCCCCCAGCTGCCCCGGAAACGAGGAGAAGCACATACAGTGCACCAAGAACCCAGTGGCGATTTGGGTCTTGGACCCCAGTAAGAAATAGACTGGGAGAAGTGGGGAGGGCAGGATGGGGGCTAATGTTCTCTGGCATGACTATAGAAAGTGGACTACTGTCCAGTAAACAGCCATTCCAAGTAACATAACTGCATGATTTTACTCCAACACCCAGTGCTCAGCCACTTGTGGGAAAGGTACCCGGATGAGATACGTCAGCTGCCGAGATGAGAATGGCTCTGTGGCTGACGAGAGTGCCTGTGCTACCCTGCCTAGACCAGTGGCAAAGGAAGAATGTTCTGTGACACCCTGTGGGCAATGGAAGGCCTTGGACTGGAGCTCTGTAAGCCAGTGGATTATTTGGAATTGGGGGAATCGGGGGAACACTGAGGGGTATGAGGAGTCAGCGGAGGGGGCCGCCACTTGGAAATGTCAATGGGTAATATGTCAGAGCTGGATTTGTTTTATGATTTAAATTGTTCTGCTCCATTTATGTGTTGTTGGCCAAGTGTGCAAGGATTCTTAGCTAAGTGTTTAAGGAATGCACATTTTCAAAAAATGAATAAATCAGTTTACAGTCTGCTTGAGTGCCTGTCCTGTTGGGTTGATCAGAAATCCCAGTCTTCACTGAGTCATATTAGTATGCAGTAGGTTTGTAGAGGACCAAAAATGTCAGGAGAGTGAGGGGAGAGGCTCTTACTCTGAGTCTGGATTCCTCCTGCATCCTGTGGTCCCTAAAAGTCAAGAGGCTCTTGGTTTACCCTGCCAAGAATGGGAAGTGGGAATCCTCATCCAGTGCTGTGAACCTGCCTGCTGTACACCAAGCACCATCTATGGGTTTTTATAAAAGTAGAACTTTTATCTTTAGGCAGCTTCTGTTTTCTGCCCTGCAAAAAGCCCAGGGTTCAGGAAATAGATTAGGATAGGTGAGGAGAGGTCATAGGGAGAATGGAGATTAATATCTCAATAAATATCAATATGGAGAGAGAAATTTGAGAGGTGCAATAAAATACAGCTGTGTAAAAACCCAGACCTTGGCATTGACTTGTTGCATGGCCTTGAGCAATCTGGTTTAAGTCCATGAGTCTCAGTTTGCTCTGCTCTTAAAGAAGACGGAAAAGAATACTACTTTACAGGGCTGTTGTGAGAATTATTTGAGATTATGTATGTTAAATGCTTAACAGAAAGTACTACTCAATAAATAGTAGATAATCTCACTCTCACATCTTGAACTTCCAAACACTGATCCATGCGTCCATCCATCCATTTGTCCATCCATCTGTCAGTTCATCTTCTCTAAGATCCATCTGCCTACTCACCAGATATTAGTGAAAGCTTGCTAGAGAAAGAGCAGTGAAGAATGAATAATAAAGCCTCTACCTTCATGGAGATTATTCCAATGGATGATCCAGTCAATGAACAAATAAGGAAGTATGTAATGTAGCAACAGGTACTGATAAGTCCTAGAAAGAAGTCAAGACGAGAAATGGAATAGAGAATGATGGGATGTGTTTTTACAGAGAGTGGTCAAAAAAGGCCTGACATTGAGCAGGACCTGAGTGAAGTGAGGGAATGACCCACATGGGTATCTAAGTGGTATGGCAAAAGGTGCAGTAGGTATGAAGTCCCTCAGATGGAAGTGTTCTTGGCTTGTTCGAGAAGCATCAGTAAGGCCAGCATAGCTGGAGTGCAGTGAGTGGCGAATGGTAGATGGGTCAAAGAGGTAGTCAGTGGCCACATCATAAAGAGTCTAGTGGATCAGTGTAAGGATTTTGGATATTAGTCAGATGAATTGGAAAATCACTGGAAGGAAGGATAGGATTTGACTTTTGTTGTAAAGGGTTATATTTTGTGATTTTGAATACTGAGCTCACAGATTTCTCACTGAAATATATATGGGGTGGGAAAACAAGAGGGGAGACAAGGGTGATTCCAAGGTTTTTGGCCTGAGAAATTTGGGAAAGTGGTGGGCCATTTACAGAAATGCACATTCAGGAATTGTCAACCCCTCCACCAAATGACTAACCCTTTCTCTTTCTGAACATTCAACCTAGTGCTCTGTAACCTGTGGGCAAGGTAGGGCAACCCGGCAAGTGGTATGTGTCAACTATAGTGACCATGTGATCGTTCGGAGTGAGTGCGACCAGGATTATATCCCAGAAACCGACCAGGACTGTTCCATGTCACCATGCCCTCAAAGGACCCCAGACAGTGGCTTAGCTCAGCACCCCTTCCAAAATGAGGACTATCGTCCCCGGAGCGCCAGCCCTAGCCGCACCCACGTACTCGGTGGAAACCAGTGGAGAACTGGCCCCTGGGGAGCAGTGAGTATTCCCTGAAGTCTTTCTTTAGTTTGCTTGCTTCTATTTCACTTGAGGTTGGTTTGGGGGAAAAGAGACTAGAAACACCTTTAGAGCATTTTTTTTCTTTACAAGGGATTGACATTGTGCATTTTCATTTGCTTTGAGTAACTTGTAATGGGTTAATTACAGTCCTTGATGATACTGATACTGCCTGCACCTATAAGCTGCCTCGATTGGGTGGAGAAAGGGGATATCGTGACTAGGTGATATGATCACATGACCTCCTGGAAGGTACCAAGAATACCATCATGATTCATCCTGGAGGCCACAGGCAGCTCATACCTGTAGGGGAGTTAAGAAGACAGAGAAACTTTTCTGAAAGGGAATTCCTAATGAAAGTCACTTTCCTTTCTACTATTTTCCAGAAGGATGCCGTCTCAAAGTGGCATGGTTGTTGTGTAATTTGTAGTAGTAGGTCATTGTCCTGGATTAAGGGGAAGTACTAGTCTAGGTAAGATTTGTGCTTAGGAGGGTTACCAGCACAATCGCTGAGGGAAGATGCCTTGGTTTGATCCAAAGACTTACACTTTTAAATTTGGGGACCTTCTGCAGGTCCCTTCTCCTCTTTGAGCCTCAGTTTTCTTATTGTAAAATGAGGATAACAATAATTCCTGCTTTCCTGGGTTGCTGTAAGAATTAAATGAGATGATGCAAATAAAGTGCTTTGTGCCCTGCCTGCCACAGAGTGAGAACTTAATATATGTTGACAAGTTGTCTTTATTACTATCATTATCATTGTCCTTCAAATTAGGAAGGCCTTGACAGATATCTGATATCAAAAGAAAAGTATGCTTTGGAATGTTTTAAACTTTTTACTAAATAAAAAAAAAATATGCTGTGCAATACCAGACATGTTAAATGGAACTGCAGGAGCGGGGCGGGGGTTTAAGGGATCCTGGATAGGGACATAGTTAGGTGTTTACTAATTATTCAGGGGTCTTCTTTTTAATTGTTTACTATTAGTTTCCTTCTAGTACTGCTAATTCTGTTTAATTGTTTCTGGGCTAAAAAGAATTAGAAGGAAGCTGTCTGTTTCCCACCACGGTTATGTTTCAGTAAATTAGATGTACTTTCTGATGAATACTAATTAGCCACTGAGCATTTGCGCACCCACTGTCTGTGCTGGTTGTGTGCAGAACAGCTGCCAAGTTGCCCAAGACCCTCACTATCCCATCCCCCTCTCTTGCTTTCCACTGTTGGGCTTCCTTTGCCCTAGATTAGAAGAGATTTCAGTTCAGAGAAAGTAAAAGATGATTCAGGGAAGTAATCACTGAGTGTCTCATGGTTTTTCCTTGTTGACATAATTCAAAACTCACACATGTGTAGTCTAACGATAGCGCTAGGATTTAAAGAAAGCTTTTTAGTGCTATACTTATTTAGGACTACATTTGGGGATGATGCATTCCTTTAAGATTGAATGATTCTGCCCTTGGGCAGAGCTCCCAATTAGGGAGGATTAGGTAAGCTTTTTGTGGCGATGGGTAATACCATTCTTTTCCTCATTGTGCCTGTTTTTTGTTTGGATATTTTTTTCTCCTAAGTTAAGTGAGGCTGAAGCTGGACAATGTGATTTTTCAGCCCTAGCTTGACGTGTCTGACCCACTCCCAGGAAGATGAAGGATGTACGTCATCTTTGCACTGCATTGCATGGTACACAAACTGTACATGGTCTTCCTGCCTTCCATGGCAGAAAAGGCAGCAAAGTGTTATAAACACTGGAGAATGGGAATCAAGTTTTTCAGTGGTTTCTGGAGTAAGAACTTCATTTTATGATAGATTCCTGTATACACTTGAGCAAGGTGTGTTACCAATTAGGAGTTTTGCAAACAAAAGAAAGGAAACTGACTCTTTCAAGTGAAAGAAAAACAAACAATGCTGTTCATTTAGCCCCAGTAGGGACAGGGACCAGAGCATCTTCAGGGCTGTATCTCAGGGGCTGGCAAGTTTTGTCTGCAGAGGGCCAGATAGTAAATCTTTTCAGCTGTGTGAACCATACAGTCTCTGTCACAGCTAATCAGCTGTGTGTTGCAGCACAAAAGCAGGCATAGACAATATGTAAATAAGTGGGCACAGCCCTGTTCCAATAAAACCTTGTTTCTAAAAACAGGTGGCAGCACACATTTGGTCTTTGGGCTATGGCTTGCCAACCCTTGATCTAGATAGAGGAGTAACTAAGGGATAATTTCTTTAGAGAGTTTCTGTCTGAATGAATCGCTTTTAAGCCTATGCCACTCTTGAGTTATTCTGCTGAGGATTCAAATTCCCAGGAAAGTCCAGTTGTCCACCTCTGACCACGATAGGGCAGAGTGTCTTAATTGATAGACCAAGATGGCATCTGCTGTGGGGAGGAATGTTTTCTTAAAGGAAATTGGGCTGCCAGATGTAAGGAAAAGGATGTTGATTTGAGCAGGTAGAAAAAAACAAATGTCTATCACCCTTTGCTTCTCTAAAGGCCATTCTCCTTTATTTTGTCCATTGTGGATGACAAATTTCAAGTGCGTTTCACTAATAGATACAAAGTTTGTTCAAAAAAATGTTTACCTAAGAAAATGTTGTCATTTAAAGAGAACAGGGGACTTTGTTAACAAAAGTCCAGACTGAAAGTCTGCAACATGGAGGAATGGAACTAAGAATCCCTGTTAATCAAATAATGGCAAAATTAGACCTGGAGAAAGGTTATATACAATACTTCATCTGTCTGTGGGAGTATAAAGACCCAAGCAGGCTCAGTGTTCAGACAGCTCAAGAATGTGCAGTGCAACTGCTTGACCCAAGTTGAGAGCTGTCACCAGCACTTTAGTTGGATTCTCAGTAGGAAGCATCCAGTTGCTCCCTGGGTGGCCAGTGGATTGGTTGGCTGTGGATCAGGTGTTCATCCTTATACCCATCAGCTGTATTGGAGAGAGAATACCATGGAATTTCTAGAGCTGTTCCTTCCAGAATCTTTAACTGGACCAGATAGTATATCCTGTGACCAGCACTATGGGACATAATAGGGACACAAGTTATAACACTGAGCCTTTCCTCAAGGAGCCTGATACTTTACTCGGGCAATAAAGCTGACAGGTGACATAATAAAGGAATGATACAAGATTATATTATCAAGGAGAAAACCCAAGGACCAAGATATAGATGACAAATCTATTTATACCGTGAAAGGCCCTTCCTAACATTTTAAATTCTGGTCCCCAAACAAAGCTAATTAAAATAATAGTTCTCTGTTTTTTATTATGTACTAAGCTGTTTAAAAGTAGGAAGGTAGGAAGTAAGGCCAAACATGGTGGCTCACTCCTGTAATCCCAGCGTTTTGGGAGGCTAAGACAGGAGGATTGCTTGAGGCCAGGAGTTCGAGACCAGTTGGGGCAACATAGTGAGACCTTGTTTCTACGAAAAATGTAAAAATTTTAACCAGGTGTGGTAGTGTACACTGACGGTCTCCAGCTATGCAGGAGACTGAGGTGGGAAGATTGCTTGAGCTGAGAGGTGGAGGCCATAGTAAGCTGTGATCATACCACTGTGTTCCAACCTGGATGACAGAGCAAAACCCCACCTCAAAAAAAAAAAAAAGTAGGAAATGAATATTTTCAGATTTAGAGTAAGTATACCAGAATCCTCAAAGAATAAAGGTAACATTTTTATAACTTGAAAAATACCTAAATATTTTCTCAAGAGGAACTAATAAATCTATTATCTGGCTCTAAATTTAAAAATTAAACCCAATATAAAATGAAAGTGCAGGTATTGATTTAAAAACACTTATAATTTGACCATCATGGGCAGGGAAATTAACAGTGGTCCAGTTCAATAAGCAACAAAATGTATTCACATCTTGATACGGAAGAAGTTGACCAGCAAGAAGCAGTGTTTGATCGAGCCTGTTTTGACATAACACTGATATGAGCTACAATTTGCTGGAAAACAAAAATCAGCCTTCAGAACCTGGAAGTAACAACATGCTTGCAAATGCAGTTTGAGTCTTGATAAATTGTGAGAAATACATTGCTTTGAGGACCAGATGGTTATTTTATAGGCAAACTGATTTTACAAGGGTCAGAGTAAAGGACACTAGCAAACATTTTGGGTTTAAAAAGATAAGGAAATTATGGAAAGAAGAAAACACTTCAGGTGTAAATAAATAAGTGAGCTATGAGAAGCTCATGTGGGAAATGAAATGAAATACACACAACACCATAACAAACCATGAAAGAGAGGGTGTTAGGCTGAAAGTGCGGCCAAAGAGAGGTTTGTTGTGATGAAATTCAGTTAAGTTCATTGAGGAAGTAAAATATAAAATATTTTATAAAACAAGTCTTGCTACCATTAGCCACCGAAGTTCAGGCTGTTGTAAACAGAGAGAAAGGAACATTTTATCTGCTAGGAAGTGATGTCTAAATGACATTCCATGATATTTTCCTGGAGTAATTGAATGAGTTCATACAGAAGCTTAATTTCAACAACTGGCAATTCATTAAGCATGTAATTTGACCTCTGTGTTGAAAGGGAAATCAAATACTGGTTCTAAATAGGCACTTGAAGTTTTGAAAAGAATTTTCAAATAAACTGTGGTGTCCATCGACACCTCTGTGCCTCTTAGAGATGCAGAGGGGAAAAAGACAGTAAGTGGCCTGCTTTGGAAGTCACATTAGGCATTTATGGAACCCCTGTGGAGGGCCTAAGGCATGCCAGAAGAGAAGACACATTTCTGCCCTCCAGGTGTGTCTATAGGATATGTACATGAAACAACCCCACACTGGGGAAGTTGTCAGGTTTTCCTGATTGCTTTTTTGTCCTTCGTGGATGACTTGAAAATGCTTTTCAGCACGTTTGTCTTAACCTTTCAACCAACTGCTTTTGTGTCCCTAAGATGGAGATTGAGGTAAGAATTAACTTGTCAACCGATGTGTTTAGTGTTCCAGTACCTGTGCTGGCGGATCCCAGCGGCGTGTTGTTGTATGTCAGGACGAAAATGGATACACCGCAAACGACTGTGTGGAGAGAATAAAACCTGATGAGCAAAGAGCTTGTGAATCCGGCCCTTGTCCTCAGTGGGCTTATGGCAATTGGGGAGAGGTGAGAGTGAACTATCTATCTATAAACACAGAGGAATTGTGTTAACCAAACTGTATTTATCATTCAGATTTTATTTTAAGGAAGAAGAACTAGCTCTAATAGAAGCTTCTGGAGTGGCGATTAACTAGGAAACCTGTCTTCTTAAATTCTGGACTATTTTTAAGTGTTCCTATTACCACTAAGAGTTTGGGTACATAGGTGAGCAAAATTAGAAGAGAATACAGATAAATACTGGTTTAAGTTGTTTGTTCACCTCTGATGAATAAAAAGTAGATGCTTTTAAAGTGATTGAAATTATGTGTTAAACCGGTCCATGGAAGTCTTGCCCTCTTTCTTCTTCATAGTTTTGGGGTGTTTGTGTTATGCCCTGTTCCCATGGCATAATGTCTCCCAGCCTTCCAAGTTCCTAATGAAGCCAGATTGAATAGGTGTTATAATTCTCATGAAAGATGATATGTTTTTATTGAGGAAGTGAGTAGTTAGCTGTGTATTCTAAAATATGGAATTCTTTAGCTACTACCTTTTCAGAGTTGCCTGTGATGACTGATAAGGGGCAATTTAGTACTGGAAGCTGAGGAAACCATGTCCTGTTCCCAGCTCTGGCTCTTAAAAGTTTTGTGACCTCAGCAAATAATGTAGTATCTTTGCCAAATATTTATATCCTCATCTGTGAATAAGGATAATAATAGCACCAACCTCTTAGTATTTATGACCATTATATGAGGTAGTATCTATCAAATGCCTAGCACATAGCCTTTAATCAACTGATACTATAATAATAATTAATGTTAAGAATAATTATTAATAATACTGTGATTAAGTGGGGGTTTGAGCCCATATTATACATAGGGCCTAGATGCTTATTGCTTTGTGTTTAATTAACTAAGAATATATCTCTCTATTCTTGAATCCACAGGGAGAGCACATATTTAAAGTTTGTTGAGTTGTTCTGTCTTGACTATAACATTTATCAAATAAAACATGACAAATAACACTTGGGAGGTGTCAGTGCCACGAGGGGGAAAAAGACAAATGAGATCGATGGGCATGTTAGTCCACACGCTTGGCTAAATGAAATCACGTGTCCACAGTTCATGGTTTCAGCCACATAACCTAGTAGTCATAGGCAGTCATAACGGGATTATTGTTGACTTTCATTGACAGTTATGTCATTCTGGAGAGCTTTGTTGAAGAGAAAGAATGAGGCTTTGTGACTCATGTATTGTGGATTTCCCAAAACCTCCTCGAAAAGTTATGTCCTGTGGGGCCTGTGATTAAGCTTCTGTAATTGGATTCAAGCCAGGAGAGTACACGAACTTGCTGGGATGCTTTGCTGTCAGCACAGACCAGATCATTCCAAATTCTGTGGGAGATCTGGCCTTGACACAGCAGGGAAACCAAATGTCAGTGTTGCTGGATTTGAGCGCGGCAACACTGTCCAAGAAACACAACATGTTCCTGCCTCAGAAGTTTAGATCTAGCCAGGAGTCAGAACCTTATCCAGTGTTCCCACCACACTGTTTATTCATCCAAGGGGAAAGTCATAGTTGTCCTCAGATTCAGAGATACAGTAAAACAGGTTAGCGTCATAAAGGGCTATGGAGACTGGAGTCAGAGAAGAGTCAAGGATTGGTGACAGCTTCTTGGAAGTTACCAGAAAATAGAACCGGTTAAGTCACTATCTCCTTTGTTTGGTATTGGGTAGTTTTTGTTTGTTTATTTTTGTTTTGTTTTGGTTTGGTATTTCTCAAAGAATCTTTGTTGGGAGGCCGAGGTGGGAGGAATCACGAGGTCAGGAGACCGAGACCATCCTGGCTGACACGGTGAAACCTTGTCCCTTCTAAAAATACAAAAACTTAGCCGAGTGCAATGGCAGACGCCTGTAGTCCCAGCTACTTGGGAGGCTGAGACAGGAGAATCGCTTGAACCTGGGAGACGGAGGTTGCAGTGAGCCGAGATCATGCCACTGCACTGCAGCCTGGGTAACAGCAAGACTACGTCTCAAAAAAAAAAAAAAAGAATCTTTGTTACTTGCTAACAGATTGGCCTTGATCGAGTTAATTAACCTCCCTTCACCTTACTTGTTTCATATATAAGATGGGACAAATAATTATACTCCTCTTGATTGGATAATATATGCAAAAGCCCTCAGTGCAAGTGAAGAGAAAGCACTTAATAACTAATACCTGCCATTAGGGGAGGAGAGCCTTGGTCTGTTTAACGTATCTCTATTGTAATTCACCTTGGTTCCATCTGTCAGAGGCTTACCTTGCCCAATGCCATAATTGAGTTTGGCTATGAAATTAGAGAGAAAGAAACTTTGTCATTGGCCTTTCAGACAAAATAACTGCAGCCTTCCTTTTCCTTCTTCCAGTGCACTAAGCTATGTGGTGGAGGCATAAGAACAAGACTGGTGGTCTGTCAGCGGTCCAACGGTGAACGGTTTCCAGATCTGAGCTGTGAAATTCTTGATAAACCTCCCGATCGTGAGCAGTGTAACACACATGCTTGTCCACACGACGCTGCATGGAGTACTGGCCCTTGGAGCTCGGTACGGCCCTAACTATTCATGTTTGTTAACCAAACTATCTAATTTCAAGGTATTCTGGGGCACTCCTCTGCGGCAGATAATTGTCACACTTACAAGGGCATCCCGGAAACTCTGCTATAAATAGTCTATTATTTTCTCCATATTGGCGCATAATAGAATTAACTTTTTATGATACTGCCAAAGTGACTTTACAGAATATGTGTACCTCATATAGGACCTGGTGCCAAGAAGTAGCTGCCTTTTCTTAGCCTAAATACACACACACACACACACACACACACACACACACACACTGTGATTTTAACAGACAACTCAATAGCACACATTCTTTCCTTTTCTAAGCTATAGTAGTTTTGACTTTTTGGGAAAGATACCTGCTTATTGAGGCCAAAGCAATTTTTCTTCAGTGACTGTAATTTGCCTGTGTGACTCAGGTACAGCTCTGAACATAATTTTTACAAAGGCTGTGCCCACAAAATAGACTAAAATCGTTTTGAAAATGCAAAAGACCAAAAATGGAACAAGTGACCTGGTGCCTTTCAGGGTGTCAGAAATGTTCTCTCTCTTGCAGAGAGACAGGAAGCCCATTTGGGACCATATTTTGCTTTGGTCCTAGTCTTCCTTTACTATCTGCTTAGCCAGCAGCTGACATGGTGAAACGGGTTTGCCACTGTAAATATGATGCAAACTTCAGGGGCAGCTCTTGGCAAACAGAAGGATCAGCTGTGTCAAAACTAGACTTTGGCTGAGTTGTGCCCATAAGCTGTGGAGCTAGCTGTTAGGGCTGCTTCATGTAAATAGAGTAAAAACGATCCTGTAAATACATTAATTGCACTGAAGCTGAATTAAGTATTATATTAAGTCATATCCAGAATGTTTTCTACCCAATATGGTTCTGAGAAGTCTTAACCATCCCTGAAACCAGCTAAAGAGCAGATTAAGTGAAGTGACATGGTTAATACCTGTTGACATTTCTAAGAGTCAAGGGTCCCAATGGCTGGGGTCATGTCTGCAGGTATAACACTAACTATATAATCAACATACTTCCTATTAAGTAGAAATCTAGAAGAATTTGGAGCATTATCTCCACTGGTACTATTTAGCTGGACTGTAAATATTTTCTTCCAGAACTTAAGAAATGCCACTCTGAGTCAGAGAGCTCTGATCTGTTGTTACTCTAGTCAGTTCACTAGGAGCATTTTCCCTACAATAATGGCACCTTCCCCAGAAGAACATTTCTGAAGATCAGAAATAACCTTAGAATGTCAGGAACATCTTCTGACATTCCCAACTTCCCTCATCTCCTATTATATATTATTTTTCGTGAAATTCCCTCTTGAGCTCATTATATTTTCACCAGTTCACTCGACCAACAGCAATACCAGTGCCAGAGTTATGTTTTAGAAAGTCTACTAGCTCTCCAAAAAGTAGTAGTTCATTAATTTTGACCAAAAAAAAAAATCTCTTAACCTTTAGGAAGAAACACACAAGCCTATTTATTGTATGTTCTTGTGGTTTGGTGAAAAAAAGAAATCTGCATTTCCCTTCCCAGACTCAATTCCATTGATCATCTCAGTTCCATTGATTATTCTATATTTACCTCTCCAGGAAGAATTATTTGGGAAAATGGGGAAAAACATAACTCTTAGAGAACTGTAAATTAATTTCCATGGTATTCTCTTCCTTAAACACTTTCTAAATACGCTAATTTTTTTTTTACACAGGATCACTACCCTCTCCTGCAGACATTTTAAGAGCATAAATATTTAAATTTTAAAACAGGAACTGCTAATTATTGTAACTGAAAGCATAGGTTTATTTCATGTAGTTGTTCTCCTTGGGCCTGCACACAGTTTTCTGAAACAGAGGAAGAAAGAGAGAGAAAGAGTATGCACAGAAGCAAGTGCATGCATTTTTAAATTCATTTTGCCACCTATATGATTTCAATGGTTTCTTTATAAAGTTATCATTATTCAAATATGTGTTTAAAAGCCTCTATAGTCTAAGAGCAAGGCCACTTCTGCAAGGCTTTTAATTGTGATTTTAAAAAATTAAATCAAAAGCATTTTCTTTAAATAGATATCTTTGTAATATATTACTTTTCTTAAATATACGAGTGAGAGGGCAGTCTTTCAGATTCTTACTGTAGAATTTTGATTTTGGTTGTAAGTTTATTTCTGTGGATGCTTTGGTGTAATATCTTAGTAATTCCAAATGTAAGCATACCTCAGTAATTGTGTTAATAGCCATAAGCCACTTCCATGGTGCTTCATCATTGTAACTGACGGTGAAACTAACAACAACAAAAAGTATGTTGGAGGTGCTAACATGTTGCTTTCAACAGCAAGCAACTTAGATTTATCAGAGACCAAGGGTAGCAATTAGTCCTTCTGCCTGGTTGCTTTCTCTCTCTAAGTACTCCCATGCAGTAGACGATGTCAATAAGCAACTACTGCTGTGTGAATTAGCCTTCTCCAAGGTCAAAATGGAGATAGCCTACTTCAACGCTTGTTACTAAAGAGCAGTATTTAGAAAAGAAACCCCAAATCACTATTAATATAGCTTCCAGCATCCCTAAAATGAAGCTTCTGTGAACCTAGGGTTTAAGCCCCCATCTTAGATCAGCCATTGGTTCTGGCTCAAGCCATTGCGGATTTAAGAATCATGATGGTGAGAAACATCCTCCAGAAATTCAACCTTTTCTATCCTCTTTAAAATGGGCCTTTGGACTCTTTTTTTTTTTTTTTTTTTTTTTTTTTTTTTTTTTTTTTGGTAATGTTTGTTTTTGAAATAAGGTTCTTTTTTTGAGACGGAGTCTTGCTCTGTTGCCCAGGCTGGAGTGCAGTGGTGTGATCTCGGCTCACTGCAACCTCCTCCTCCCAGGTTCAAGCGATTCTCATGCCTCAGCCTCCCAAGTAACCAGGATTATAGGTGTCTACCACCACACCTGGCTAATTTTTGTATTTTTAGTAGAGACGGGGTTTCGCCATGTTGGCCAAGCTGGTTTCAAAGTCCTGACTTCAGGTGGTCTGTCGCCTTGGCCTCACAAAGTTCTAAGATTACAGACACGAGCCACCATGCCCAGCCTGAAATAAGGTTCTTAAACTCACATGCCTTTCAGTCGACTCCTGCAGTCAGTCCCAGGACATTAAGGAGACAATGCATATGTCCTATGACTAGAGAAGTAAATTGTAAAGAGAGCTCTATACCATCAAACCACAGCAGAAAGTAGGCTAAAAATCCAGAGCATTCTAGAGAAAGCTAACTCATATAGATAATCACAGATTAAAAGTCCGCTGGGTGATACCATATATCCAAGATGGGTCTTCAGCATTCCTTTGTGCGTTGTCCTGTCAACCTGCTTGCTGATCACCTTGGAAACTGTGCTTTTCCTTAGGAGAAATTGCTTGTTTGGGGTTTTCATGACAAACCTAAAAATGTTCTCTGAGCCTTGCTTTAGGTGCATTGGAATAATGCTTGTCGACCCAAGTAATGAGAATTTATGAGCTCACGAAGGAATTGTGCTTTTGTTTCTGCCTGGCTAACTTATGAATTTGTGTCTACCTCATTTTCGTATTAAAGTTTGCAGCTTCTGTAGGTAGGAAGAGAAAATGTTTGATACCAGTATTTTATAACCTCACTGTTTCTCTCCCTAGAAGAAATAAAGATTGTAAATATCACTACCATATTTTCTAAACACAGTTTTAAGCAGCCACACCTAGAATTTTCTGAATATTTTGAGCAGTACAGATTTCTATGTGTTATATAATAAAGCATATTTATTTTTTCATGTTATTTAATTTTATATACAATGTTTAAAAAAATCAGTGTTTATCAGCAGACTGTAAAGGCAAGTAGGCTCTGTGGGTTAGAAATGAATGTATATGTTTCTTTTGGTTTTAAAAAGATACATTTTAATTTTGTAAATTCCCTCCAACCTGTACAACCCCTCCCTCAAATCTGAGTAGCCAAGTATCTAGCTTTGTGTAATTAGACAGATTCAAGTATGTATTTTAAAGGGATACTTTAAAAACGTATTTCTGAGTTGGAAATGATGCTTAGATTTATAAACAAAAATATATGAGGCTTAACATTTTGTTGGGTATTTTTTCTTTTCTAATACTGTTGTCCTGAGTTATTGAGTCTCAACTATGAAATATGCATGCTCCATTTATTGAATTTGTAGATAATGACAAAATATAGCCAGAAGACAAAAAAAGGTGATTGGAAGAAATGGTTCTGAACACATAAGAGACAGCTAGGTACAGGAAAAAGCAAACCTAATGTGCATAAATTTGATTACACTTTATTCTGTGTGTTCAGATAACTGTAAAAAGCTTACAGCATTTGTCAATTTTGTTATTTGTTCACTGCAATACATTTCAGAAAGCATTCCTTATTAAAGGAAAATAAAATACGACAGCAACTACCTTGGAAGTTTCAAGAGAGCCTACCCTTTTCAAAAAAAATCTAAATCATAGAAATGACCCGGAGGCCTATTGAACCTCATCCCCCTCCTGAGCCTCCTTTTTGCAGTATAGGTTATTATGGTATTCATGGGTGAAAGGACCAAGGTAAGGAGGGTCCCTATATGAGTTAGACTTTATTTTTAATAAGGTGAGAAATAAGGTAACTTCTCCAAAGGAAACGAAGATAACAATAGCTAACGTTTGCTGTAACAAGCCAAATTAAGCAAATACACATCACATTAACCTGATTTTAATCTATGAGGGAGGTGCTGTTAGAAACCCATTTGACTAGCAGATAATCTACTTCAGTGATAGGATCTCGTTGATAGGGTACTGACTATTAATCTTGTTTTGGCAGAAAGAAACAACCTGTGTTCAGAATGAACTTTTAGGCTCCTGTTTATATTCTATAAAGGATATGCCTAAAACTCAAACTTCATTTAGCCTCAACATTATTTAACTAATTGTGACATTGTCCATTTTATTCTGGCAAAAGAAAATCCAAATTCATTCCTGTTATTGGTAAATTCCCATAACCAGGAATTACAAAAGCTTCAAACAACTGTTGTTTAGAGAATGGCAAAATATTCCTTTCTTTCATTTTACGGATACATTTTTAGCCAGATTAGGAGGATGACATCAAGATTTTGACTATAAGGAATATCACATTAAATGCATATGAATTTTTTATAAAATATGATATTTTTATTACAATGAAGACAGTTTAAACATATTGCTAGCATCTTTAAAAAACAAGAGCCACATTATTTGGCTGTATCAGTATGGAGTATAAAAAATAAGATCGTTTTTTGTGGAACAAAGTGTTACGACATATGAATTTACAAAATTTACCTTAGTTCTGTGTAGCACTCATCTCTAATGTGTTCAGAACAATCAAAATACTTGCCTGCATCTATTTCACTGGAGACAAAACTTAGGCTTTTAATAATCTTTTTCCAGTATTTACAGAGATTATATGCCTATGAAAGACTGATCCTGCCTTCTGATGCTATTTCGTGGTAGCTTGACAGATTCTATTTTCATGGATTTAAAAACATGGGTCGGGGGAGCAGGGTTAGGAGGGTTATTGGACTCTGAGGAGGAGTCCAGGTCCTCTCCCTCACTCCTGTTGTGGAGTTGCCCTTCTGGAATGGAAAGAAATAGAAACTTTGGAATGTGGAGTGGGAGGTAGAGGTTCAGTCCAAGCATAATTGGCTAGGAGGGAATCCTGGCGATTAGTGATGGCAGTTGAGGAAGATTTATTTTAATACCAGGGGTAGGTGGTTGGGGGAGGATAAAAAAAAAAAACTCTGGTCATTTCTTTAAAAAATAAAATAAAATAAAACAGGCATTCAATTTTCAACAAATGCTTTCTAAGTGCCTACTGTAGGCCAGGGACTGTTCTAGGTGCTAAGGATATAGCAGTGAACAAGTTAGAGCTCTTTGTTCTAAGGGAGCAAGAGAAATTTTAGTATTAAGTGAATACTAAACACATGTAATTAAAGAACTGATACTTTGGTTTTCCTGGCAGCTTCACCATCACCATTAAAATAAAACTACAACTTGTTATTAGGGTAGGTACCTTCATGGATACTGATGACATTTATTCAGTAAGTATAAATTAGCAATTTTATCTTTGCTTTTAAATGTGCAACTGGCCAGTCATTTTAAGTGACAGATGCTGCCTGGCTGATGGCATGGAACTTTTAAAAACCTCCTATCAGAGAATATGCTTCCAATCACCATTCCATTAGAACCCAAATGTGAGTTCAGTGGTCTAAGAGCCAGTATGAGTGGAGAACCTAACCTTCAGCCTTCTCCCTACTGGGTTCTTGGCCTCCACACAAGGTGGAGAGTTGTGGTCTGAGGGTACTTTTTCCCTTTGTTATTTAATGGGTACCAATTAAAAGATGTGGAATGTGTGGATCTCCACACCATCTTCTTTGCTTGTTGCTGTTGTTTTCTCTAAAGTGGGATCATTGTCATGAATCGTTTTAATGACCATAACCTCTCTTTCCTGAAATTTATAAAATAGAAAATTGGCAGCCAAGGAAAGCATGTCCAGGGGTGGTATGGAAGATGACTCATGTAGGCTGAACCCAGAAATCCATCACTCTTAGCAAGATCTGCATCCCCTTTCTCCTATGAGAAAGAGCTTATGCCTTGGCCAAAAGAACCTAGTAGCTTTCTGCAGCGATGTAAATGTTCTCTCTTTTTGCTTTCCTTTAATGGAAGCCACTAGCCACATGTGGTTAAATACTGAGCACTTGAAACATGGTTAAGTGACAAGGAAACTGTATTTTTAATGTAATTTTAATTACTCTAAATAGCTACCTGTTGCTGGTGGTTACCATATTGGACAGGGCAACCTCAGGCAACAGGACATCTCTAACAATTAATAATAAACTAGCAAAGAGATCAATAAATTTATAAAAATAAATTGGGGAGAGAAACCCTATTCCACATGTAAGGGGTCCCCCCATAAGATGCCCATGTATCCAGTGATTAGCATTCTCTTGCCTTTCTTGTGTTTCATGCCTTTGTTTTGAAAAACTTCAGTGGGTGTTCCCTGACAGCTGGGCATTGGAAAATGCAGAGGACAGTGAAAAGACGGCCTATCAGAACCAGGGGTCTTGAGAGTAGTAACTCCAGGGCTTCATTGTAAAAGCAGCTGTTAAAACAAACTCTCCTCTTGTGCATCTCAGAGTTCAAGTTCATCGTGGTCATAAGTTCAGTTAAGGAGAAAACATGTTTATGTGTTCAGTGGGTTGAAAGGGCAAGGCTTGATTGATGCTTTTTAGGAGAAGGCAAAAGTGGAAAACACCAGGTAGCCACCTTGTAGAAGCTTGAATTCCAAGAGATCATTCCCTCTTTGAAGCAAAAGTTTCAGGAAGGCAGCTTTTCATATTCATTGAACCCAGTAGGTGAAGGTTGAGCAGATTAGCTTTGCAGGGCTCTGTTTCAAAGACATATCAGAAGAAACCAAGTTGAGGCAATGTTTCTCCTCCATGACTGTAAATGTAGTCAATTAGTTTTGCAAAACTTAATGTCCACAGTGTTAAAAAAAAAAAAAAAACTCTTATTCATTCACATTTTTACTCTACACTGAGGGCCCCAAGAAATTTAAATTTATACAACAACATTGACTGCAAATTGACTGATAATTATCAGTTCTGTTTCTCAGTGGCCAGATAGAATGTTTTCCCCACCTTTAGGGCAACATCCTGAATTAAACTATAATCTGACAGATGGTCTGTTTTCAGAAGCACTGATTAATCTGTTATGTTCATTCTCAGGTTGTCTATGCACTAAAATGAGAAATAGTTCAGATGATTCTCCCTAAGCCATTTTCTTCTGAACTATCTCAGAAAGTGAATGAATTGATATCTTCAGTTATCCACAAAAGAGCAGATTTTTTTCCCACTTAATTTTTTACACAAGGTATTTCCTCCCATAATTATAGGGATTACTTTATTATTATTATTATTATTATTATTATAACAGCCGCTTACATTTTGGAACATTTACTTTGAGCTTGGAATTATGCGAAACAATTCACCCACATTTGTCTAACTTAATCTTCTCTACTTGATGAAGTCAGCACCATCAGAGAAGTTGCTTAGTTGATCTCACTGCTCAGTAGTGGTCTCTAGGTCTCACTGCTGGGAAGTGGCTGAACTAGGATTTGAACTTAGGATTTTATGAATTTTAAGCTACTGGTTTAAGCCAAGATATAATCCCCTCATCTCATTGTTTAGTTGATGAAATGGTAAAATGTAACCTGAGTGGAAAGGGTATGTCTACAATGTAAGATTTTATGTTATCCCAGAGTGTAATTACTAATATTTGAAATGCTCCGAAATGAATTTGAGCCATTTACAAGTTTTGCTTTAGGGGATAAGCAAAGAAAATCGGGAATGAATATAAGAAAATTGTCTTAAACCAAGTAAAAGAGCAAGATTTGGGGTTTTCAGAAGATTTTAAGAAAAAAGCAACAACCAGTATTAAGCACATATTGGGTGCTATCTCTGGCATTTTTAATATAAATGGAATAACTTGAGGTAATAAATCTAAGTATTTAGTAGGTATATAGATAGTCAGGATGATAGATTTCGTTAGAGCCAGTTAGGAGACTTTATAGATGTTCATGGTGATGAGTTTCCTTGCAGAAAGTAAGATGCTATAGCACTTACAAGTGAATTATGAAAAATGATAAAATTTACTAAAATGTAATCTCACCATAATAACTCTCTGGTTGAAATAAAGCATATTCAATGCATTGGAATGTCTTCCAAACTATTTATTGAGCTAAAATTAAGCTACAGGGACTGAACTCTTCTTTTAGCAATGCTGAGTATTATTCATTCCCATTGGTAGGACAGTCAACCACCTTGAACCCTGTTCTTGCATCCTCTTCCTCTCATCACTCCTCATTCTCACAACTACCTCTGTATTCCTTAGTCCATGTGGCAGGTGAATAAAACAGTTATGTTTTGGGAACTTGGTAAAATGAACAGAGGGAAATATAACAGGGAAAAAGCAGACTGTGTTTGCTTCTTTTTTCTTTGCTAGGACAGAGGAAGAAATATAGACAGAGCCAACACATTTTCAGTGAAAAACCTGTCTCCCCAATCATTTATTTAATTGCCCCATACCTTAATTTCCTTCTGCCTAATGAAACCCACAGTTCAAACTGGGTGCCTTTCTCAAACTAGGCATACTATAAACAATGTTGAAATGAATGAATGAGCTCAGCTACTCAGGTGCTGAACTCCTTATCACATTAGCCCAGAAATATGGAAGTAAAGAGCTAACTGGTAGAAGGGAATCATTAAAAAGAAAGACATAAGATTATTTAGTGCTGTTGTATTAATAATGATGATATCCTGACTTAGAGAGTCGTATGGTATTTATGTAAAAGAGTGTCCTCGATTTGAGGAAACAGAGTTTTAGAGATGATGGGATGTTATGTCTCTAAATTACTCTCAAATTGTTCAGGGAAAGACAAAATGATAATAGCATATAGAAAGAGATGGGAGGAGGAAATGTGGTGAAACGTTGGCAATTGGGGACTCAGGATGAGGAGATAAGGGAGATCTTTATGATGTTCTTGCAATCTTTCTGTAAGTTGGAAAATTTTCAACATAAGTTAATTTATAAAATTTCTTAACATAAATATATTCAGAGTGTGTATTTTCCTTCACGAGGAAATAAAGAGTAGATCTGGATTTATTTCACAACTTTAAAAATTCTAACACATTCTAGGAAGCTGTTTTTAATCACAGATCTGCACTGTAATGTGATAAAAAAAGGGAGCGGGGTGTGGCAGTCAGAGCTCAGCAGAAATAGAATCTTTCCTACTTTTTTATTGGCTTTTTCCCATGATTTCTCTTTCCTAAGCCTTCTCTCCTCCTCCCTCCTCCCTCCTCCCCATCCCACCCATGCAGCTAAACTGAAAGGCTTCTGGGAATGGTGCATGTGTTTGCTTCCCTTTTCCCAGGGGAATCTAGACTTTCATTGCATCTCTTCCTAGCAAATTCCAGTAAATATCTGGCCATATGCAGACTCCCCCTTGTTTTTAATCGACTGCTACCCAGTCCACATCCAGATTCCTTTGAAAATGAAAGCATTTTCCCAAAAATGTGTGCTGTTTGTTTTCCTTGAGATTAATAAAAGTCCCGCCTAGCCCACTCACCTATTCCTGCCTTGGTATGTGTCCTTTCTTGGTGAAATCATTATTTCCTTCTTTTTGGTTGTCTTTGAATCAGACATAACATATCCGAGACCCCTGCAGGGTACAGGGTCATGGACATGATGTCAGGGAGGAAGTGCTGTTCAGAAGAACGTGTTTGTTCATTGTAATTGGGATCTTCATTGTTGTGCGTGCGAATTGATTTCACGTTGTACACGGCACGTTTTCTATAGATGGGGGCTTCCCAACCCTTTTAGCTGTAGCCCCTGACTTCGTTGAGTGGATATTCAGCAGGCCCTTTACAACCCCCTTTCACAAAGAATCTCTGTGTGCCCTGACCTCACCAAGTCAATTTGAATCAATTCAGAACTTGCTGAAAGACTTTCTGAGAACTTTAGTATAATTCAATAGTTCTCAACTGGGAGGTGATTTTAGCCTCCAGTGGACATTTGGCAATGTCTGGAGACAGTTTTGGTTGTTACGATGGGTATGCAGGTGCTATGCGCATCTAGTGGGTAGAGGCCAGGAATGCTGCTTAATAGTCTACAATGCACAGCACAACCCCAACAACAAAGAATTGGCTTACCCCAAATCTGGAAATAGTGCCACCATTGAGACATTTGGAGCCTCATTCAAGAGTGAAAGTTGAAAGTCATAGTTGCAAGTCCCATAGCTATCTGAAAGCTCTTCTCTCTGGAGAGTTGAATTTCCCATAAAATGTAGGTGAGATTCCAGGGAGCCAACAAGGTCTGTCAAATCCAAGCAGGATTTTCAAGGATGAGCTGAAAATACGAGGTCTCAAACTTGTCTCACCACACCATGAATCTGCAAATCAACAAGCAGCATCACTCATTTTGGGGGGTGGGGGTGAGGGTTAAAAGAAGTGGCAGATATTGTAAATGTTTACAGATGTGCCCAGCTGATCAATAGACATTCTGCATGGTAACTTTGACAAGAGTAATAAACTTCAAAAGAACAGCATAAATGTGGATGGGCATTTCTAAGAAACAAGGGTTATATCCTCATCATGTTCATTATGTTAGTATTATGTGATAGCACTGATAGTTCATATATAGAGATTCCTTTTTAGGTTTATGCTTCGAACAGAGCTTCCCATATCAGTGATATAATTTGAATATATGAATATGCCAGCAGTATCTAGGAATTGGTCCAACTTGAGCGTCAGAGTTGAGTATATAGTTTCTCTTTGAGGAACTCTTCTAGAAGTAGGATTAATTCTAGTGAGCATTCTACCTGAGAATTTCTGATTAGGGACTAAGACAGCAGTACATAAAGTGTTCCATGGAATGTGAATAGGTATGAAGCAGGATTTCCCAACCTTGGCACTATTGTCATTTGGGGCCAGATAATTTTTTGTTGTAGGGACTGTTTGGGACATTGTAGATGCTTATCAGCATCCTTGGCCGCTACCTACTGGATGTCAATAGCATACCCCCTCGGTTGTGACAGTGAAAAATGTCTTCAGACATTGCCAAATGTTCCCTGGGAGGCAATATCACTCTTCCTTTTCTGCCAGGTAGTTCTGTGAATTTGTCACAACAGAATTTCTCTTTCCATATTCCTATGGGCATTAGATGGGTAGAATCGTCAGCATTTCCCAGACATATATGACACCAAGTCCCTATTTGTTAAGTCAGAGAAGTCTGAGGTTATAAAATCATTCCCTTCCTCCTCTCAGGGAAGTGAAATCCTCATGTTGTAGAGATCACCAGGTTTTCACAGTCAGACATTTCCACTTTATCTGGGTTTTTAAAAATCCCATCAGAGAAAACTATACTAGGGGATCACCTTTTCCAAATATGTGGCATTAACTTGACTTTCCTATACATGAACTTCTGGGGAAGCAATTTTCTACAGTTCTACCTCCTCGTACCTCCTCTTTTCCACTCTGCAAATCTTTGCTTCTCTAGCAGATGGCAAATGCTATATATTTCCCAACCCCAACCCCCATGCCACACAAACACACTCAAAATGGCAGGCACAACTCTGAGACCAGAGGGTCAGAAAACATTTTAGATGATATGTTTTGGTCCCAGAAGGAAAATCAATCTCAATTCTTTTCCTTTAAAAAGGTCATTAACAATGGCCATAAACACTAGTAGTGACTCCAAAGCTTTGAGACTGGAGATGAAATCTACTGATAGAGGAAAGGCAAAGAAAATAAACCCAAGACACTGTCATCAACCTCAGAAATTTTATGGTGGAACCTACATTCTAATGAAACATTGGATTTTCCCTGCAATGTTCAAACTTTATTTGATGGAAGACTACAGAAATGTTTATTAAAGAACAGACTTATGCACTGGTGCCCAATGTGGAGGAGATCTTGGTTTTCCATAAGGAAAGTGGATGCTGCCTTTCAGAATTAATTGGAAACTTAAATTACCAATTGGCTATGTGAAAAGCCCTTTAAAATTAGAAATTGAATTTTGACTTTTACCTAACTATAATCTTACCAGTAATTCTAGGCTATAAATTGAGCACATGCAAATGTTTTGCCTAGGAAAGAATCCCTAAAAAAATGAGAAATCTCGGCCAGGCGTGGTGACTCATGCCTGTAATTCCGGCACTTTGGGAAGCCCAAGGCGGGTGGTTGCTTGAGCCCAGGAGTTCGAGACCAGCCTTGACAACATGGTGAAATCCCATCTCTACCAAAAATACAAAAATTAGCCAGTCTCATAACCTGGTCTCTAAATAAATAAATAGATTAATATTTTAAATAAAATAAATTTTTTTAAAAAAACAGAAATTGCCCCTAAACAAAGACAGACCACCACCACCAAAAAGCTCACTGCTCTGAATGAATGACTTTCTCCACTTCAGTAGTTATCAACTGATGGACAATTAATTGTCTTACATTTCCTGATGTGACACATAAATGCGCCCATTTGCAGTTGGCCAAATGGATTTGACTAGAAGTGGAAAAAAATAACAAAGGCCCTCATTTATTAAACATCTGATAGAGCCATGGCCTTGACCAGGCCCTTTGCATACATTATTGCCAATCCTCTTATAATCCTTGCAGAATAGGTCTTATGATGTCCATTGTGCAGATAGGACTTCTCTGAGATTCAGAGAAGTTAAGAAAGGTTCCCAATAATTATGCAATCAGTAATTATTGAATCCAGACCTGATGGACTCCAAAGCCCCATGTCTTTCCACCGCCTGTCTTGGGGAGCTTTCAAAACTTCTAGAAACATGAATTTTGGTTTGTGACGCATAAAAGAAACAAGCCTGAGTAGAAACCAGTTCAGCCTTCTTTTGCTTTGTAAAAGTCCCTGGGACTGAGTCCTTGGGATCTGAATGTTTCCCAAGAGTTTTCAGCCAGATTCCTGATTTTGTTTATTTTACTTATCACAAGTCAGAGATAGCTGAATATTTGCATTTCTGAATAGGACCTTTTTTACATTTCACTTGGTTTTGAATGGCTTTCAAAGAAACTCAAAAATTGGACTGGGTCACCCAGCAACCTCAGGCCAGAGCTTTGAAATAGATCAGTTTCCCCGGACTTTCACAGCATCCTAAAATGATGAGAATTAGTACATTTGTAAGGAAAGGTCCTACTGAGTTAAGAAAATTTGGTCTTTCTGGACATGGCCTGATCCTAATATTTGGGTAAAAAGTACTCTACATAATAGGTAGACTTGGTGGGAACTGGCTGTAGAGAGTTTGCAGGAGAGTGACTATGATTTCATTCTATCAAATTCACTGTACAAAATCTTGGGCTCAGTGTTGGTTTTAGAGTCCTGAATATCCTATACTTTGAAAGCAAGCCTTTTTCTAAATGGAAGAAAACTTATAAAAAATTGTTCAGGATCACTGAGAAGCATTGTTTTAGATCAGAAGAGTGAATCTTCAGTTTTATGCTTTTAGATGTTTCCAGCCAGAAGAAAGAAAATACCTGGCCTGGATAAAACCCATTTTTACGTATTGCATTTCATTGTATTCTGTTTTTCCTCTCTCTATATATATATGTATATATATACATTTTTCCACCCATCTGACAAAAATGTCGCTCTAAGATGACATCTTCAGGGAGGGGAAACAACATTATATGACGCTAAGGGTATGTGGTGGGATCAGTGGCTAAGAATGCACTGTCAATGTTTCTTGCATTTGCAGGGCAGTGTAGTATTCTGAGTTCCTAGCTTCTGCTTGTTTTACATGATATTCTCAGATAATTTTCCCTTTGGATGTCCCCTGTGCATTTAGTTCTGTAGATATGAGTTGAATATTAAACCACAGGAATATGTGGCTAGTTTTGGACTGAATGGATATAAGAAACAAGAGACAACAATCGTTATTTATTTGGTTCTAATAATAAACTGAGCATTGTGCAGAATGTTTACTTAATCTTTATTCTTGTGAGATAAGTGGTTCTAGGTTCTATTAGATATTATTTATTCACTTGTTTCATGAATTCATTTGTACATTCCATAAATGTTTGAGTGTTTTTTATAAACCAGGTACCATTCTAGGCATTTCAGATATAGGAGTGAAAAAAAAACAAAAAAACCTTTGAACTCATTATGCTTACATTCTAGTGGGGGGGGGAGACAAGCTACAAATCACAAACAAAACAAAAAAGTCAAATATATATTATGAAAAAGGACGGCAATTGCCATAGATAAAAATAAATTAGGGAAGGGGGATAGGAGGTAGTATGGGAGAGTAGGTGGGAATTAGATTAAATTAAATTAGAACTTAATTAAATTAATTTAAAGGCAGTTTAGGGAAGTCTCCATTACGAAAGTGACATTTGAGCAAAGATAGGGGAAAATACAAAAGCAAGCCATGTGAGTATCTGGGAGAGTATTACAGGTTAAGGCCTGAAAGCAAGAATACACCAGGCATCTCTTAGTGATAGCAAAGAAACTAGTGTGGCTAGAAGAGAGGGTGTGAATGATAGGATAGAAAATTACAGATAAAACTGAGGGAGACGGACATGAAGGCAGACTGTTGGGCAAGGAGAGGAAGGAGGGTTAGCCTATTGGAAGAAGTTTTTGTTTTCACTTTGAGTGAGATAGGACGGGACTGGCAGTGAAAGGGTGGGTGGAGGCACTAAGTAGGAACATGAATTTGCTTTTAAAGGTTGACTCTGGCTTCTGAATTTAGCAGAGGGTACAGGAGGAACACAGATGGAAGTGGTAAGACCATTGTAGTAACTCAGATGAGAGAAAGCATTGCTCAGATGACAGTGGTCACAAGGGAAGTGGTAAGAAGTGGTAGGATTCAGAAGAATTTTTGAGATAGTGCCAAAGGATTAGCTGAGAGTTTGACTATGGGGTGCAAGAGTCAGAAAGGGGTCAAAATGACTCCCAAGTTTTATGGACTGGACAGGTGAAAGGATGGAGTTGCCACCAGTTAAAATGGGGAAGCCTACAGGAAGAACAGATTTGTGGAGGAAGATCAGGACTTCCATTTTGAACATGTTAAGTTTGAGATGTGTAGGCATCATCATTTCATATCTCTGTTAAACAGAATTGAATATAGATGCTTGCAGTGGTTAAGTATCTTGCAAAAAATAATAAAGAAAGATATCTCCAGTCAGACCAGGTCTGACTGTCCTAACACTGTGTTCACAGCTACTACACCCTTCTGCCTCGATCTTTCGATTTCCATCTGAATACATCTCAGAGTAGTGTAGTAATCATTTGAATTTGCAGAAAACCATCGAACATAATTTTAGCCTTTGAAAATGCCAAGTCTTCTGTGTTGTGAGCCATTTACATTTTCTCTGGTTATTTCTTCTCATCCCATCCTTTCATAGTGGTACTTTTGAGCCTTTTTTTTTTTTTTTTAACCAAAAGGAAGGCAGGAAAAGGAGACAAGAAAAGCCACAAAGGATTTGAATAATGCATATTGAGAGTGACTGTGTGCTGTCCAAACTCCCAATAGAGCAATGCTAAATTGGAGGATGAGCATCTAATTCGATAATGGTTAAAATGACCTTTATCCCTGCTGCTGAGATACATTTCTCTGGATACAGGCTCAGACACATGTGCACATCTTAGTTCTGGAGTTGGCATTAATATCCACCCACAAGTAAATTAATTACATAAGCTGCTCCCCAAAAAAATGTTATAAAATTTTCAGGATAGTCTAGCTGACATGCTGGCCTGTAAAGATGTTCCTTTCACATCGAGCTAACATAGGAAGAGCTAGACAGTCAGAGAAAGCAAGACTGGAGGAAGCAATGGAATGAACTGTGTCCCCGGTGTCTTTTAAATGACTTGTTGACACATAGATAGTTCTTTGGGATGAGGACAAGATCCAGGGGGCAGACATTGGTTAGGTACATGGATCGCTTCTCTACAGAAGCATTTCAGAGGGTGGCTGAAGCTTTCCAGCTCTGTCCCCTGACTGCTTTTGACAGTAGCATAAGTCATGTCAAGTGGGTCTGCCCCAGCACTGTCATCTCCTAGCAGACTGACATCTCCAGGTAGCCTTGAACTCTCCAGTCCAGGCCTTCAATCACAGTCCACCTTGAGAGTACCAAGAAACTTTGGTCACTGTTTCTACCAGTCATAGCTTTCCCACCAATTACTTAATCAGACACAACTTCACTCACCTCTGGAACAAATCTCTCACCCACTGCCCTCCCTGTCTTCCAGACGGCTTTCATAAATAATCCCATGGCAGGCACAGAGTGGGTCCTTGTATTATCTTCACCTCTTTCCTGAAAAATGTGAACATCATTATTCTGCTGATGTCAGGTTACAAATAATCATTTGCAGGGCAGTGTAGTAAACCTTAAAAAGGAAAAGAAGTCCTACAAAAACAGGCAATGTGTTTGGGAATGAGGAATCAACTGGGTAATGAAGCCCTGTTACCCCCATGAGGGGTAACACTGCCTGGTGATTATTGTCTTCAGTTCTCCAGGGTATCCCTGGATATAGCCACGATAGAATTCGCCAGGTGCTACATTTGCGGATTTCCTTGGTTTTTGTTCCTTTCTTGATGGGGAAACCAACTGTAAAATATTTCCACTCTTGCACAACAAAAAGAGCCCTAACTTGGGTTTCATAGCTTGCATAACTAATTTCATATACTGCTATATTTAATGTTGAAATTTATTTTCCCTTCTAATATGAAGTTGTTACATTGTGAGATCAAAGGTTGGGGAACTGGAGAGCCCTATCCCCCATATTCCTGGGGGCGATAGGGTGGGAGTAGAAGGTGTGAGCCCCTCGCTGTCTCCCTTTATTTGCCTGGCCCTGCCATCTCCCTTACAAAGCATATGCAGGGCCACCTACTTGGTTCTCATATTGACAGCAGCCTTCGACTGTGCTCCAAGAGTTGACATGTGAATCTTGGTTCCTTTTCTTAGACCTTTGTAGCATTGCAAAGGCTGGAGTGTTGGGGGGCAGTGGGGATGGGAGGATGGCCTAATGCCCCATCCGGCTGGGATGACCGTGACTCCCACATCCGCTTTCTTCCTTGGTGTTCCCTGCCAATCTCAGGCGCTCTCAGCTCCTTTTCATGGTAATAAGTGCCAGGGTGGTCCCAGACATAAACAGCCATCAGGCAGGCCTTGTCAACACTGGCTTTACGCCCTGAAGTCACAGCCCTTGTTTCCTGGTAAAGCTTTCTCTCCCTTCTTCCTCAATATTTTGGTTGTCGCTGCCACTGTTCAGAGCCATTCTCGTTTTGTGAGAAGCCTGTAAAACCTCCGCTAAGTGGGTTCATTGCCAATAAGGAGATACGTTTTTTGACAAAGGACTGTGACAACTCTCACAGCAGAGCAGGGCGTGGCAGGGAAGTGAGTGACTGTGGATTCCGTAATGGTTATCATTGACGCTGCTTCTGTGACTCAGGACATTTAAAGAAATGGCATAACAAAAGACAAGGGAGAAACGCAGGAGATCTTGAGAAAAAATAAGTGTAAGCAGGGAATGATGGAGGAGAAAAGGGATGTGGCATTCAGATATAGCATCTTTCTTCTCCTTACTCTGGTGAGAAGAGACAATATTGATAAGTAATAGTCTCTAAGAGAGAAAGGGGCACCATGGAAGGAATCTTCAACATGTATGACTGCTCTGTGGATTGATTTCTCTGGGACCTTTGGAGAGAAAAGCACTTTGCCCATTTACGGGGATGAGATCTTGCCAAAGTCCTACCTTTACCCATCCATGCCTCTGTTAGAATGTTAGACTCCATTAGTTAACAAATATTTTTTTTAAAACTCACCTTTTAAACTTGGTGTTAAGAGATATTCTAAGAGTCCACTGAAGAGAAATAATAGTAGTGATGATGCCAAAAAAAAATGTACCATTTTTATGCCGTCTGGCTGAAACATAAAGAGCTTTGCGTGCATTATCTCATTTAATTGTAGCACAATGACATTGGGTACAGATACTACTATTCTTCCATCTTACAGAGAACAAATCTGAGCTGAGAGAGGTGAAGTCACTTGCCCCTAGTGGCACCTTGGTAAAATGACAGGTAGGATTGCGGCCCAGGTCTGTCTGACTCTCAAACCTTTGCAACATTTTAGAGCAAAATGAAGACATGCACCCTCCCCACCACCCCAGCTGCCATTTCCTGTGTTGGCAGCACCCAAGCACAGCCACCCCTTGGAATTTGCTCTTCACTGGTTGCTTTGAAACAAGAGGTTGTTACACTCTTGCTTGGGAATGAGAAAGAATCAGAGTGCGTGGTTAGCTCTGGTTTTTGAACAGTACCAGAACCTAGCCCCAGGCCTCCATTGCAACTGAAACCAAATAGCGTTCTGTACTAGGGACAGAAGCTTCTTCAGCCTGCATTTTCTCCTTCCCTGCTGTGTGACCTTGAGCACAACGTGTCTCCTTTTCTCTAGTCTTGAATTTGTAAAATAAATAGATGGACAGGATAATCTTTGAGATGCCCTGCAGATTGAACATTTGAGAGATTTTTCCTTGGTGAATTGCCAGGGGGCCAAAATTTACAACCTGCAGCCTTTGCTTCTTGACCATGTAAAGAGCATTCACCCATCAATGGAAACAGTAATTTACTATGTGGCATCTGGCAGGCCTCAAAGAGTTAATAAACCCTGAAAAATGGCCAAGAGAAAAGTAGTGTCGCTTCAGCCAAGGGGAAATGTGGCCCTTTATTTATGGGATTGTATGTTTGCTTTTTGTAGTGTCTTTCTTCACAGGCACTAAAGGTGTTGTGAGAAAAGGTATTAAAGTCAGAACTATTAACATTGCATAGCTACTCTCTTCCTGGGAGACTGAGGAATCAGGCAACTCTAAAATAGTCTTAAGACACATTTCTTGAGGTCCTTGCTTTCTGTTGTTGCCATGGGTGTAAGTAGAGGTGAGCAACTGGTTGTCTTAACCAGGCCATTTTTCCAGTGTAGCTTAAGGATTAAAGTGGTTGGGGTGTGTGTGTGTGTGTGTGTGTGTGTGTGTGTGTGTGTGTGTGTGTTTCTTGCCCTGTCAACCAGGTTGGAGTGCAGTAGCACAGTCATAGCTCACTAACCCCAAACTCCTAGGCTAAATCAATGTTCCTACCTCAGTCACCCAAGCAGTTGGAACAATAGCCATGCACGATGCCCAGCTAATTTTTCTTTCTCTTTTTTGTTTTTTGTTTTTTGTTTTTTGTTTTCTGTAGAGATGGGGTCTTGTCATATTGCCCAGGCTGGTCTCAAACTCCTGAGTTCAAGTGATCCTCCCACCTCTGCCTCCCAAAATTCTGGGATTAAAGTCATGAACCAGAGTGACCAGCCCATGCTGTATTTAAAGCCTAACTCTCCTCCTTCCTGGTGCTGTGACCCTGGGCAAGTGACATCACCTCTTTGACCCTCAGTCTCCTTATCGATATAAAAAAAATCCTAATAGTGCCTGAGGCACCAGACTGCTGCTGGAATTAAATGAGAGAAGTCAATGTTCTTTAGCCCAGTATCCTGCACTTAATAAGAACACAATGAAAGGTAGCTAGTATGATTTTCAGGAGTTCTGCTCAAACTGAAAGAGAGTGCCCTTGGGGTGGCCTTTTTGAATCTAAATAACTTGTGCCAAATGAGTTCGGCGTTAGCACCGTGAGTCGGATTCCAGGTGGTTCTTTCTTTCCGACCTTTACAAAAACATGACATTTGCTTTATAGTACACCTCTGTGATGGCTATAGCTTTCATATGTTCGTTCATTTCCATAAATATTTGCTGACTGACTACAGTGTGGAAAGCAGCAAGTAAACATATGTGAGTTGCAGCTACTATCTTTTTTCCATGTGGTAAGCCCCACATGGTTTTCCAGGCCTTCCACTGAGCAACGTTTGAAACTTTGATCACTAAATCTATATCCTTGTGCTCATGGTCTTTCTTCAGTGGAACAATAGGTACAGGCTGGCATCTCCTTTGCTTCCCCCAACAGTGTGACGCCCAGGCAGTATTCACTTCATTTGTCACTATAATTGGCAAAGGCAGTCCTGAACCTTGGGCATACGCGTTGCATCCTTTCTGATGACATACTTTCCACATGAGCTGTGATTTTATGTTTTGTTAAAGTTAAAATGAGAGTGGAATCAAGAAGAGCTTGTTGTTGTATGAAAAGATACAACTGAACATTTTTTAAATGAAGTGATTTAAATGTTACTCTCATAGTCTGTAGACTCACAAAGGAAAGACCTTGAATAGTAATTCAGTCTCCTGTCTCAAAACACCTATCTGAGTGATGGTTAGCCATCTGTTGTCAAAAATCCTTAGATCAGAAGAGCCTTGACAACTTGGTAATAGGTTCTAGTATATGACATTTCTCTTGGCCTTTCAGTGCTTGTTATTTCTCACCTGCTGTCAGCCAGTCCTGTGGTTGGAAATATGGACTAGTTGGTCAGTACCCCCATTTCATATTTCATGTATACAGATTTTCTCATCGATAAAGAACAATTGGAGATGGGAATCACCTAGATACATAGAACTGTGCCCAGACACTGTGCTAGGGCTGTCCCCCTGGCCCATCCATTAGTCCTTGCATAGCGGGCATCTGCCATAACTCAGGCAGTCCTGGTCCTCATTCAGTCGCCTTCTAGTGGTTTTTCTAAGCCCTTGCTTTTTCTTTTCTCTTTTCTTTTTTTTTTTTTTTTTTTTTTTAGATGGAGTCTCGCTCGCACTGTCGCCAGGCTGGAGTGCAGTGGAGGATCTAGGCTCACTGCAACCTCTGCCTCCCAGTTTCAAGCGATTCTCCTTCCTCAGCCTCCTGAGTAGATAAAACTACAGGTGCATGCCACCATGCCCAGCTAATTTTTGTATTTTTAGTAGAGAAAGGGTTTCACCATGTTGGCTAGGATGGTCCTGATCTCTTGACCTTGTGATCCACCTGCCTCAGCCTCCCAAAGTGCTGGGATTACAGGCGTGAGCCACTGCACCCGGCTGCCCCTGCTTTTTCTAAGCCCCAGCATCTTCCACCCCCACCCAGAAGCCTCCTTCTGGCCAGATCCTGTGTACATCTCTGACCTCTACCTTCCCCTTCTTATTCCTTCTTGGTTCCTTATGGTATCTTTAGCAGCTCTGTGTAGAAATCCATCTTCTTTTGGATGTCCAGGTTCTTGGCAGCCTTGGCAACCCCAGGGATCCCATTCTCTTTAGTTATCCAGCCCTTCTCATTCAGGTGGACGCACCAGGGCTGTTTTCTGGCTTCTCAATAACTAAGAAACCATGTTCCTCGGTATAGGTGAAAGGACCAATGTGGGGCACCCCTAAAACCAGAGACAGCACACCAAACCCAAATTCGTCTGCACCATATCCAGTGCTACTGCTTGAGAGAGAGCCCTCGATAGAGGTTAAGAACAGACGGCCCATGTCTTAAGTTTCCTTTCCACCAGATAAATTGAAATGCAAGGATTTCAAGCACTTAGACCTTAATTAGTGAAAAGTTTTATCACAACATCTGAACAAAATGCCACATTTCAACATCCCCTTCAAACCACCTCACAGAAACAAAAGCCTGAATACCCAAGCACTTGGGATGCTGACCTTGGTACTGCTAAGTAACAAGCGGAGATTACATTGTCTGGGAGTCTTGCTCAAAGTTGCGAGGAAAATCATTCTGTTACACAAAGTTGGGTTCTTTCCCAAGAAAAAAAAGTGAGAGTCCTATTGGCAAAGTAGGAGGCTTTTTGGCTGTGAATTTGAGGAACTAAATATTCCCTAGAGCAAGAACTTGTCAGATGTGTAACCAATAAACAGCATGTACTAGGTGACGCACTAAATTTGACCATTATGTCTCAGTGACACATGGTGATGTAAAAGTCAGTGCCTGAGAAAGGACTGGAAATGATCAGATGGAAATGTCCCTCAGAATGTAAGAGCTGAAACTTGTGTTTATTTGATGATCAAAATGACAGCCCCTCTATCAAAGCATAGTAGACCCATTAATAAACCTGTTAGATTTGAACATTTCCATGAGCAGCTGCTTTTCTTCATTGGTAAGTTAGAAAGCATTAAAAGAAGAGTGTTTGCTATCAGATTAGATACCTTGAGAATTTCCTAATTGCCTTTAGATCTTAACAATATTAGGCAAATAATATGTGTGGCAAGTGCTTCATTATTTTTTCCAAGTCAATTTCAGTCAAGTCCCCAAATTTAAAAACAAAAACAAAACACTGGAATGGGTAGGTTGCAGCTAGTCCAGACAGTAAAAAGATAAGGCATTGTATGTAGAAACTACTTCATTCATCTTCATTCCATGAGCAATAGATGTCAGTTATACCTCAGATAAATTTTTATCAGTAAGTTTGGTGATAATTTAACTATTTTTCATTGTGCTGTTATTGTTTCCAACAGAAATGTATTGATTTGTGTTGAAGTCATGTGGGAAGCACTATATAAAGCATTGCAGTTATGCCATTCTGAAAACACCAATGGTCTCCACTAATAGTACCTACCTCTATTACTGAGTTTCACTGGATTTTTGGGATGATTAAATTAGATGATGCATATAAAGTCTTAGGGTAATGCCTCGCTCCTAAATGTGAGAGAGTTGTACCTTTTCCAATTATTCTTCTACAGATTGTTGCCAACTTTTAGGCTGTACCTTCTGATGACCACAGTAGATTGCTAAATTAATATTTCTAACAACTCTCTTTTCCCTTATATATTAAGAGACAGCTTGTTTGGACTATTTGTATATTGAAATGAGTATCCCTACAGATAGACTTGTGTTAAGGTCACCCCTGTTCGTTTCTTTACCCTAGTCAAGCAAATTTTATCACCCATAATTCTATATCCTTAGAAATAAATGTATCTTTGATTCCCAATGCTGTATCTCCCAGTTTTCCCCCATCTCAGTAAGTGTTATCACTGTCTACCCAGTGGCCCAAACCAGAAACCTGAAAGTTATCCCTGATACTGCCCTTTCCTCTCCACCCTAGAGTAGATCCATCATTTCTACTTCAAAAAAAAAAAAAATACATCTTAAATCCACCAACTTCCCCTATCCAAGCATTCCTGAGTCAGTTTCTCATTTCCACTCACACTGTATTCCCATTTGGGCTCTACTCAACAAAGTAAATGTTTTGAAACAAAAATCAGACCATGTCTTACTCTGACTTGAAACTCTTCAGTGATCTTTCATCTTGTGCAGAATAAAATCCAAACTCATAATTGCAGTTCATAGCTTTGCTGCCTGACCCCAGGAAGCCCCTCAGTGAGCCCTCTTCCAACCACTCCAGCCTGTTTGTTTCCTAGTACTTATCTCAATGAATAACCATATATTTATTTTTGTCATCACTTAAGTGATGTCAGTTTCCCTCACTGGTCTGTAAGCTCCATGAAGGTAGAGACTTGTCAGTTTTGTTTATCCCTGTATTTCTAGTACTTTGCATAATTTCTGGAACATAGTAGGTGCTCTATAAATGTTTGTCGCATAAATAAATGAATTCACTCCGAATTCAATTGAACCCTTATATTATTTTCTTTTTGGAGAAACATCTTAAAATATTAAAATTGGTCACTATTAATAGGGATTATCTGTGTGCAAGTCATCAGTCCACTTTTAGAGTTTGTGGAGATACTTCTAGGAACTTCATTCTAAAAGCCTTTTAGAATTATATCGCAAAGTCTTTATATAGATCAAACACTATAGGCTGAATGATGAATATTTTTGTTTTGGTATAGATATTTCAAGTTGGGTGCCTTCCTTCCATCCTGTATACTCTATTAAGATTTTTCAGAATGACTACTCCAAATCATAATATTCATAAAATTAGAGCCCAAATGAAAACAGCAATATTTTTACCTCCTAAAGTTAAAAAAATTAAAGCCAAATGTATTAATATGCATACTTTACATTTCTCTATGAGCAACTATTGAAAATTTTATAGTGGTTTGTGTTTACTAGAAAAACATGTCTGGTACATTTATGAATGGATAACTGTGAGCATGCTTGGTAATAGTGGCTGAATTAATGTGAGGCTACATGTTTCACATGGTGCTATTTATTAGGCATAAAAGGGCATGTTGGTAATTTAACAAAATCACAAAGTTAGTGGGGGAAATAAGAAATACTGAATGGAAGGAAGTGACACTTAAAATCTGTTTTCATTGCATTTTCACATTTTGTTCTTCATTCTTAAACTCATTTCCCTCTAAAAAGCAAGACCATTATATTGGGAAATAATGTGTCTTGAAAACCTGAGCTAGCAGCTTATGATCCGAGTGGTAATGACTTCTGTAATCACTAATGAGGCAATGGACATTGCATATCTCAGCACACTCACTGGGGCCGGCCTCTTGCCTGTTTTACAAAAAGCTGTCATATCAAATTTTTGTCCCGAGTCCATGGGCACTTTGATTCCTAAACCTTTCTGAGAAACCTAATCTGAAATCAAAGTCAAGTTTCTCAGATGTGGTCAGACAAGGTCACATTTAACACAGTCCAGTGAATCTGCAGATCAAAGTTGAAAGGTAATGCCTCCCTCCCAAAATTGGCACAGACTTACCTGCTAGCTTACCTTTCAGTTTCTAACATGCCTTTTTCACCTCTTCCCAATGGACTGGGAAAATGAGAGCTTATCTTCTGGAAAACGGTTGAAGAGTTTTATTCTTAAATCATTTAATGAAGAAATTGAACATAGTTGTATTTTGGAAATGCACCTTTATCCCAATCAGTGAATCACAAGGCATTTTGTTGAAGAAATATCTCACTATTTCATAGTAGGACTTCTTAAAATCAGAATTTCATGGTAATTTCAGGTTCATGAGCTTTATTTTTGGCTCCAATGATCAGGATTTACCCACACTCTTGAGTGAGCCAAAATGCCACACAGGATTGCTGCTGTAATGCTATGGACATTTTTTTTCAATGCCACCTTCCTTCCCTATTGAGCCTTGAGATATTATCCAAACTGGCGCTGTAAAAGAGGGGAATAGTAACTCTTGTTAGGCATTGTCTTAACATCTCACAACGCAGGTTTTTTCTCAAACTCCATGTGATTAAAAAACAACAACAACCTTGCCATTGCTTTATATTGCAGTGTTCTGTCTCTTGTGGTCGAGGGCATAAACAACGAAATGTTTACTGCATGGCAAAAGATGGAAGCCATTTAGAAAGTGATTACTGTAAACACCTGGCTAAGCCACATGGGCACAGAAAGTGCCGAGGAGGAAGATGCCCCAAATGGAAAGCTGGCGCTTGGAGTCAGGTGAGCAATGCTTCTCCTATACTGACTGCTTCCTTACTTTTGGCCACGTGGCTGACACCAGTGTGTTCACTTGTGTTTCTATGCACGGTTTTGGTTTTACTGAGGGGAGCTCGGGGACTGGGAGGGGAGAATCATTACCTAGATAGTCAGGATACTTACTAGCTGTGTGACATTGGGCTTCAGCCTCTGGAGCTTTGGATGATACCTATAATTAGGGGTGGCTGTGAGGGTGAATTCTAAGTGGAAATAGGAGTCAGATGGAGCACAGAGCAGTCCTTTAATACTTCACTGATGGCATTGCATTATCACCACATAGAAAACTACTAATTCAGACTGCACTGAAGCTGACTATGGTCACCTGGCAGAAATTGAGTCTTGGTTTACCTTGGTGGTTCTTGAAGAAAGGGCTATCAACAGAAAGTATTAGAAAATACCTCTGCCCGTTTGCTTATTTACAAAAGGTGAAGGACAGGAGGGAGAGTTCTCTGTTATTTTCCAGCTATATGACCTTGGGTAATTTAGTTTTCCTGAGCCTACTGCACCTGGCTCTTATGACGACTTAATGCAATCATGAATGCCCCGTGCTTTGCAGGGGTCTTGAATCTAGTAGGCTCTCAAGAGTAATATTTTATTTGGGCAAGTGTGATGTGTGTATGGGATGGAGAAGGGGGTGAGTGCCCAAGACACTGATTACAGTTAGACTCCACTAATTCTAAACATTTCATAAGCTAGTCAGGAACTGGGTGTGAGTTTCCCTGTTGAACTTGAAACAGGAACTTTAGAAGCTTCTGTTTAATCTATAAACACTGGATATGTGAACTAAAGCCATTCATATCAAATCTTTAGAATAGATCTGGTAACTCTACACTTGCACATTTTCTTAGTTTGGTTGAAGGTGCTAACTTAAAAGTAATAAGGCTCAATTTCTTTTAAAATATTCTGTATGTAATGCTGCTCCTTCTCTCCACTAATCTGAATCAATGAGGTTTTACTGTATTTCTGGTGCTTCCATGCAGTGGAGAATCATTCAGATGACTCCAGATAATCGATGGGAATCTAGGTTCAAGGTTGGCGGGCTCTAGAATGGATTCTTCCAGAGCCTAGAATCTTGATTCTTAAGGCCCCAAAATAGCTTTGGTCATAGCTACATTAACATGGGGAGGATTTGAGAATCCTTCATTTCAATATGACTAATGGAAAATTCCTTCAGAAACCTGAATGTATTTTCAGTGCCCTGATCTGGCATCACTGCCCTCCATATCTTCCATCATCAATCCCCAGGACAGTGGCCTCATCCCTCTCAAGGCCTTGATCATAATGAAACACGGGGGTTTTGTTTGTTTTAATTTAACAATAAGAAAATAAATCTGTACCCAGCCAGAGCTAGTTCCTCCTTTGCCTTCCTTCAGGGAGCATATTCAAGGCAGTATTTCATACCAATCATCCTTCTTAATGTTTTTCTAAGTGATCCTTGTCATCTGTTAACTTCCATCCCTTTTATTTTTTGGAGCTATTTGATTCACGTAAAAGCTCGCAGCTAGCATTACTTAAGATACCATGCTAATTAGCGTGTCCTCTTGTGGACTTTCATGATCTGTTACTTTTGTATGTTCCTTGGCCTCTACTTATCTATTTGTATTTACCTCTGAATATTAAGTTCAGAGCACATAAGTGATGCTCATGTTAAAAGCCAATATTCACAAAGGATAATTAAAAGAATATTTTGGTCTTTATTGGTAAACACAGAGTGAGTTTTAATCCAGCATCGTGTGATCTTGATGGGAAGCCTAAAATTGCTTACAAAGCTGAAATGATTAGGTTTAAACCCTGGGGGTTTTTGCCAACATAAGGTAATAGGATTATCAGAATGCCTCCCCAGAAAAAACTGCACCTGTTCAAAATGATTGCTTGGAAAAATCAAGTCACCTTTGTAGAAAATGCAAGTAAACACAGTTATATAATGGTCTGTGGCCAGCCTTATAATGTCCTGATTTGATTTGTAGAAATGAATTATAAAAGCAGGCAAGACAAAGTACTGCATGGGTAAAATTCAATTTGGGTAATTTAGAAGTGTACCTGAAAATAATCAGATCCAGTGGTTAATGGAGAAAGACGGTCTGCATGATTAAGGATTATTGGCTTCCTAATGATCCAGTGGTAAACAAGAATATCCCTAAGGCTGTGATATTAAGCAAGAGTAATGATTGTCCACTTGCAGCAATATTTAGAAGATTTTATATCTGGCCTTTCTGTTTTCTGCCAGTAGTTACAGCCTAGTCATCCTGTCTTCAAGGTAGGAAAAATAACTGGTTTAATTTCTCATCACATCCAAAGGTCTGATGATAATATGATACATAGAATATTGGGATAGAAACTATGATAGCCATGGTAATCTTTACAGTCTCTCCCCCAGTATTGATGTTTTGAGATTTAAAGTGGATATTTCATTTCTGTGTCTTCTGAAATCTTGAATTTGTAAAGAAAATCAGCTTTTCTTGAAGGGGGCGGAATTATCCTTACTAGGGCCTCAAAGGGTTTTTCTCTCTCCGAAAAGGTTACATTTAATTTGTTTGGATATTTTTAATCAAGAGCTAAGGAATGCCTATGAATTTTTAAGACAAAAATTAGCATCAAGTTCTTGATTCAGACTGACAAATGTGAAGACTCTATATTCCCATAATGCAAAAGCGTTTCAGAACAGTAAAACTTTTTTAACGTATACTATCTCTATAGAGTTTTTAAAATAAAGATCAAAAATAAAAAGAATAAATTATCAGATTATAATGAAAGTAACACACCAACACATTCATCACTCATGAGTTCATTCAATCAAGTCATTCATCAGTCCTGAGACGCAGGTCTTTTTCACAGTTCAACATGTTTGTGGTCAGGATGGGCTTCACAAACTATGGAGTGTCATGATTTCCTTAACAGCCCTTGTTGTCTTTCTTAGTGCTACAAAATATAATGATATGTCTTGCAATCAGTGTTATCTTACATTCAATGAAGTAAGCATTAAGTTTTAAAAGATCTTCAGTGCTAATGCTGAAATAGAAACTGGCGAATTACATTAGGAATATACCATCCATTCTTGATTAAGACTTTTCTTATAATTACAGTTAGAGCAGCTGGGTTGTGGTATCATTCTGAAGTGTCCTTCAAGTGTTTAATAGAGAAATGTGGCAAATGTGTGGCTTGTGTTATTTGAGAAATTAAGGAAGCCATATGCATGTGGTCAGTGAGGAGAACCAGAGTTGCTTTAGTATTTTGTGCTTTCCATTTACTATGTTTTTATTTGAAGCATGAGCATTGATATTGAATTGTCTGAAGACAGGCCTCTCACCCACACCCTCACTGACCTAGTATAAAAGACTGCATCATATTAGCACCAATTTAAAAACTGGGAACACAAATGCACATTCACAGTAGCTATGCTACCTTGTCTAAGACAAATTTTACTTTGTGTTTTTGGTTTTGTTTTCGCTTGAGTTATGGTGATTATCTCTGTTTTTTGTTTTATTTGTTTATGGAGTATCTGCCTAAAAGGTTTATTGGGAAGTATCAGAGGTATTTTATGTAAAATGCTTAGCCTAGAGCTAAGCTTTGAACTGGGGGTGTATTGTACCCCACGGGACATTGGGAACTGTCTGGAGACAGTTTTGTTTGTCACAACTTTGGGGGGAATGAGGAGGAATGCAGCTAGCATCTGGTGGGTACAAACCAGGGATGCTGCTAAACTTTCTACAATGCACAGGACAACCCCCACACAAAAAAAGAATTATTTAATTGAGAAACCTCAGTATACTAGCATATACTGTATGCTAGTATAGAAAGCCTAGCATATAGTAAATGCTTAGTAAAAGTTTGTATTATTGTTATTATTATTGCTTATAAAAGTTGGTTTATATAGTTATTTTTCAAACTAATCGCTGCTTTAATGTCATCACCATAATTTCAGCAGTAATCCTGGAAGAAAGTACTTTAAAACTCTTTCTAGGTTTTCAAGTATGTATTATGATTCCCTAAACATCAACAGTTCCATGGAGATTCTTTCTCTCTATGGAAATAAGCATCAAGTTCCCCTTTTAAGTTGGTGAGTTCTGCATACTAGCATTGCACAGTGGGGAGTAGAGGGAGATGAAACATAGCTCCCAGCTCAGTAGTTCAGAACGAAAAACATCTACTTTCAAACCTGCATGAATAGACTGTGGTGGTGGGATGATGGCTGTGGAGGGAGCACATTAATAGAGGCCCTTCAGAGTTCATTTTCATCTGCAAACAAACTAAAAGGTGTACTGAACAGAACAAGAAAACTTGGATTTACACACACACACACATACCACCACCATCACTGCCTCCAGGGTCACACAGAGGTCTTTCTGATGCTGTTTTATTCATGGGGGTGCCTGCACAAATCTCTCAGAATTCCAAGCAAGCCTGGCTGGCTCTGTATGCAAACTGTTGCCTCCCTTGAGACAGCACAGGAAGAAAAGTGGAACACAGAAAACTAACTCCGATGGAGTGCACCTCATTTTGAGCAAAGATTACTGTGAATGCGTTATTCAGAAAGGCAGGCTTGTACCTTGCTGTGAGCACTTAAGTCATGTAGAAACTTTTGAATGTGGTATTTCAAAGCTGGCTTTGCCATCATGAAAATCAGAAGCCAGAATGACATATTGTATAATTGAACCTTCCTGTGTCTTAATTTGTCTTTTGAAAAATTATCAAACACTGTAGGAAGTGATTTTTTAAATGTTGGATACTTACGGCTCTTAGTACCGTGCCTTCATTGAACCATATGTAATTTTTTCAATTACAATAGCATCAAAAAGAGGTTTCATTTATCTAGTAGCCTGAATAGTCTTATACATTCTAAAAGTCTTTAAATATGTTTTCATTTTTCTTTAGGTTGTTAAAACATTATGGGATTCTGCATATATTTAAGCCCTATGCCAAACTCAAATTTGTTTACAATATTCTTTCAGTATTTCTATTTGGATATATTGTTCCAGAAATGTGCTCTTTTATATTTAAGACCTCAAATTGAAATAGTCAAAAAAGACTTTTTGGTTGTTGTTTATTGATGATGATAATGTTTGAACATTTCTGTCATTTATGGGGTAACTCTACCATGTTACAGTACATTCTTTTCCAATGTAATCAATAGGAAATATTATTCATGTAGCTCTAATAAGCATTAAATGGCCATTCTCTATAGATAGGGTTATCACTTGTGTTCAGGAACCCTCCCATTACACCCAGGACATAATGACTTTAAAAGTCTGGTTTCTTGTGGGTCACATACTCATTCAATCCAATTAATACAATTGAACCCAAACAATAGTAGCTACGTTGATCCAAAATATTTTCTTCTGTTCAGCTAGCTTTGATGTGAACATATGGTTCTCCTCTCTGGCATAGATTTATCTGAAACAATATGCTTTCCCAAGTTACCTTCTAAATATAATTACCTGTTTTCTTAAAATCTGAAATGGAGAGAAAATTAACATTCAGCAGAATCCATTTGGGTGTGATTCTTGATAGAAAATTTCCATTAATAGCCTCGGAGAAAGTTGAATGATGCTACAGGTTAATTGGAAAATAATTTTTTCAAGTTTGAAAGAGCATGATTCTATTCTTTAAGAAGACTTCCTCCTAGAAATATGGCTTTAATGTATGTTAAGCTTGTTTTCTCAACACTAGACCAATAAATGGGGACGGAGCTATCGCAAAATTTGGAACTAATTTTTAATAGCTAAGTGTAATAATATGCCATTCTTTCCAAATGTTGCCTTTAGTTTCTGGCTGTCAAAACCTTAATCAAGACAATAATTCTTGGCCTGGCCATAAGTGAGATTATGAAACCCAGCAATGAGGAAACTATTAAAAAATTAATTTAGAGGAAAGTTAATTGCAGATTTAATATGGTGTTTTGCAACTTGGTCAACAAAATGTTTCAACATGATTAACAATATTTTTCAAGGGCTGAAAACATTAAGCCCGAGGAAATGGTTTTTCCTGTCAGCTTTTATTCTTCATATATTCATCTGGGGTTGTAAATAGACACAAATTCTTTAGTGAATTCTGTGGTTAAAAAAATATTCCCTTATCTCCATGAATAGGAGCAAGAAAAGGAAGAGACTGGAGAAAATAATTCTACTTATAAGGTCCTAAAATCTTCAGTGGTTTACTCTCCTTGGGTTGTATTTTTAATCTGCCAAGAAATTCTTCTTGTACAACACTGTCTCTCCAGTTTTCATGAATCTCAAATCCTCCAGGATAGAAATCATTTCAAGTTTTCATTTCTCATGGCAGCACTATTTCTAGGTTGTGCTAAATGCTTCATAATGATTTCTATCAACCTCTTCAATCCTTCAAGAATTTCATTAATTTGAGGGATTCCTCCAAACTTGAGCACCTTCCTCACTCTCCAGCATGGATAAGATAAGCAGTCAGTTTCCCAGTTTAAGACATGATCTGGGATTCCTTTCATTGCAAATTAGAAAGCGATGTGATAGCTATGAAAGTCATTGGATTAGGAGTGCATTCCCCTCCTCTGTGACCCTCGACACCCCCCGCCCCCCCAAAAATAAATGAGCCGAAGCTCCCACTTACGTCCTCTGTCTTCTTAGTGCTCTGTGTCCTGTGGCCGAGGCGTACAGCAGAGGCATGTGGGCTGTCAGATCGGAACACATAAAATAGCCAGAGAGACCGAGTGCAACCCGTACACCAGACCGGAGTCGGAACGCGACTGCCAAGGCCCACGGTGTCCCCTCTACACTTGGAGGGCAGAGGAATGGCAAGAAGTAAGTAGAGCCACGAAGGGGTACCTGCCAGGCATTTCACATGTGTGCCCCTTGCTATCATCACATCTGTTCCCTATAAAGCCAGAGAAGTCATCGAGCACGGTTACAATGCTGGCTCTTTCCCAAAAGGTTCAATGTTAGACTCGCGCGTTCGCTCCAACAAGGGTGGGAGAACTTCTTGTTTTTAAGCAATTCCTATGTCTGTCTGCGTTCCTGAGTGTTCCAAGTCTGGCAGCCTCAAAAAAAAAAAAAAAAAAAAAAAAGTAACAGGCCATGGGCCAAATGCATTCAGATATCTTTCACAGAAGGAGGGGGAGATAGAAGGAATATTTTAAATATGTCATTTTTGTCCAGATTTGGTCATTCTGTATTTGTTTAAATAGCCACAGGGCAGACTTTAGGTAGAACCTACTCTGTATTTTTCCTCTATGACTTCGGCTGTCGGGTAGAAGATGGGCATTCATGTGAAACCTTGATTAATTAGTGAAAGATTTCTAACATTAAAAAAAAAAAAAAAGGAATAGTATCTGAAGAAACTGCTCCGTTGATGGTCCATGCAGAAGTGGACAGGACTTGCTTTTTCCCTGGCTTCAAGTTAATGTTTGGTTAAAGAAAACATTGTGTCCATGGGGAAAAGTTCAGCCAGGGAAGTTTTGTAGGAGGTAACCTCTGTTTCCAGAACAGAAGATTAAATTGTAGAAAAGGTGGGGAAGAATTAGAAAGCAAAACCACATCCACTGATGTTTACATAAAAAACAAAATGCATGCTGTTTGAGGTGCAGAGATAATGAAAGATAAGACAGGAAATCCCCCACCACGAAGAGCTTTTCAGAACACAAAGAAAGGGTATGGTTTGGAGAACAGTTAGACTGTACCCCGGCACTGTGCTGGGTACTTTTTGTTCATTGCTTCACTTAATCTTTTTAACCACCAGACAAGGTGAGTATTATTATTATCATCATCCCATTTTGCAGGTGAAAAAACTGAGGTTCAGAAAGTCTATGTCATTTGCCCAAGTGTCATATACCTAGCACCTAGCAAGTAGAAGAAGCAAGACTTGATGCTAAGTTTGTTCTGTTAAACCAGTATGAAATACTAGAACTGCATTCTTTAGCCCATTGAGATTCAGCCACCCATCCCTGTCTTCCCCTTCCCTCGCTTCCTCATGGATTACTTCCATTATTTGCAGTAATTTCTTTTCTTTGGGAAACTCACCCTCTCCATCTACTCAGTCTTTTTGCTGTTTTCCTTCTTTACTTTTATATTCCCACCAGACAGTGGCAGGGAGGAATTCCTAAAGCAGTTACATTTCAGATTTACATCTCTTGAACCACATGAGTTATTTGGAACCCTAGAGATCATAAAATTCTACAGACTTGGTTCATATCCCAGCACTGCCACACATTAGCCAAGGGACTTGGAGCAAGGATTTTTGATTTCTCTGAGCCTTAGATTATCCATCTGTAGAATGGGGATAAAATAACTTTGCAGAGTTGTTCTGAGAAAACTGGAGATAATAGTGTTATCTATTACCAATTACGGTTTGGGGATTGGCAATGTCAGATACAGAAGGAAGAGGAGACTCCCTCATCTGTCTCTCTCTCCCCCTCAGTATGACCTCTTGATTCTCTTTGTTTCAGACCTACCATGGCCTACTCTCTCCATCTCCCTCTTTGTGTCATGCTAAACCCGACCCTGCTCCAAGGAGCAGAAAGTAAGAGAGTGTTCAGAAATGAGTCTAAGCTGACTGTTCGTGCTTTAGCCAGTTTTTGAAAATGCTAGAGACAATCATGAAAATGCAGACTCTGTTTACAATTCCTTTTGCATCCCAAAGAATAGAAAAACCTTGCCACATGTGCACTGAAGAAATTCTTCTCTGATCATGCAAAATATGCCTAAAATTTACTTCTTTGCATGTGTCGTGCAGATGGGTTTTTTTAAAACCTTACTCAAATATTGCTGTTAAACTCTGTGGAAGAATACAAGGCTTCAGGAGACAGCCTGGCCTGGGCCTCTATATCAGATATAGAGATATAGAGATACTCTATATCATAGGAGTATCTCCTATGATATTCCTATGGTGTCCTATAGGAGGCCTGTCATTGGCAAAGTGATGCCCAGGGCAGATGGAGGTGGGGAGAAACCTCACCAAAAGTTTTCATGTTTCCCATATATGCAAGGCCTGCTGACAGCCTGCTCAGAAGGTCTCTGCAGCAGCAAGAATGAGAGTGAAGGATGACAGTAACTGGGCAATTACCTTAATTGATCAAATCAGGAAAAGGGTGGCCACGCCTCCTGTTTGCCTGGGGTAGTCCTCGTGTAATTATTAATTGTTCCTACTTTTATGATCAAAAGCGCGCTTGTTCAACAGTAAGTTGGGTGGTCACTTGGTAAGACAGCACCCTTCAGGCTCCCCTAAATCACAGCCCTCACCTCCTTTCCTGCTCCCACCTCGTCTCACATCCATTCATTCAGCTACCATTTTACCTGATATCCACTGATGCAGGCACAGGTTTCCACTTTTCTCCCACACCTAGTGTCGTCTTGACCTGAGGTCAGAGAGTGTGCCACAGGGGCAGCCTCTCAGCCCACTGAATGGGATGTGTAGGAGCCCCCCATTACAGGATACCCCTTCTTTCTTAGCAGTCCTTGGTCACCACCTCAGAACTCTTGTTTGCTTGAGTGTGCACTTTGCCTTTTGCTTCCCCTTTTAATAGTCCCCTATGTGAACTACTAAAACCCACCAGTTTGTTGGCAAGGTGTATTTCCTGCTAGGTCTGTGGGATATGGCACCATCTTCTTTTTGAGAAATAATCCAGGCATCTGCCTAGAGAAGCACAGTTTCTGCACCCTCACCATGGCATGGTCATCAGGGATGTTCTGTACAACCACACAGGTTGTACACTGCACAACTTTGAGGGGTGCCTTTTTTATCAGCTACAATGTGAGGAGCATCCCCTAGACTTGTATAGTACAATGGCCCTAATACTGATGATAATAAAAATAATAAAGCTTGTTGTTTACTAAGCTACAAACCAGGCACTATGTTGAGTATTTTCACATGAAGTACTTCTTTTAAGCCCTTTCCATAACTCTCTGATGTAGAATTTATATTTTTATCCTCATTTAATAGGGGCAACTTGGGGCTTAGGTAGTATGGCTGGAATTGGAAGCCTAGAAGCTTGTCCTCTGACACCTACACGCTGAATCATTATCTTCACTAATCCCATGCCAACATACACCTAAAGTGAATTATTTTATTTTCCTCTCAATGACTTGCCACACTTCTTACTGGAGAGTTGCTATCCAAGTGTGTTCCCTTTACTGGGTTATAATACCTACCCCTTCTAAAAAGGAGATTCTTGATCTAGTTGGCTATCAGACTTTAAGCCATGTCACCGGGTGAGTCTTGATGATGTTGGAGCCCCTCAGTGGACTTGTCCTGTTCATTGTGAGGCCCATTGGTTGTTCAGGGGCAAGGGGCATCAGGATGCCTTCTTGATACCATGAGAGTAGAGCCCAGACTTTCAGATATAGGGCAAAATAATTGGACAAGAGAAAAATGCTGTATCCACACATCCACATCTCATTTTGTTTACACCCTAGAAACAACATGTTGTAAGCAAAATTCTATTCAATGTGTGGCTCTGAAAATTTGGCTCTGAAAAGTTGACTCTGAATTTCTAGACTTCACTTAGCTTATCTGCAAAATGGGAATTATATGGCAGACTTAGCTCAAGGGTCACAGTGAGGATTTGGTGAGATGACATGATTCGACATGGTGACTAGCACATTTTAAGTCTTCCCAAAGTAGACCTCTTTTTAGTACAGTGGCCTTCCGATGGAGGTTTCTGGTGATGACAGCAGTTTGGCTCAGCCTACACCTTATGATGTTGGGCTTCTAAATATCACCTGCCAGCTTCAGGTGAATAATTTGTCCTCACAGTGGTCAGTTTTAGCCACTTTAGAATTATAATGCTCATGAGGCTGTTTGGGAGAAAAAAGTTTAAAAAGACTTTTTAATTCTTTTGAGAATTATTATCACAAAGGATTAACTTGTTAGTAATATTACACTCTGACATATAAATTCACTTAGAGCAGCAGAGGTCCTTCTGATCAAATTTGAATTGTGATTGTATAGGGCTATACATCTGCAGCATTGAGGAATAGATCTCACAGGTCCTGCACATGTTCTTTTTCCCTTTTATCTGGAATACTCTCTTCCCTTGTGGTACCTCTTCATCATAAGACCACCTTGCTCTGACCTTCACCTCAGTCACCCTTTCTCATCCTTCAGGCCTCAACCTAGGTGTCACTTCCTCTCAGAAGCTTTGCCAATCACACCACCCCACTAAATCTGAGTCAGATACTCCTCCACTCAGCTCTCACAGCATCCTCAAATTACTGTATTCTGGCAGTTAGCACCCAGAAGTTTCATTGCCTGTTTTCCTCATCTATGTTATCAGTTAGTTAAGGTCAGGAAGCTTGTTCACCAGAATCTTCTCTATCATTTAATATGGTACCTACAGCATCAAAGACACCTGTTGAATGAATGAATCTGCGAATGAATGGAGGAACAAAATAATGGATGGCTGGAAGGAAAGAAGAAAGGAAGGGAGGGAGAAAGGAAGGAGGGAAAGATGGAAGCAAAGAAGGAATGAGGAAGGGAGGGAGGGAGGGAGGAGGGAAAGAAGGAAGGAAGGGAGGGAGGGAGGGAGGGAGGAAGGGATAATAACATAGAACAGTGCCTGCTAATTGATGGACTTTCATCTTTCACTCTATAGAATAAAGGCATTTTAAAATGACTTTTAGAACATGAAGCAGGCTGGACACAGTGGCTCATGCCTGTAATCCCAGCACTTTGGGAGGCCAAGGAGGGAGGATCATTGAGCCTCAGAGTTTGAGACCAGTCTAGGCAACATAGTGAGACTCCATATCTACAAGAAAATGGAAAAAATTAGCCGAGTATGGTGGCATGGACCTGTAGTTCCAGCTACTTG